AAAAAAGTTCACCGGTCAGTTGAAACGGGACGCGATCAAATGTTGAAACCGGGCGATGGGTGAAAAACTTTTGTATAGAACGCACCTGAGCTCCCGCCACACGAGCTGCCGGTTGAGGTACTCGAACGATATGACCCTGGAGACGTTGGGCTCGTCGTACACGAGCCGCGCGCGGACGAGACGCTCGAGGAGCGTGCGGTACTTGCCGTCTCTCAGGAAGAGCAGCAGGTTCGCCGCGGACGCCGCCGCGTGCGCGTTTTCGACGACGTCGATGGCGCGGCTCGCGCGCCGCCGCCACGACCACGGCCGCGCCCGCGCCCGCGCCCGCGCCCTTCCTTCCTCCTCCTCCTCCTCCTCCTCCTCCGGGCCGTCGTCCGCCCAGCGATGCACGCTCGCGTGGCGCGTCAGCTTCGACCACGCGTACCGCGCGCCGACGAACGCGACGCCGTAGACGAGGCGTTGCGTCGCGCTCAGCGGCGCGCCCTCCATCCCGGACGTGACGCCTCCGCGCGCGGGTCGCGTCGCCGCGCCGCGTCGCTCGTCGCGGTACCGCAAGTTCATGAGCTCCATCCCGGGCGTCGGTCGCGACTTGTAGACGGTGTAGTAGAACACGAGCGCGTCGAGCGCGAGCGTGATCTCGGGCTGCCACGCGATCGGGACGTCCGGGCGCAGCGTGAGGAAGATCTTCGAGAACTGCTCGCGGAGGAGGCTCGCGAGCTCGCCGTCCAGGCGACCGGCGTCGATCTGGCTGACGCGCAGGACGCGAACGTCCCTCGTGGGCGGCGGCGACGCGTCCGGCGGCGGCGGCGGCGGCGCGGACGCGCCCGCGGACGCGTCCATCGCCCGCGCCGCGAGTTGTTACCTGTGTTTCCGTCGTCGTCGCCGATGAACGCGGGCGCGACGTCGGTCAGCCTCTATCAGATCCAGCGGGTTCAAGTTTCAACGGATACTGTACAGTGAGCACCTACCTTTCGAACCCACCGCGTTGAAACCGCCACGTCGGATCTTCATCGCGGATCTTCATTCGCGGATCTTCTTGATCGGTGACTCTTGACCAGGAGAAGGGAATTCTTCTCGCGAAAGGACCACCACATGCGCCTCCAATTTTCATCACTTCTCGAACGCGTCGGCGCGCTCGCGAGGAGAAGCGCGCGCTCGGGGCCCGCGCTCGCGAGGAGAAGCGCGGCGGGCGACGCGTCATGGGGTGCATCGCGTCGAAACCGCGCGCGTCGAGGTACGTCGTCGACGAGAAAGATGGCCTCTCTCCCGGATCTTCCGGCCACGCGGGCTCGGACGACTCCTCCGCGCGAGGAGGGACGCCGCGGTTCCTCTGGAACGCGATGCGCGGGAAAGGGATGACGGAGAAGATGCGCCGCGACGGCGCGAAGAAGAAGAAGGACAAGAGCGCCAAGGCGGGGAAGCGCGCGAGCTCGCCCGAGGACGTGAACTTCATCAAGGACGCGCTCGGGGACTCGGTCGTGTTTCACGAGCTGGACGACGACACGAAAGACGCGGTCGCGCGCGCGATGACGGAGCTCAGAGTGAGAGCGGGCGCTCGGCTCATAGAGGAGGGCGAGATCGGACGAGAGCTGTTCCTCGTCGCGGACGGGACGTTCGTGGTGACGATCGACAAGCAAGGGTCGACGGTGACGATGAACGAGAAGAAGCGAGGCGACGTCTTCGGCGAGATCTCGCTGATGTTCGAGTCCCCCAGGCGCGTCGCGTTCCGTCGACACGACACCGGTCCCCACGCGACCCCGCTCCTCGAGAAATGACTGACTGCGCCTTAAGAACGGTCCCACCCGCGTCTCATCTAACCTCATCGCATCTCTTCCCGCGCCCGCCCGCAGGACGGCGACGGTGTCCGCGACGACGGACGCGCGCGTGTGGACGCTCGAACGCGACGTCTTCCGCGACCTCACGCGCACCGCCGCCATGGCGAGCGACGCGGGCAACCTCGTGTTCTTAAACTCCGTGCCGCTGCTCGCGTCGCTCACCGTCGGCGAGCGCGTGCGTCTCGCGGAGGCGCTCGAGGAGAAGACGTTCAAGCCGGGGGAGACGGTGGTGACGCAGGGCGAAGTCGGGGACATGTTTTACATCGTGCGCAAGGGAGAGGCGGTGGTGACGAAGCGGTCGATGAGCACCGGGCATCTGTCGTTCGGCGACGGGAGCGTCCACGGCGGTCGCCGAAGTCTCGAAGGGAGCGTCCACGGCGGTCGCCGAAGTCGCGAAGGGAGCGTCTACGGCGGTCGCCGAAGTCGCGAAGGGAGCGATCACGGCGCGTCTCAGCTCGCGCAGATGCTCGCGAATGGCGGCGGCGAGGACGCCGCCTCCGCCGCGACGGAAAACGACGCGAACGCTTCGTCGCCGTCGCCGCCGCCGTCGCCGGGGCCGGTCGCGTCGCCGTCCGGTCACGAGCGCGTGAACCACCTGTTCCGCGGCGATTTCTTCGGCGAGAAGGCGCTGCTGACGCGGAAACCCAGGGAAGCGACCGTCACCGCCGTCGGCTCGTCCGCGCTCGTGTGTCTGTGCCTCAACGCGCCCGCGTTCGAGGACCTCCTCGGACCGCTCGAGCAGCTGATGGAGCGCGCGAAATCCCCCGAGATCGTCGCGCAGCGGATGAACGCCATAGAGAACGAAGGCCGCTGGGCGCGCGCGAGGTTCATCATCAAGAGCGACAAGAGCAAGAGCGACGGAGGACCAGGAGGAGGAGGAGGAGGAGGAGGAGGCGACGGCGACGCGAGCGGCGACGAGAACGGCGAGGGGAGCGTCGCGATCGGCGCGTGCGCCGCGGAGACGTTCGCGGGGACTTTCTCGAACGACTCGTCGATGGCGGAGATCACGCTTCACGAGCGCGAGCTCCTCGGCGGCGGCGCGAGCGGGTACGTCCGACTCGTCGTCGCGGACGTGTGCGGGAACGGGACCATGAAGAGTTTCGCGCTGAAGCGGATGCGGAAGTGCGCGGTCGTCTCGACGCCCGATCACGTCTACTGCGAGCAGTCCGTGTCGCAGGAGTTGAACCACTTCGCGTGCGTGAGGCAACACGCGTCGTTTCAAGACGCGGATCATCTGTACTTCCTCTTCGACCACCTCGACGGCTGCGACATGATGGACGCGCTCGCGGCGGTGGCGACGGTGCAGCCGTTCAAAAACCCGGACAAACCCACGGGGAGTAAGATCAAGATGCTCAAGGGGATGCCCGAGGAGATGGCGATGTACTACGTCGCCGTCGTCACGCTCGCGTTGGAGTACCTCCACGAGAAGCAGATCGTGTACAGGGACCTGAAACCGGAGAACGTGTTCCTCGCCAACGACGGCACCGCCGTCCTCGGCGACTTCGGGTTCAGCAAAAAGCTCGAGAAGGACGCGTTGACGTACACGTTTTGCGGGACGCCAGGGTACGTCGCCCCGGAGGTGATCCTGGCGCACGGGTACTCCACCTCCGTGGACTGGTGGGGCCTCGGGGTTATGACGTACGTGTTGCTCACGGGGCAGCAGCCGTTCTCGCAGATCGTGAAAGGGAAGCCGGAGGACCCGCTGACGGTGATGAAGCGCATCGTCGACCGGTCGTGGGCGGTGTCGTTCCCGGTGTACATCTCCGAGTCCGCGGTGGATCTGATGTCGTGGTTCTTGGAGCGCCGCAGAGCGCGGCGGCTCGGGAACTTGCGAAGGAAAGCGGAGGACGTCAAGACGCACGCGTGGTTCAAAGACGCGAAGTTCGATTGGGACGCGATGCAGAGAGGGCAGCTGAGACCGCGTCCGTTGGCGCTGAGCGAGGCGTTCGCGACGCAGCGCGCGAACCGCATCGCGGATCTGGAGAGAGAAATCGCGACCGCGACGTTCGCGGAGACGGAGGAGGAGATCGAAGATGCGAAGGAGACCTTCCGGGCGTTTTGATTCTTCGATTCTTTCACCTACTGTATTCTTTCGCGCGGCTTTAGGCGCTCGCGACTGAATACGACTACAGGTACAGTAAAGCGCGCGCGCTCGCTAGGCCGAAGTCTGTCTACGCTACTCCGCGTCGTCTATTCGCTATTCGCTATAAGATATTCGCTGCGTCCGCGCGTCGAACCCCGAGTGCGTCTCCGCGTACTTCCCGAGTATGTACGCCCCGTACGTCGTCGGCTCGAACCGCGCCGGGTTCTCCTCGCTCACGCACTCCCGCAGCGGGCTCACGTCCGTCTCGAAGTTCGGCTCCCAAAAGAACGCGGCGCTGAGCCTGACCCCGGCGCCCGTCGTGACGACGCGGTGCCTCGTCGACTTGAACACGCCGTTCGTCCACCGCTCGCACAAGTCGCCGACGTTGCACACGAACGCGTCCGCGACGGCGGGCACCGGGACCCACGCCTCCTCGGAGCCGCCGCTCGCGGACGCGGACGCGGACGCGGACGCGGCCGCGGCCGCGGCCGCGCGCGCGTCGTGTATCTGCAGCCCCGGGGTGCCGTCCGTCGCGAGGATCGTGAGCACGCCGTAGTCGCTGTGCGCGCCGGCGGCGAAGACGCCGGCGGCGGGGTCCGACGCGGTCGCCGCGTATCGCAGCGGCCGCAACAGCGCCGTCGGCCGCGTGAACTTGTCGTCGAAGAAGCTCGAGGCCAGCCCGAGCGCGGTCGCGAGCGCGGGCATGACGCGCCGCGCGAGGCTCGCGCACGCGTCGTAGTACGCCGTCATCGGCGCCCTGAACGCGCGCAGGCCGAGCGACGACTCGTCCGGCCATCGATTCTTTCCTCGAAGCGGCAGCCCGATCTCGTCGTCCTCGCACTCGCGGCCGATGTAGTACCCTTCCTTGCTGTCCCCCGTCGTCTGGTGCTTCGGGTCGAGCGTCTCCTCCCCGTGCGGGGTCCAGCCGCGATTGTTCTCGTCCTGCACGACGGTTCGCTTCGCGTCGTCGGGAAGGGAGAAGAAATCCGACGACGCGGCAAACATCGCGTCGACGACGTCGCGCGCGACGCCGTGGTTCACGACGAAGAAGAACCCGTGACGGACGCACGCGTCTCTGATCGTGGACGCGACCTCGTCGAGAGGGCGCGCGAGGTCGACGATCGGGACGTCGGCCATCGCGCGAAGACGGGACGGCGGTCGCGCGCGGAGGACGAGTGAAGCAGATCCCGCCGCTCGCGTGTGATACTACGAGCAAGAACTGCAGACGTCTACTCGTGGTGGCGTCTCATAACTTAGACCGGGGCCGCTCACGGGCGCCCGCGCAACGTCCCGCTCGCGCTCTTGCTCAGCGTCCCGCCCCGCCCACTCCCCCGCGTCGCCGCGTACCACACGACGCCGCCGACGGCGACGAGCGCGAAGAACGACGCGGCGCCGCCGCCGCCGCCGCCGCCGCCGCCGCCCGCGCCGCCACCGCCGCCGCCCGTCGCCGCCGCCGCCGTCCGCGCGCACCGTCCGTCGAGCTCCCTGGACGCTTCCTGGCCCCCGCCGAGCGCCGCGGCGGGATGCAACAGCGATATCGCCGCGCCCATCGTCCACTCGACGTCGCCGCCGTTGACGTTCTCCACGAACGTGACGTCCTTCGCGTATCGATCGAACCCGAACCCTCCGGCGATTTTCCCGCCGCCGCCGCCGCCGCCGCCGCCGCCGTCGCCTTCGTCGTCGTCCGCGGCCGTCAAGAGCGCCTCCGCGAGGACGCCGTCGAAGCACCGACCGGGTAAGCGATCGATCGCGGTGTTCTCGTCCTTGCCGTCCATGCGAGCGACGACGTCGTCCCACTCCCACGCGCACGCGTCTTTCGCCGCAGAGGAAAACTCCGACACCGGCGACGTGGGGAAATTTTCCAAACGTCCCGGAAACGCGATCGACAGCCAGTGCGTGACGTGATACAGCAGCGACATCCCGTAAAACTTCGTCCCGCGCAGCTCCTCCGGCATGCGCATCTCCGTTCGCCCCGCGCGCTGCAGCGCGGAGATCGCCGCCCTGGTCGCGGTCAAGCACGCGGCGTGGTCGCCCGTGCCTCTGAGCGCGAACCCGTCCACGTCTCCGAACCCTCTCCCGCCGAGCGTCTCGTTCCTCCCTCGAAACCCGCACGGGTTGTCCGCGGCGTTCGCGCCCCCAGACTTCGCCTCGAGCGCGAGCTCTCTCCACATCTTCTTCTCGAGCTGGCTCGCGCCGTAGCCGAGGTAACTCTTGACGTAAACGCCGCGTTTCAGCTCCGCGAGGCTCCTCGGCGACGCGGCGGCGGCGGCGGCGGCGGCGGTCGCGTTGGCGCCGGCGCCCGAAGCGCCGGCGCCGCCGCCGCCCGAGAACCCGACGATCTGCGCGCTGCCGCCGCCGACGTCGAGCGCGCCGATCGTCGCCGGCAGCGGCTCGCCGAGACCCACCCTCGTCAGGTCCACGCCAGCGAGGTAGTTCGCCGCGAGCCACGCGTAGAACCCCTCGTCCGTGCCCTCGATCGTCTTGAAGTGCGCGGAGGACGACGGAATCCGGTCGTCCTCCGATCCGTCCCCCTTCTCCGCGATCTTAAACGGCGTCTTCGCGCGCGCGATCGCGTCCACGCTCGCCCACAGCTCGTCCTGCTCCACCTCGGACAGCACCCTCAGCCCCGCGGTCGCCCACACGTACAGCGGCGTCCTCGATCGATCCCTCGCCGGCACCTTCTCGACCGCCTCCGTCAGCATGGGAAGCAGCGCGTCCGCGATCTCCGCGTCCGTCTTCCCGCTCAGCGACGCGAGCGCGTCCTTCGACTTGACCTTCTCTCCGACCGCGCGCAGCGCAAAGGAACGCGGCGGCTTCGCGTTCGCGTCGCCCGGGAGCACCCGGAACGTGTGCGCGCGGCAGCCCGTGGATCCGGCGTCGACCATCACGACGTAAGGGGGCAGGCCGTCGCACAGGACGTCCGGAGGCGACGCGACGCCGCCGCGAACGCCGACGCCGACGCCGACGACGCCGACGACGCCGCCGACGCCGCCGACGATCGTCGTCGCGCTCGCGATGAAGAAGAGGACCGCCGCCGCGACGCACGCGAGGACCCAGGTCGGCGACGCGCCGAGGACGCGCGCGACGCTCGACGACGACGACGACGACGACGACGACGTCGAACCGCCGACGCGCGCCGAGCCCGATCCCCGGAGCTGCTGCTGCGACGCGGACGCGTGCATGGACGGCATGCTCGCCGCGTGATGCAGCCCGGACGAGACGCTGTGCCTTGAGAGCGATCGTTTCATGCGCATGCGCGGTCCGGGCGCGGCGCGACGCCTCTCTGGCGTCCGACGCGACCGGACGCGGACGCTCTCTGCCGACGAACTGAAATGTTCGAACAGAACGAGAGGCTCTCGCCGTCCGGTCCCGTCGCGTCGCGTCGCTCGCGCGGCGTCAGCGCGTCGCGCGCGATGGACGACGGCGCCGCGTGGCGCCGCGCCGCGCTCGACTACAACGCCAAGTTCCGCGACGACTACGTCGTCAACCACCCGGACTTCCCGGACGCGCCGCCGCTGCGGCTGTCGCAGGCCCCGAGCGCGTCCGCGGCGGTCGCGTCGTCGTCGTCGTCGTCGTCGTCGCGCGATCGTCGTCTTCGTCGTCGTTCGCCGGTGCCGACAAACGATGATGCCGACGACGCCGACGCCGCGGACCCGATCCCCGCGACCGGGTTCACGATATGGGACGCGGGGATCCTCCTCGGGATGTACGTCACGCGGCCGCGCGTCTGGGCGCGGCTCCTCGGCGACGCCGCGCGCGACGACGCCATCGTCCTGGAGCTCGGCGCGGGCACCGGCGTCGCGGGGCTCTTGGTGGCGTGCACGGGATCGCCCGCGCTCGTGGGGATGACCGACCTCCCCGCGCTCGTGCCGTTCCTCCGCGAGAACGCGCGGAGGAACAAGGCGGGGACGGGGACAGGGACGGACCGCGACCGCGACCGCGACCGCGACCGCGGCGGCGGCGGCGCAATCCCCGCGAACGTCCTCCTGGCGGTGTCGCCGCTCCGATGGGGCTGCGCGGCTGATTTCGACGCGCTGCCCGAGCCGCTCAAACGTCCGAACCTCGTCCTCGGCGCGGACCTGTGCTACACCTCCGACGCGTCCGTCGTCGACGCGCTCGTGGCGACGCTCGACATGGTCATGCCGCGGGGAGGGGACGGGGACGGGGACGGGGACGGGGACGGGGACGGGGACGGGGACGGGGACGGGGACGGGGACGCCGCCGTCGCGGTGTTCGCGTCGTGCGTGGAACACCGGCCGGACGCGGTGACGCGGTTCGAGGAGGGGTGCGCGACGCGAGGGTTCGAGGTCGCGGTCGTCGACGCGGAGGAGCTCAGGGAAGGGTACGGGGGCGGGGGGGACGGCGGCGGGGGCGCGGAGGCGTTCCGCGTCGTCGAGGTCAGGCGGAAGAGACGACGGGCGTAGAGGTAGGACGTAGGAAACGATTGTTGTTATGATACTCGTAAAAGCGCGACGACTGGAAGATCGACGAAGTAGAGAATGATGAGCATCTCGTCGCGCGCGGGCATTGTTCGCGCGCGCGCCGGCACGATGACGGCGCCGGCACCGGAGGGCACCGCGATGGCTGCCGCGATGTCCGGCCCGGAGACGACGACGAGCGCGTACGACGCGCGGCGCGCGCTGTACGACGCGGCGACGCCGTACGCGGACAAGGCGTCGCTCGCGACGGCGCTCTCCGACGAGGTGCGCGCCGCGGTGACGGAGGCGATGGAGGCGGGACCGGCGAGCGCGATCGGCGAGCGCGCGCTGGCGGTCGCGACGCTGCTCGTGGAGTGGTCGATGGCGACGCTGTCGTACGCGGCGATCTCCACGAAGGCGGGGAAGAAGGGCGGCGGGAAGGGCGGCGGCGGCGGCGGGAAGGGCGCGAAGAAGGGCGCCCTGGGCGGCGGCGACGCGAACGCGTCTGCCGCGCCGTCGGGCCCGCGCGCGCCGAAAGCGATCGGCGCGGACCCGCCGCCGCCGAAAGCGCTCGTCGTCGCGAACGCGCAGTGGCGCGCGCTCGCGACGGGGTTATCGGTGGGGAGGCACGCCCCGAACGCGGCGGCGGTCGCGCACGTCACGCGCGCGGCGGCGACCGCGGCGGCGTCGATCGCGAGCGACGACGACGACGACGACGACGACGACGACGTGCCAACCTCGTCGAATCGGAATACGACGGAGGTCGTCTCCGCGCACACGCTCGCGGACGTCCTGCGCGCGCTCGCGGAGAAGTGCCCGATGACGTTCTCGCCATCCGCGGACTACCTCGTCTCGCTCGCGGTGCTGTCGCTGCGAAGCGGCGCGCGCTTCGCGACGCTCGCGGAGATTTCGCTGCGGTTGTTCGTCGACGCGAGTCGCGACGTCTTCTCGACGACGACGCGCGACCCGCCGAAGATGACGATGGACGACGCGGACGCGCTGTTAAACGCCGCGGGGGCGGAGCGCGCGGCGGTCGCGGGGACGGCTGGAAAAGAAAACGCATGGGATGTGGACGTTAAAGACGAAGGCGTCGCGTGCGGGGCGGTGCGCGCGTTGCTGTCGCATCCGGCGCACCTCAACGCCGTCCCCGCCGCGTTCGCGGAGGCGGAGCGGCGGCGGAACGGAACGAGCGGCGTGGTCGCGGCGAACGTGCCCGCGAGAGAGAAAGAGATTCCGATTCCGCCGCCCGAGGCGGGCACTGAACCGACGCCGATGGAGACGGACGACGGAGACGACGACGCGAAGGAGAAGAAGTCAAAGTCGCCGCCGAAAAAGGAAAAGCCGAAACCGCCGGCGTTCCTCGTCGGCGTCGCGTCGCGCATCCTCTCCGCCGCGGGCGGGGATCACGACACGATCGAGGACGCGAACGTCGCGCGGCTGCTGCCGTGGTGCCTGGACGCGTTCGTCGCGCGGCACGCGAAAGTCACGAGAGCGAAGATGGAGTCGCTCAGGATGAAAGCGTTGCACTCGAAAACCGCGGCGAAGACGGGGACGTCCGCGGCGTCGGGGTTGCCGACCGCGACGCTGCAGCCCGCGGCGCTGCTGTTCGACGCGCTCTTCGCGGTCTTCTGCGTCGAGGCGCGCGCGGGAGGGGATGTCGGCAACGGCGGCGGCGACGGCGGCGGAGGCGCGTCGCGGAGAGGAGAAAAACGGAGAGGAAAAAAACCGTCCGCCGCGTCTCCGCCGGGCCCCGGTCCGCGGCTGTTCGTCGCCGCGGACTTGCTCAACGCGTACGACGCGCTCGGTCTGTTCTCACCGGCGTCGTCGTCGTACGCGACCGGCCCGGCGCCGGACCGTCCGACCGCGCGAGATCGCTTGAAGGCGTTCGCGTCGCGCGTCGCCGCGACGGCGACGCGCGACTGGCGCGGCGCCGCGTCCGCGTCGCTCGCGATCATGGACCGCGACTTCCGGCTCCTAGAGGAACACTCCACGGAGATCATCGCGGCGATCGTGGACGGCGGCGGCGCGAGCGCGGGCGCGGGCTCGGACGCGGACGCGGACGCGACGACGCGCGACCGCGACCGCGCGATCGCGTCGGAAGCGGTCGCGCGGTTCGCGAGAGCGTTCGCGAAGACGCGGCGACTCCCCGAGGCGCTCGGAGCCGTCGGCGGCGCCGTCGCGCGGTTGACCCGCGCGAGGAGCCCTCACAAGGGCGAGGGCGTCCTCGACGCGGAGATCGTGATAGAGGCGATGAAGCACGCGACGAAGAACATGCCGTCCGGGCAAGTCGCGGAGGTTCTGACCGCGCTGCACGCCGCGATGTCGCTCGCGCTCGGGTCCTTCGACGCGGCGGCGGCGGCGGCGGCGGGCGGCGGCGATTTCGGCGGCGGCGGCGCGGCGAGAGTCGCCGCCGCCGAGCGCGTCGCGGCCACGTGCGCGCTCGTCGCGGAGAGTCTCGGCGCGACGCCGATCCCGCCCGGGGAGAACCTCCTCCCTCCGGTCGCGGACGCGCTCGCAGAGCTCCTCGCCGAGCTCAGAGGGCGTCTGCTTCGATGGCGCGAGAGCGCGCGATTAGACGGCGTCAGGGCGTCGAAGAAGCATAAGAAGAGCCGCGACGACGACGCGACCGACGACCCGATCGCGGTCGCGACGAACGCCGCCGTCGCGGGCGCGCTTCTGCGCGTGTACACCCCCGCGTACGCGATCGTGGAAGTCGGCCACGACGGGTGGCCGCTGCATCAGAAGCACGCGATCCCGTACCTCGGCGAGGAGGTGCGTTCTATACACTGGTTCCCGTACGACCGCGTTGGCGTGGTGAACGCCGATCCTTAAGGACTTTTCCTGGCGCATCTCTCCGCCCAGGGTCCCTCGCTTTCAATCCCCGTCCTCGACGCCTTTCAACTCCACCTGACGCCTTTCAACTCCAGACGCCGCCGCTCTCGGAGTTCATCTCGCCGCTGTTGCGCGCGGAGGAAAACGCGTGCGCCGCGGGAACGCGCGCGGTCTCCGCGCGTTCGACCGCCGCCGCCGCCGCGGGGGCGACGCTGCACCGCATCGCGCAGCTCGGAAGAGTCGCACGACCGCCCCCCGGGGGACACAGCGACCAGGTCGCGGGCGCGGAGGCGCGGGAGCTCACCGCCGCGTTGCTGCGTTTCAGCGGCGGCGGCGGCTCCGCGGAGGCGTCGCCGGAGACGTCGAGCGTCGCGCGCGAGTTTCTCGACCGGGTCCCGCACTACTGGACGGACTGGGCGACGGAGGAGGCGCTGCGCGAGTGCGAGTGGGTCGTCGAGGGCGGGATCGACGTGTTCGAGGTGCCGCGTCTGCTCACGGTGTGGACGCGCGAGGCGTGCGCGTGGGTGCTCGACGCGTCCGCGGCGACGCTCGCGGCGGCGGCGGGGGGGGGCGGCGATTGCGGCGGCGGCGACTTCGCCGCCGCCGTCGTCGACGCCGCCAAGGTGAAACTGCGCCACGGCGGCCCGATGCACGTGCGTAACCCGCACTCGGACGACGCGGACGTGTCGAAGCTGTTCGACCCCACGGCGACGACGGCGGCGGCGACGGCGTTCTGGAAAGACGCGGCGAGGAACTTTGACGGCGGCGGCGGCGGCGGCGGCGCGGCGTCGGCGTCGAAAAAGAAACCGAAGACGTCCGAGGGCGCGCCGATGTCGTTGCACGCGTCGCTCCTCGACCTCAAAGCCGCGCTCGAGCGCCTCAGCACGCTCCACGTCAAGTGCACGGTATGGGTGGACATCCATCGCGTGCACGCGACGTGCGCGGCCGCGGACTGCGCGTCGCACGTCGCCGCGGTGTGCTCGTCGCGGTCGCGCGACGACGACGACGACGACGACGTCGTCCTCGACGCCGCGCTCGACGCGTGCGGCGTCGCGAGGGACGTCTTCACGCTGTTCGCGAACCGCGACCGCGGCGGCGTGGGGTCCAAGCTCGCGAAGTCGATCTGCGTCGCCGCGACGCTCGCGTCCTCGAAGCTCGTGGACGCGACGACGCGCTCGAGGAAGTCGACGGCGGTCGGCCAAAGTTTGAAACGCGCGACGTTCGCGACCGCGCGGTTGCTCCACGCCGGCCTCATCGTGTCGTCGCACAAGGGGCTGGCGAGGGCGGAGAAGGTCGTCGCGCCCCTCGCGCGCGGGTTGCTGCGCGAGGCGAGGGCGCTGAAGAAGACGAAGCCCGGCGGCGGCGCGATCGACGCGGGGATGGTTCCTCGCGCGTTGAGGATGAAACGAGCCGCGGCGGCGGCGGCGTCGGCGGAGGACGCTTCGATCCCGCCGGACGTCTCCCCGCGCGGCGTGTTCGCCGCCGCCGTCGCGGAGGCGATGTTCATCGCCGCGCTGGACGGCACGAGACCGCCGAAGAAGGAGGAGAACGAGCGCTTCACCGCGGAGGAGCCGGACGAGGAGGCTGGCGTCCAGGCGTCGACGCGATGGAAATCGCTCGTCGCGCTCCGCGGCGTCGTCCACGCCGCGTCCAGCGCGCTCGCGCGCGTCTCGGACGTCACCGACCGCCGCGTGAACCCGGAGTCGCACCGCGACTTGAAGAACTACGGCATCCCGCTCGACGAGCCCCTCCGCGCGCACCCCGTCGGCCTCGCCGGCGATGGCGTCGTCGAAGCCCTCAGCGGCTGCCTCCGCGCGGTCGCCGCGTCGTGCGCGCTCGCGGCCATCGTCGTCAAGCACGCGCCGGCGAAGCACGCCGTCGCGCCGTCCGCGGACGCGCTCCGCGAGACGCTCTCCATCGCGCTCGCGGCGCTGACGCGACCGTGCGGCGCGGACGGGTCGCTGGACGCGTGCTGGGTCTGCGCGCACCCCGGCGCCGCGGCCAAGGCGGCGGACGCGTTGGAAGCCGTCGTCCGCGCGTTGCAAGTCGCGGGGCCGCGGCTCACGGCGAACGCGCACGCGGCGCTCGTCGCGTCCGTCGTCGTCGCGTACGACGTCGCCGCGCGCGGGGACGCGGCGAGGAAGGCGAAGCAGACGCGCGAGGACCCGGGCCGCGGGAACGCGCGGGAGCTGCGCGAGCTCAACGCGCTGCCGGCGCCCGTCGCGGAGTTGCGGCGCGCGCTCGGCGGCGCGATGACGACGCTCATGAACGGCGCGGGGAAGCGCCTCGTCGGCCAGGCGTACCGGATGGCGAACGACAGGATTCGCGCGTGCGACGCGGTCGCGCGGCGGCTGTACTCGCCGTGGGGGAAACTCGCGGGGTTGTCGCTGGAGGACAGCTCGTTGGGGTGGGATCTGACCGCGTCGCTCGCGGCGCCGCTGTGGACGATCGCGACGTGCGTCGATCACGCCGTCGGCGACGACGGCAGCCGGGCGTCTCGCGCGGCGATGGAATCCAGCGGCGAACACTGCCTGATATCTCTCATGGACGTGTGCCGCATGGGCACGGAAGAGGGGCTCGGGGAGGTGGGCGGGCCCGCGTCCAGGGCGGCGGCGAACGCGGCGATCGTGATCCTCACGTCGATCGTGTCGCGGTCGCGGCTGCCTCTGAGCAAGCGCGCGGTTGCTCGCGCGACGCAGCTGACGCACATCTGTTTTCACGGGGGGCTGATGAAGCACCTCGCGTCCGTGCCGACGGTGTTTTCTCCGTGCTGCGCGCTTCTCGTGTCGATCATCCGCGCGAGGAAGGCGGAGATGGCGCGGCAGACGGCGATGATAACCGTCGCGTGCCACGCGTTACTCGACGCGTTGAAGGCGTGGAACGCGATCGAGGATGAGAAAAACGCGCTCGCGGAGCGGACCAAGACGCCGAGGGACGAGGAAGAGGTCGCGATCCACGAAGAAGCGATGCGCCGCGCCGCCAACTCGATGGCCCCGGTGTACGAATCCGCGGGCAAAGTCGTCGGCTCGCTGTACGCGATGCATCTCCTCGCGGACGCCGTCGCCGCGTGTTGCGGCGGCGGCGCGTGGGGCGGCGACGACGACCGAAAGAGCGGAGACGGTTACGTTCGCGGCATCGGCGCGGTGGCTGAGAGCGCGCTCAAGCCGGGGATATTCGCGCTGTTCGACGCGGTACAGGACAGGGAGTTGCAGCAGCTGTACACCATGTTCGGGAACGCGATGGGGGGGGCGTTGCGGTTGAAGTTTAAGGCGCTCATCGACGAGTACAGGCTCGTGCACAAGTACGACCCGAAGAAAGGATAGAATAAAACGCACGCGGAGACGGCGTTTTCGCCGCCCATCGCGTTGTAATTGAAATCTAGCTAGAGTTAGGATCAAAGTAAATCGATCAAGGGCGCGTCCGCGCCCTTTGGCGTCGCGGCGTTCCCCACGTCCATCATCCCCAGCGCCGCCGCGAGCGCGTCCCCGGGATCCTCCCGCCTGGGGGCGTGCATCGTCGGCGTCGACGGCGCGAAAAAATCAACCTCCGGAGGCGCGGGCTGCCGACCGGCCGGCGGCGACGGCGACGGCGACGGCGACGCCGCGGCGGCGGGAAAGTTCGCGAAAAACGACGGCGGCGACGCCGCCGCCGCCGCCGGGGACCCGCCCGCGGACGACGCGGGCGAGAACGCCCTCGGCGACGACGCGAACGGGTCCGTCCCCGCGTCGCTCCCCTTGGGCGAGAACGACGGCGTGAATGCCGAAGACGCCGGCGGCGGCCGCGGCGGGATGCCCACCGCCGTCGCCGCCGTCGCCGCCGCCCTCTGCGGCGGGACCGCCGCCGTGATCGGCGGCGGCGGCGCCCGCGGCGGCGGCGCGAACGCGCTGTGATGCGCGGTCGCCCCGCTCGGGGATATCGGCGGCGACGCGGACGCGATCGACGACGGCGACGACGCCGCGCCGTGCCGTTTGCTCTGCGCCGCCGCGACGCGCTCCGCGAGCGTCGGCTCCGTCGCGTTCGCGATCGTCGCCTCTCTCGACATCGGCAGCGCCTCTCTGTCGTCGCTTTTCTGAACGAACGCGCGCGAGTGCGCGTGCGGTTTGTACGACGACGACGACGACGACGACGACTTCGACGAGCGACCTCTCCCGTCGCCGCCGCCGCCGTCGCCGTCGTCGTCGTCGTCGTCGCCTAAACGATCGCTGCTGCTGCCGCTTCGGCGAAGCAGCCCGTCGTTCTTCTTCGAGCCGCCGAATTTCTGCGACAAGTACGCGGACGCCGCCGCGGCTTTCTTCGACGCAGCCTTCTTCGCGCGCGCCGCCGCCGCCGCGGCGCTCCCGCTCGCGTCTCGGAACCGGTCCGAATACGACGCGCCATCGAAATCCGCGTCGACGTCCACGTCGTCCGGATCCGCGGCCAACACCCCGCCCGCGCCTCGCAGCGGCGCGCCCTTCCCGGCGTCGCGGCTGAAGCTCCGCGTCTCTAGCGCGTTCCGAACGAACACCTCGTAGTGCTGCGTCCCTCGCAGAGCGTTGAGGAGCTCCTTCGTGCGTCGCGTGGACGCGCCGTTTTCAAACCCCTCCTGATCGAGCCAGTGCCCGTCCGCGGCGACCGCGTCCCTCGGCGCCCTGCGCTCCGCGTCCGCGACGACGTGCTTCTTGTACGGCCCGAGCACGGTCGCGATGAACTTTCGAAACGCGCCCGCGACGGCGTCGTCGTCCAGCCGCACGCTCTTCATCTGCGCTTCCAACGCGCTTCGCAGCGCGCGCGTCGGTCGCGTCGGAAGCGAATCCACGTCGCTCTCGAAGTACGTGTACGCGCCGTCGTCCAGGTTCAGGTGGAATATGTCGTCCGTCGGGAGCGTTTTCATCGCGGGCACGTGCGAGGCGTGCAACCCCACGAGGAACGGCATCGGCGCGGTGAGGTAATCGATCAGCGACGCCGGCATCGTCGGCATGAAGATCCCCGTCCATCGCAGCGGCCGCGTCGTCGCCGCCGCCGCGTGCACCGCCGCGCTCAGCGCGCTGAGATCCCCGCCGCTTATCACGACCCTTCTCTCGTGCAGCAGCGCGGCGAACAGCGCGATCGTCGCGTCCGACGTCACCGCCTGGAACAGCAGCGGCGCGAAGGACACGATCGCGTCGTCGCGGCGGCCGTGCTCGGCGACATCCGGGACGGACAAAACGCAATCCTTCGGCTTGGCGCTCACGGGGTCCGCCCACGGGAGCGGGATCACGAGCTCCGCGCCGGGCGCCGCTCGCGGGCGCGCGCACGTCGACCGCATGAACTGCGCGACGTGCGAGTCCGGAGGCAGGATCGGTGTGTTCGCGAGGTCGAACGCGCAGACGCGGTCGCCGACGCGTTCGAGCGCGTCGAAGAAGAAGTCGAACCACGGATGCCTCGAGAGCACGCACGCGACGACGGGATACCGCGCCGCGACGCCGTCGCCGTCGCCGCGCCTCGCCGGGGGCAGGAACCGGCGGCAGAACCCGTGCGTTCGCGCGCCGTCGCTCTCCGTGAGCGAGAACGTGTACGCCTCCGCACGCATCGTGCTTCGCGGGGTCACGGACGTCAGCGACGACGCCGCGTACTCGGGGAACAGGAAGTGCTTCTCGCCGACGACGCGAAGCAGCGCGGCGTCCGCGGCGGCGCCATCGCGGCCGTCCTCGCCGTACGTCGCGCGCAGACACGCGCGCGGGACGGGCGCGCCGGAGGCGTCGTGCGCGACGTACGCGACGAGGAACCCGCGCGCGACGGGGGAGGAGGACGACGAAGACATTCGAACGTGCGAAAGGTCGTAGACTTTTAAGATCGAGCTCGAGGGCAGCCGCCCCGGGCGTTCCCGCGGTTCGGCGCTCGATCTGAGGACGGACGCGTCCTCGCGCGTTTTCGCGCGCGCGCGGGGGCGATCGACGTCGTTCGCGCGGTTCGCACGCGACGCGGTCCGCGAGGAGTGACGCGACGGCCAGCGCGCGCGCGGGCGAAAAGCCGTCGCGTCGAACTGAACGAGAAAATTTTCTTCGTCTGGAAAGGACTACGACGCTTCCGCAGCACCGCGGACGCGACGGAGCGCACTCGCTCGCTCGCGAACGGCTCGCGCCACTCCGTGCGGCGATGTCGAAGCGGTCGCGCGAGGGCGGCGACGCCTCGGCCGCGGCGGCGGCGACGAAGAAGGAAGGGAAGCGCGAGCGACGCGCGCGGCCGGGGTCGACGAACACGCGCCCTCAAGTCGATGAGACGAAATCGCCGTCAGCATCTAACAACGCGACGTCGGCGCCGACCGCGACGACCCGGGGTGGTCATCACCCGGTCGAGCCTCCCCACTCGATCGACGCCGCGCGCGACCGCGACCGCGACCGCGACCGCGACCGCGACCGCGACCCCGCGGACGACTGTGAGACCCCCGCGGTGGCGTACGCGCACCTCGCGCCGATCCTTCGCAAGCTCGCGCAGCGGCTGAAGAAGCCCCCGTCCGAGCTCGCGGTGTATGACCCGTACCGATGCGCCGGCGCGGTCGAGTCGCGCCTCGGCGCGCTCGGGTTCGACGCCGTCGCGAACCCCGCGGACGACTTCTACGCCGCGCTCGAGGAGGACCGCGTGCCGCCGCACGACGTCCTCGTGACGAACCCGCCGTTCAGCGGAGAGCACGCGCGACGGCTCGTGTCGTTCCTGGCGTCGACGCGCTACTCGAGGAAGCGCGCGTTTTGCTTCCTCGCGCCAGAGTACGTCCATCGAAAGGCGTGGTACGCGGCGATGACGCGCGCGCGACCGGACGTGTGCTACCTCGTCCCGAAGGAGAGATACGCGTTCGTCGCGTCGAGCGGCGGGCGACGCGAGAACACGGCGAAGCCGTGCCGGCACTGGGCGAGGGACGGGCGATGTCCGCGCGGGGACGAATGTCCGTTTCAACATGGCGGCGGCGGCGGCAGCGGCGCGTCGACCTCGAGCGAAGACGCCCCCGTCGCGCGCGGGGGCGGCGCGTCGTCGTCCGTCACCGGGACCAGGACCGTCGTCGCGCCGTTCGATTGCATCTGGCACGTCCACGCGGGCGAGGGACGGCAGCGAAGCGTCGTCGCGGCGTGGCGGCAAAAGTACGGCGGAGGCGATGGCAAAAAGGAAGACGCGCTCGGCGCGCGGCTGGTCGAGAGGGCGGAGGACCTGCCGCCGCCGCCGCCGCGATTAAAGCGCGCGCGCGCGATCGAGACGCGCGAGTGACCCTAGTTAGAACGTCGTGTTCGAACGGCTAGTCTAGTCTAATCTAGCGACGCTCGCTCGTCCTCATAACTCCTGGCCGCCGCGGGTCGACGGCGGCGCGCGCTCGTCGCGGCCCGCCGCCGCCGCCGCCGCCGCCGCGCGCCGCGACGCCGTCCCGAACTCCCTCTCCGTCCCCATCCCCATCCCCGGACGCGACCGCGCCCCGGGCGCGGGGACGACGTACTCGTCCGGCATGACGTACCCCGGGAACGTCGCGTTCGCGCTGTGCACAGTCCCCGCGACGGGCATCTGAGGGTTGTTCCATACAAGCGATGGCGGGGTGGAGTTGAAAGGCGTCAGATGGAGTTGAAAGGCGTCGAGGGCGGGGTTTGAAAGCGAGGGATGAGCGGAGAGACACGCCGGGCAAAGTCCTTAAGGAATCGCGTTCACCACGCGAACGGGGTCGTATGGGGACCAGTGTATAGAACGCACCTGATGCCATCGAAGGATCCACTCGATCTCCGCCCCGAGCAGTCCCTCGGGCTCTCGCAGCTTGTACTTGCTCCGCGCCCTCGGGATCGTCAGGTTTGCGTCCGTCTTGCTCGTCACGATCCGGTCGTACACGAACGCGTCGTGCGCCACGTTCGACGGCGTGACGTACGACGCGGCGAGGGACACGAACAGCTGCTTCGTGTTCCACGTCCAGCACGAGCGCAGGTCGAGGTCGAGCGCGATCGCGAAGTACGCCTCGTCCGCGCCGTCGACGCTGACGAGGCGCTCGACCGCGGCGATCGAGACGTCGTGCTTCGGCTCGCAGACGTGGAACTCGTCTGCGGCGTCGCGGTGAGGAGGCGGGCGAGGCGAGGCGAGGCGGGGAGGGGTGGGTCAGCGCGACGACGGCGGGGACGCGGCGGCGGGGGTTGTGGAGGGGGGGCGGAGACGAGGGGACGGCGGCGAGAGGCGAGGGGCGACGGCGTCGGAATCGATCGATCGGACGACGCACCGGTGACGCTCGCGGCGGCGGCGAGGACCATCAGCGCGATGATCGCTAGCGTCACGACGGCGTTGACGCGGTGCCAGAACGTGTGCATCGGACCTAACGCGGCGCTCATGTGCGCGGCGCGTCGAAGAGTGCCGCCGTGCCGTGGTGGGGCAAGCGAGAAATAAAGTTTGCCCGGGACGCGACGACGGACGCGCGAGATGCTCAGAGAAGGCTGTCGTTCACGATTTGAACCACACCTCCGCGCACCGACTGACGTCGACACGCGCGCGCGCTCGCGTCGCGTCGTCGCCCGCTCCGCCGGCGTCGCCTCCCGAGCCGCGCGCGCGCGTCGCCGCCGCCGCGCGCGTCCCGCCGCGGCCGACGCCGACGCCGTCCGCGCTCGCGAGAGAAAATCACGACGACGTTCGTGCGTTCCCGAGAGACGTAGACGATCTGAGCGCATCGTCAGTCACCCCGACGAGCCACCACCGCGACGATGACCGGAGAGAAGTCGATGCTGCCGTCCGCGGACGACGTCATCGCGAACGCGGGCGCGTTCGGCCAGCAGCTCGGCTTGGGCGCGCTCGCGGGGTACGTCTCCGGAAGGTTCGCGCGCGCGGGCGCGACCGTCGGCCTCGCGCTCTGCGGAGGCGCGTTCGTCGCGCTGCAGACGCTGCAGTACGGCGGATACGTTCGCGTGGACTGGCACAAGGTGGAGCGCGAGGCGAGGCGCGCGATGGACGCGAACGGAGACGGCGCGCTGACCGCGGACGACGCGAAGCTCGCGTGGGGCGAGGTCGTGGACGTCCTCGCGTTCGGCGTCCCGAGCGGCGCGGGGTTCGGGTGCGCGCCGGCCGCGCGAATCGAACGCTCTCGCGCGCGCGTATTCACCCGTCCCTTCCTTTCGACGTTCGATCGCGTCCCCTTTCGACTGACCGACGCGACGTTCTGTCACCCGCAGCCTCGGCCTCGCGCACGGCGTCGGGCTGCCGGGGGCGAACCTCTTGGCGGGCGGCGCGCTTTTCGCCGCCGCGCCGGCGCTGTGCGGCGCGCACCTGTTCCAAACCTCCGACGGATTCCGCGAGACGTTAGAGAAGGCCGCGCCGATGCTGTCGAGGGAGCTGACGCGGGCGGTGGACGCGGCGAAGACGCGCGCGGAGGCGGCGGCGGGCGACGCGAGGTGCGTTCTTCTTCACACCGGTCCCCGCGCGACCGCGTCGGCGCGGTGAACGCCGATCCTCGATGACTTTTCCACCCGGCGTCTCTCTCCGCCCAGGGTCCCTCGCTCACAATCCCGACACACCTCGACGCCTTTCAACTCCGCTTCTGACGACTTTCAACTCCACCCCGATATCATCGCTCGTATGGACAATTACCCCGAGGTGGGCGGCGGCGGTGCGCGCGGCTCGCGACGACCGCGCGCTGAGAGACCTCGCGAAGCGGACGAGGACGGAGGGGCGACGGAGGGACAAGGGCGGTCGCGGCGGGCTCGACGACGCGCGCGTGCGGTCGAGACTCGGGGACGTCGAGGACATGAGGAGAGCGTTGCGGGCGGAGCGGCGGCGGTGAGGCGTCGTGGACCGCGGCGTCGTAGACTGCTGAATGACGACGCGTTTCGTTCGTCGATTTTCCAACGCGTTTTGCTTCGTTCTCTTCTCCTCGGGGCGACCTGATCTCCCCCCTCCTCTCCCTCTTCTTCTATCGTGTGTCCCTACGCGCCCTTATCTTTCTCTTTCTCGTGCTCTCGCTCCGCGCGTTCTCGTAAATTCCGAGCCCGCGTCTCGAGCATCTTCTCCTCGACCCGGGACATCATCTCTCGGAACAGCCGCTCCTTCTTCTTCTCCGTGCCGCACCGCCCGCACCGCCGCACGAGGTCGCCAAAGTCGATCGGCTCGCCCACGGTGACGTGTATCCTCTCCCCCGCGCGTAACACCCCGACCCCGTACGGTTTCACCCTCTCCATGCCCGTGTGCCAGAACGGAAGCACGACCGGCGGCGGCCCGCCGAGTTCGTGGACGTCGCAGAGCATCTTCCCGAGGCCCCACTTGAGGCGTCCGAGCTCGCCTTGCTTCTCATCCGGCGGCGAGACGCGGCCCTCTGGGAATATGTGCAGCCAGTCGCCCACGCTGACGCGCTCCGCCATCGTCCGCATCACCGCCTGGTTGACCCCGCCGCCGCGACTGATCGGCACCGTCTTCCCCGCGGCGAAGAACTTGTGCGTCCACGGCCCGCTCGCGCAGATCTCCTTGGTGCACATCGTCCACCGGATCCCCCCGTGCTCGCGCTCAGTCGCGAAGTACGCGGGCGGTATGAGCGCGCTCAGCACCCCCGGGTCGTCGAACGTCGACGCGTGGTTGCTCACGGTGATCAGCCCGCGCGGGCGCTCGCGCTTCGTCATGTTATCGAGGAGCGCGTCGTAGTTGCTCACGGTCGTCGTGTTCATCCACGTGAGGACGAACCGACTGAACCGCGAGACGACGCCGAGGACGACGTCGCGCCCGAGGTCGCCCCACGCGCCGAGCGGGGGAGCGACGTCGGGGTGCGCGTCGCCGTAGATCGGGCGGGGGGTGGGGGGGGTAGAGGGCGGCGCGGCGGGGGGGGAGCCCGCCGTGCCGTCCATGGCGCCCCAACTCGTGCGCCGCGCCGGATCGCAATGCGACAACGGACATGAACGTCGCGAAGAGTCGTCCAGTCGCCCGCGCGACGGTGAAAAACAGCCTCTCGACCGAGGCAGCCCCGGACGGGTCTATGGCGCCACGTCGCGAGCGCGCGCGCGGCAAAACGAAGGCGCGCGCGCGCGCGTCGTGACGATCGCGTTCTACAGTAGTACGTGTTACAATCGTCGCCGAAGCGGCGGCGCGTCGCGTCGCGTCGCGCCGCGCCGCGTTCCCTTCCCTCTCGGTCGTTCGCGTTCGCGTTCGCGTCGCACAAAAAAATCGTCTCCGTCTCCGTCTCGTCGCCGCCGGCCGCCGTCGTCATCGAATGTGCGTCCGCCCGCTCGACCACACCTGGTTATCGTGCCCGCTCCCTTGGCTCTTCGGCCCGGGGAACACGTTCCAAAACCGCAACGTCTCGTCCCCCGCGCCCGTGACGACCGTCTGCCCGTCGGGCGATATCGCCAAGTACAACACCCGAAGCGTGTGCCCCGTGAGCGTCGCGAGTTTCGACATCGTCGGATACCGCCACACGACGATCTGATTCTGCGAGTACCCGTGCGTGGACACGAGCTCGTTGACGTTCTTACTCCACACGAGGTTACACACCTGCGACCCGGTGTCCACGCACGACAGCGCCGTGTCCGTGGACGTGTTCCAAAACCGAATGCATCGATCCGCGGTCCCCCCCCCCGACGCGAGCAAGCCGTGCTGAGGGTCGTTCCATACAAAGCGAACGTCGGGGTGGAGTTGAAAGGCGTCAGAAGCGGAGTTGAAAGGCGCCGAGGGCGGGGATTGAAAGCGAGGGACCCTGGGCGGACAGACACGCCGGGAAAAGTCCTTAAGGAACGGCGTTCACCACGCGAACGCGGTCGTATGGGTACCAGTGTGATACTAGAACGCGCCTGATGCGGCGACCACGCGATGGCCTTCACCGCCGCCGCGTGGTCGCCGTACCTCAGCACCGGGTGCGCGCTGTTCGCGCTCCATATGAACAGCTGGTTATCGTTCCCCCCGGAAGCGAGCTCGCGGTCGTCGTAGCTCCACTTCAGGCCGCAGACTTCGGACTTGTGCCCGACGAGTTTTCCGACGTGGTGCTCGCTCGCGCGGACGTCGCGTTGAAGCACGTTTCGATCGCGGCTGCCGCTCGACAGCAGCGCGCTGCTCCATGCGAGGCACCCGACGCGCGTTCGATGCCCGCCCATCGTCCGCACTTTCTTACACTTCGCCGCGTCCCATATCTGCACCTCGCCCTTATCCGTCCCGACCGCGAGGTACGTCCCTCGCGGCGTCCATCCCACCGAGCACACCGAGTCGTTCGGCCCGAGGTCGCAGAGCTTCGTCACGCGACTCGTGCACGCGCTCCACAGGTACACGCACGTCCCCAGCCCCACGGCGAGGATGTTGTGCGAGGACCAGTCCACGAGGTTGAGGTAGAAGTCGTCCTGCAGCGCCGGCGCGTCGAGCACCTTAAACGGCGACCGCGCGACTTTCCGCGGCGACTTTCGCGGCGTCGAGAGCGCGTCCGCCGTCGAAGCGCTCTCGAACGACGCGTCGCCGCCGACGGGGGAGAGCGAGTAGGGGGACCCGACGGGCGCGAACGCGAGGCGCGACGCCGCGTCGGACTTGAACCGGAACAGGTTGCGCGCGCCGCCGTTCGGGGATCTCGACGGGCTGGGGGTGGGGAGGGAGGGGGAGGGGGAGCGGGGACGGGGCGTCGGCGCTCGGCGGCGGGAAAAGGAAAAGACGCGCGAGACGCGCGCGTCTGGTCTGGTATCTGGTCTGGTCGCGCGCGAGCGAAGAATTGTAGTCTCGGAAGAGGCGCCGCGCGGGGGCGTCGCGACGCACCTCGAGTACGAGTACTGCCTTCCCGGCTCCGCGAACGCGATGGAGGGCCGCAGCGGGGACAGCCCCGCGGCGGCCGCCGCGGAGTCGCCGAGCATCTCCGACCGCAGCAGCGTGGAGTACGCCGCGGACGTGTCCTGCGAGGGTGGGGAATTACGAGACGACAGCGCGGAAATTCTATCGTCAGACGCGCGGGCGGGGCTCTCGAGACGCGCGCGCGCGGGCGGACGACGCGGGGAACGAACGCGCCGCTCGGCGACGCGCGCGGAGTCGACATCGCGCGCGTCGAACGAGACGAGCGAGCGGCGCGCCGGCGCGAGGCGAAGGAAACGGCGGCGTCGCGGCGCGGGGACGCGCGCGGCGAGAGACGGAGCGGCGGGGACGCACCTCGCGATCGGACGTCGCGTGCGACGACGGCGACGGCGCGGTCCTCGCGTCCATGAGGTTGAACCCGTTCAGACCCGCGGACGAGAGCCGGCTCGGGACGAAGCGGTCCGAGTACGTCGTCTTCCGCGGCGTCCGCGCGCCGCCGGGGACGGTCGCCATCGCGTCCCGAGAGCGCCCGCTCTACTGGCCAGTCGCTAACACCGAGACGCCCTCGCGCCTCTCGCCGCGCGCGTCCCTCGCGTCGCCTCCGCGCCTCGGTCGACGCGCGCGGTGGAACGATGCGGACGAGTGCGACGACGACGCGGAAGAGCGCGACGTCGGCTCGAGATGCGAACGAGCCCTGTCGTGCGCCCGGGGGAAGTGACGCCCCGCCCTCCGCCCCGGGATCTTTTCTTCCGTCCCGGGAGACGATCCGCGCGGGCGCTCGAGCGCGTGAATGCGGTCGGTGAACCCTCGGAAGGGACTGGTAGCCCTACGTGTAGATTTTAGGGTTTTTCTCAGACTAAATGCGCTGTGCGAAACGGAATTCGGTCTTTCTATCGGCTCTTTGCGGCGTGGGGTCCTGAACCAAGAAATTGGACAAAAATGCCCGAACGCTTTGCCGCGAAAAGGCGCGAAGAGCGCCAAGAAGCGCGACGCGTTCAGCGCTACGGGCAGAGCACGGCGCGCGCGTTTTCTCGCCCGCGCGACGCGCGATCACGGTTCGGGCGTCCTTGAACGACGTTCACGCGCGCGAGCGCGCGTCGATTCGCGAGACGGTCGATCCCCGCGCGAGTCCTGTCTCCGTGAATTGTGGACAGCATCGATCGATTCCCGTCCCCCCGCGCGAAAGGTCCACAAACGACGCCTACAAGAAGATGTCGGCGGTCGACGACGAGCTCCCGGACGCGCCGCGCGAGACGCCGACGCCCGGTCCGATGTCCTACGCGCACGCGCTCGACACGAGCTCCGGGAGCTCGTCCTTGAGCGATCGATCGATGCTCGCGGTGACGACCGAGGAGGACGATTCTTCGCACGCGAATCGCGTTCCCAGGGCGGAGGAGCAGGGTCCGGGCTTCCGCGACGGCGACGACGACGACGCGGCGACGACGGTCAGCGACGCGACGACGACGACCACCACCACCACCATCACCGACGCGGACGACGCAAACGCGCCCGCGCGCGGTGGGGAATCCAGGAAGAAGCCGACGCACCGACGCGGCGGCGCGCGCGGCGGGGGATCGCGCGAGCGAGGAGGGCAGCGACATCATCATCATCATCCCTCGCACCTCGCCGTCGACGAGTGGGCGACGCAGTCGTCCTGGGCCGCGCAAGCGCAGCGGATGCACCAGTACCCGCACTCGGCGTACGCGCACGCGGGCGCCGCCGCGTACGTCCCGATCCACGATCACCGCGACGCGGAGCCTCCGCCGCCGGGCACGGGCGTGCTGCACCCGACGTCGCACCTCGGCCGCGGCGCGGACGAACGTCCACCGTACGCGCGCACGTACGGCGACGACGTCATCGACCCGTACGCCGCCGCGGCGTTGATGTACGGGTACGGGTACGCCAACGCGGACCCGGTCTTGGTCGCGAACTACACCGCGTGGCAGCTGAGGCAGCACGCGGCGGCGGCGGCGGCGCACGCGGCGGCGATGGCGGCGGCGATGGCGGCGGGAGGCGGCGTCTGGCCGGGCGCGCACGGCGGCGCCTCGCGGCCGCCGATCGGAAGGCGCGGCGCGAGCGGGAGCGGGAGAAGACGACAGCCGCTGCACAAGCAGAGGACGGTGTACGTGCACGGGCTCCCCGCGGACGTCGTCGAGGAGGAGCTTGACGCGGCGTTGGCGGCGGCGGGCGCCGTCGCGGAGATCCGTCTCTACGCCGGGTTCGCGTTCGTCGCGTTCGACACCCCCGCGGCGGCGGTCGCGGCGGTGGCGATGAAGACGATCAACCTGTGCGGCGTGGACGTCGCGATCACGCCGTCGGAGACGAGCGTCACGCCCGTGAACCCGCGTCTGTTGCCGGGGAGCGAGGAGGAAAAAGAACGGTGCGCGCGAACCGTCTACGTCACCAATCTCCACGTCGCGTCGACCGCGTGCGAAGTCCGAGAGCTGTTCAACGACGTCGGCGGCGCGGTCGCGCGCGCGCACGTCCACGGGGACCCGAGCCGCGGGTCCAAGATCGCGTTCGTGGAGTTTGAGACGCTCGTCGGCGCGCGCGCGGCGATGGCGCGCGGCGGCGCGACGCTGAAACTCCGCGGCCGCGTCCTCCGCGTCTCGCCGTCGAAAACGCCGCTGCATGTGGACGGCGACGCGCCGGTATCCGACGACGCGTCCACGGGCGCGTCGGGCGACATGGACGTCCCGGAGTCCCCGAGCGCTCAGAGCGTCGGAAGCGGCGCGTCGTTCGGGGGGACGAACGAGTTTGGCGACGCCATGTCGTTCGGGTCGTTCGATTCGCACGATTCCCACGGCGGACACGCGCGAAGCGGGTCGCACGACTCGATGTCGGCGCCCGGGTCGCCGCCGTGGGTCGCCTGGCGACGGAACAGCAAGGGGTCGATGAACTCCTCGATGAACTCGCGCGGGAGCTCGCTGCGCGGTTCGAGCGCGTCGTTGCATCTCCTGAAGGCGACGTCGGAGAGCGGCGCCGAGCCGACGATGTGGCACAACGTGCACGTGTCCAACGTGTCGCTGTCGGTGTCCGAGTCGGCGCTCGCGCGCGTCTTCGCCGGGTGCGGACGCGTGTTAGACTGCCGGACCTGCGGGGACTGCGGGGACAAGAAGAAATTCGCGTTCGTCGCGTTCGAGACGTCGCACGAGGTGGATCAGGCGCTGACGCTGGACGGGTTCGTGGTGGACGGCCGCGCGATCAGAGTCACGCGATCGAAAACCGCGGTGATACCGGTGAACCCGGGGCTGCTTCCCACGTCCGAGGCGGACGTCGAGCGCTGCGGGCGGACGGTGTACGTCTCGAACATCGACCCGACGACGTCGGACGATGATCTGAAGCGCGCGTTCGAGGCGAACGCCGGGGCGATTCGGCGGGCGCACGCGTTGTCGTCGTCGCGGCGGGACGCGCGAAACGCGTTCATCGAGTTTGAGAACGCGTCGAGCGCGGTGAGCGCGTTGGGGATGAGCGGGCGGGTGATTGGCGCGCGTAAGGTGCGCGTCGTGCCGTCGAAGACGCCGTTGAAGATCATGCCGTCTCACGCGACGAAGCGCGCGAACCCGTTGAAGGACGGGAGCGTCGCGGCTGTCCCGGGGAAGGAGGACGCGGCGGCGACGGCGGGCGCGCTGGCGAAGATGACCATGGAGACTGGTCCTCATACGACCGTGTTCGCGTGATGAACGCCGATCCTTAAGGACTCCCCGGGCGGTCGCCGCGCGAGCGCCGATAGGGGTGCGTGATGGGCGTGTAAACTGTATACTACTTTCACCCGTGTAACAAGAATCGAATAATCGAGAACACTCTGAGGGTACCCGATCCGCGTCCGTCACAACGACACGGTGGACAGCCGCGCGACGACGCCGTTGCAGTGCGCCAACCCGACGACGCACACCGTCCGCGTCGGCGGCGCGTCGCTCTCGTCCGCCGCCCTCGTCGCCGTCGCCGCCGCGTCGCCGATCTCGCCCTCGACGTCCGCGACCAAGTACCCCGCCGGGTGCGCGTTCAACGCGCGCGCCGTCGGCGGCGTCGACGCGTCGTCGGCCTTCACGTACACCTCGAGCTTCCTCGCGCCGGTGACGGCGCGTTTTCCCTCCTCGCAAGACACAACCTTCGCGCGCCGCAGCCACCGCTCTACCACTAAGTCCGCGGACCGCGCCGTCGCGTCGCTCTCGCCGGCGCCGCTCTCTCCGCCGGCTCTCTCGCCGCCGCCGCTCTCGCCGCCCTGAACGCCGTCGAGCCACGCCTGGGAGACGTACCGACGGTTCACGCCGAGCACGCACCCGAGCTCGGCGCCGACGAGGTTTCCGCCGTTTTCGCGCGCGACGCGGTCCATCAACGCCAGCCACCGCGGCTCGAACAAGTTCAGTCGCCGCACCTCCCCGGGCGCCATCCGCCGCCTGAGCGTGAAGCACGGGATCCCCGGCGGGCCCGCGGCGCGCTCGCGCGCCGCCGTCGTCGCCGCGTCCGCGTGGAAGACGTGCCGCACGCGTCGAAGCTCGCCGCGGTCGACGCCAGCGCACGCGGACGCGGCTCTCGCGCACGCGGCGGCGAGGACGTCGTCGCGGTCCAGCAGCAGCACCTCCACGGCGCGTCCGAAGACGAGCAGCGCGGCGGCGTCGAACGCGACGTCGATGACGTCGAGGAGCGCGCGCCACGGCGGCGACGCGGCGGCGAGCGTCGTCGCGGTCGCGGCGGTCACGTCGCCGCCGCCGCCCAGCCCGCCGCCGCCGCTGAGCGCGGCGTCGTACGCCGTCGCGATCAGCGCGACGAGCGCGACGAGCGACGGCCCTCGCAGCGGCGCGAGCTTCCCCGGGTCCTCCCGCACGACGTCCGGGAACCGCACCGCGCCCGCGCCGCCGCCGCGCGGCCCGGGCCCGAGCCCGAGCCCGAGCGCGTTCGGAATGTGCGTCAGCGATCGAAGCAGACGCGGCGCGTCGAGGAGCTCGCGCGCGCTCGCGTCGAACACGCGCCGCCTGAGCTCGTCCGGGAGCGACCGCGCCTTGGCGTCGCCCAACACCACGAGCGCGCGCGCGGACTCCGCCGCGGACGCGCCCGCGAGGAAGTCCGCGCCGTACGACGCGCCGCGCGTCGACGACGTCGACGTGGCGAGGGCGAGGGCGAGATCGGTGGCGACGATCGCGTCGAGACGCTCCTGGTCGAGCTCGAGGACGACCGCGTCCGGACGCACCGTCTCCACGACCGCGCGCACCTCCGCCGCGGACGCGCTGCCGGGCGTGTGCACGGTCCCGACGACGTAGAACTCGTGCCGGCGCCCGCGCGCGTCGACGCGCGTCAACGCGGCGACGCACGCGGGGAGCGTCGAGGTCGTCGTCGCCGTCGGAGCGGGCGCGGCTGCGGGATCGCGGCGCGCGGACGGCGGCGCGGACGTCGACGCGGACGCGCGCGCGGCGGCGGCGCGACGACGGCCGGCGGACGCGCGCGCGGACGCCGGCGCCGGCGGCGGCCCGGCGCGCGTCGACGCCGCGGGGTGCATCGCGCGGGTTCGAGACGCCGCCGCCGCCGTGCCGTGCCTCCGATGGTGTGATGAGAGAAACGAGCTCATCGCGAGCTGAGGTGATCTTCAAAAAAAAACGCAACAGACGCCGACGAACGCGCACGAGGAGGAGGGAGGGAGAGACGCGTGCGCGACGTTCGTTCGTTCGTTCGTTCGTTCGTTCGTTCGTCACAGGTGTGCTCTTCTGTTGTGTGTCGTCTTCGTTCACGCCCTCGAGAGCTCGGCCTCGAGTCTGTTCACCGTCTCTCGCGCTCCGGTACGGCCGAGATCCCGCAAGTAGACTCGTCCAGCGCGCCGCCCCCTCGCGACTATGCCCCCTCTCCTACCTCCGCAGCTATCCTACCCTAAACCCTGGTACGGCCTCCATCTTACCTCCGCAGCTATCCACCGCAGCACATCCCCGTGCATGCGGATCCACGCTCGAGCTTTGCATTCCTCCGGATCCCACGGTGCATCGTTCGCTCGCGCCCACTGCAACACCTCCAGGTGGCCGCCACGCGCGGCATCGGCGCAAGTCCTCTCGTCCCACGGAGCGCCGTTCACGCGCGCCCACTTCAGCACCTCCAGGTGGCCGCCACCCGCGGCTTCGTGGCAAGTCTCCTCGTCCCACGGAGCGTCGTTCGCGCGCGCCCACTTCAGCACCTCCAGGTGGCCGCCAAGCGCGGCTTCGTGGCAAGTCCTCTCGTCCCACGGACAGCCGTTCGCGCACGCCCACTGCATCACCTCCAGGTGGCCGCCGCTCGCGGCAAAGGCGCAAGTCCACTCGTCCCACGGAGCGCCGTTCGCGCGCGCCCACTGCAGCACCTCAAGGTGACCTTCTCCCGCGGCATAGGCGCAAGTCCACTCGTCCCACGGGCATTCGTTCGCTCGCGCCCACTGCAGCACCTCCAGGTGGCCGCCTTCCGCGGCTGCGTTGCAAGTTCTCACGTCCCAGGGACAGCCGTTCGCGCGCGCCCACTGCAGTACCTCTAGTTGGCCGCCACGCGCAGCCTTCTTGCAAGTCAGCTCGTCCCACGGAGCGCCGTTCGCGCGCGCCCACTGGAGCACCTCCAGATGGCCGCCAGCCGCGGCATCGTGGCAAGCCCGCTCATCCCACGGACATCCGTTCGCTCGCGCCCACTGCAGCATCCTCAAGTGGCCGCCGCTCGAGGCCCAGGCGCAAGTCCACGCGTCCCACGGGCATCCTCGGGCCTTGGCCCACTTCGCGACCTCCACATTCCCACCCTCCGCGATGCACATGAACGTCTTCGCGTTCCACGGACACCCTCGCTGATCCTTCGCCCACGCCAGCCTGCTGCTCGACCCGACGAAGTTTGGCAACCTCCCGAGCTCCCTCCTCACCGCGGCGACGTCCCTCACGTCATGCTCGACGGGCGACGCGAAGACGACGTCGCGCATCTTTAGGTTCACCGTCGCGAGCACCGCGAGGTCGCCGCTGTCGAGCCGCGAGAGCACGTGCGCGGCGAAGACGTCGGGCGCGTCCGCGGCGAATCGTTCCAAGCGCGAGCCCGCGTCGAGATCTGCGGAAGTCGAGCCGTCCCCCGCGATCTCGTCGCCGGCGCCAACGAGAAGCGCGCGCTTCTTCGGTCGCGAAGGCGACATCGCGTCGCGGGGTCAGAGAGAACTTCGCGACGAGGCCGCGGAGGAGGAGGAGGAGGAGGAGGTGGCGTCGTCCCGCGCGCGAGGCGAGTGACGAGACGGGACGACGCGACGCGGGCGTTTTCGTTGTTGTTTGCGCTCTCGCGCTCGCAGGCGATTTTTTTTGACCGGCTCTGCGGTCGCTGCCTGCCGGTCGCGAAAATTTTGACCGGCCCGGCGCCTGGTGAACGCAAAAACCAAGCCCTATTTCGCACCCTGGCTGGTACAGTCAGCTCCAGATCTGTCATCCCGCGAGCACGTGCGCACGCCGGCGACGAACCGCGTCGTCGTCCGCGGCGCGCTCACTTTCGCGCGCGACGACGCGTCGACGCCGCCGCGTTCCTGAAGTGCGACCGCGCCACGCGCGTCGGTCACGCCGTCCGCGATGCTCGCACCGCGCGCGGTCCTCGCGCCGCGCGTCGCGCGCGCGTCTCGTTCATCGGCGGACGGGAAACAACAACCTTCGTCCGCCCGAACTACGACCACGTTTTTCCAACGCGCGCGCGCGACGAGACGTCGCGAGCGCGCGTTGCACGTGATGCGCTTGTACCCGGACGCGGGCTTCGTCGCGAAAGTGCAATCGAAATTCCCAGCCCAAGGCGTCGCGTCCGCGGAAGAAGGCCGGCGCGTTTCGCTCGACCACCGTCCGATCGAATCTCGCGCCCGCGCGGCGTTCGTCCCCGCGGTCGTCCACGTAACGCATCTTTCGCGAATGGAACGCTCCGCTCCCCGCGTCGACCGACCGACCGACCGACGCGTCGTCCATCCCATCCCATCCCATCCCATCCCATCCCGTCGCGCAGATGCCTGTGGGACGACGGCTACGACATCCTCGACGTCCGCGCCGAGTCCGAGATCGACCACGCCGGGAAGTGCCCAAACCCCCCAGCGCCCGGCGCCGCCGCGGGGACGCGCGTCACGCGCGCGTGTCTCGTTCACGCCGAGCGTCGATACGACCCTGAGCTCAGGGAGAAGGTGTACGCGCAGTCGGGCGTGAACCCTTCGTTCATGGCGGACGTCGAGAAGGCGTTTCAGGACAAGAACGCGAAGATCATGGTCGTGTGCGGCGACGGTCGCACGCGAGCGACGCGCGCGGTGGAGTTGATGCGCGCGGCCGGGTACGAAAACGTCGTCAGGCGCGTTCTATACACTGGTTCCCATACGACCGCGTCGGCGTGGTGAACGCCGATCCTTAAGGATTTTTGCCCGCGATTCTCTCCGTCCATCTCTCGCTTTCAACGCCCGCCCTCGACGCCTTTCAACTCCAACTGACGCCTTTGAACTTCACCCCGACGTTCGCTCGTACGGAACGACCCTCAGGCTGGAGGGCGGGTTTAACCTGTGGGCGAGAGCGTGGGATCAGACGATGCGACGGAGGAACCTGCCGGGGAGCTTCTCGCGCGGGTTCGACTCGCCGATGTTCGCGGACAGTAACGTCACGGGGGAGGTGTTTAACGTGGAGTGGAAGGACGCGACGGAGTGGGCGGTGTGATGAGACGAAGCTAGTACAAAGTACTGTACCATCTTTTGTTTCGCTCTTGAAACGGAACCGCCAGCTATTCTATGTCGTCTCTCACGCTCGCATCTCAAAGTCCGGCCGCAGCCCGGTCGCGACGAGGTCGGTGGTGTACGACGATGACCGCTCGATCCCCCCCGAGCTCTTCTTCGCGAGCTTACCACCGCTCGACCGACCGCCTTCGCCTTCGTCGTCGTCGTCGTCGTCGCCGTCGCCGCCGCCGCTCGGCTGACCCGTCCGCCCCTTCCACCTACCCTCCTCGCTCCACACCTCGTGCGCGTCGAGCTCGTCCAGTAACAAGTCGTACACGTCGTCCGCGCGTAACTTACACCGCCGTTTAAATATCGTGACGTACGCGCTCAGCAAGAACCCGTACCGCTCGTCCACGTGGAGGTCGAACCGCGGCGGGACGCCCTTGAACCTCGCCGCGTCCGCCGCCTCGGTCCACGTGTACTTCTTCACCGTCGTCTTCTCGTCCTCGACGACGTCCACGGCCTCGATCTTCTTGGTCTTCAGGTATTTCTCGAGTTCATTCATGTCCACGCGTCCGTTTATCGTGATCTTCTTGTTGTCCACCGCGCTCAGGGAGTACTTCTCCTGGCGAAGGAAGTAAATTAAGCCGCCGCCGAGGACGCCCCAGAAGCACATGTTGATCGCGAACCACACCGCGGGGAGGGAGACCAAGTACGGGTTCACGAAGTCCGCGACGTACGCGATGTTCGACGCGACGCCGAGGTACCCTCCGAACGCGCGGTCGACGATGTCGAACGCGAGCTGCCCGGCGAAGATGACCTGCATGATCTCCAGCGAGGCGTGATTTCTCGCCTGCGCGCGAAACGCGTCTTCCAAGTTTTTGGTCGTCGCCTCGATGCCCTCGTTGATGTCTCCCTTGTTCGTCATCCCGATCACGTGCGCCATGTCGCGAAGCGCCTCGAGCTCGTTCGCGCACCCGACGATCGTCTTCTTCATGTCGATCGCGCGCCTTCGAAGTTCGTTCTTCTGCACGTCGAGTCGCAGGACTTCGCGCAGCGCGAACGACGCGGGGTCGCCTTCGATCGGCTCGGGTAAATCCACGCCGTCCATGCTCTCGGCTAAGAAGGACTGAATCTCGCCCAACGTGATGACGTCCTCGGTGCACGTGGACAGCGTCTTCCGAACGATCGCCATGTTCTCCGGGTTGTTCTGGTGGTGCTCGATCAGACCGCGTGTGCGGCGGAGGATGTCCGCGAGGATGAAGCAGCGGTTGAACACGCGTTTCATGAAAATCGAACGCGCGTGGAAGCTGCCGTGACACACGATAAACGCCTGGTGCCTGAGCGAGTTCGACCCGGCGAGGAACACGCCCATCTTGCCGATGATTATTACCTCGTCGTCGCTCAGGTCGTGCCCGCTGTACGTGTCGCCGATGACCTGCTTCAGCTCGTTCTCGTAGTCTTCTTTGTCCATGTACTTTTCCGCGGGCATCTTCGGTCGCACCGCGTCCGCGACGATGCAGTTGAACTTGTCTCTGTTGTCCGAATCTCCTAAAAACGTCAGGTCTAACATCGCGCGCTGATGCGCGGCGAACAAGTTCGACACCACGGTGCTGCTGTCGTCCATGACGTCCACGAGAAGACGCGACATGAGATCCAGGGATAGGTTGACTTTGATGCGGTCCATGATGGCGTCGATCTTCAAGCCGTACGCTACGAGGCCGTTCTCGTCGAAGTGCACGCCGAAGTTTTCAATCTGCAAGATCCCGTCGTCGTTCTCGAAGAACACCTCCGCCTCGAAGTTGATGTACGACGCCTCGTCGTAGTCGAGCAACCGCACCGCGGTCATGCCCTCGTTCTTCCCGGTGAACTGCGTGCTGTCCGGCTCGGCGTCGATCGCGGCTGTGAAAAAACCGCCCTGCACGCGCTCGCCGCTCCCGAGCTTGTCGTTCAGCGCCACGATCTGGTTCCCGCCCATCGGCACCCACTCGCACGTGAGCAAGTACACGTCGTCGATCAAAATTTTCTCCTCGAGGCGGTCCTTGATGTTCGACGCGGCGAACTGCGCGAGATCCGCGCATCTCGCGGAGTTGTCCACGAGTTCCAAGTTGGCGACTCGAAGCGACGCGGGGACGAACGGCGACGAGACGTAGGACACCGTCTCGATGTCCGTGATCGTGCTCGTGCGCGCGTACCACCCGCTTCTCGTGTAAATTTTGAAGCTCTGCGACGCGGTCTGGTACGCGACGTCGACGAGGTCGCCCTCTTTGAAGATGAGCGCGTCCACGGCGTCGCGGCTCGCGTCGTCCAAGTTCGCCTTCAGGTAACTCAGCCCCTCTTCGCTTATCCGCAGCGCGACGCCGCTCTGGTAGCTCTCGGACGTGAGTTTCAGGTTTTGCACGAACCCAAACTCGCACAGGTCGTCGATGTCGTCCTGCCCTTCCTGCGACACGTTGACGTAAATTCTCTTCCCCATGACGATCTGCGCCTGCGGCGCGTAGTCGTAATCGAACACCTCGTCGATGATGCCCTCGTAGATGAGCACGAGCAGCGGCTGGATCCGCACCCATCTGGTGCCGGGGGCGTGAGGAGGAGTCGTTCCGCCGGGGTCTTTTATGGTGTCGTCCGTGTATCGCTTGATCATGTAGAGGAGGCGGAGCTGTTCGAGGGTGACTTCTGATGATTCCGACGATGAGGAGGAGGAGTTTGAACCCCGAGGGCTGCCGCCGCCATTTCCGTCGTTGTCGTCGTCTTTGTCGTCCTCCTCCTCCTCCTCCTCTTCCTCCGCGATCCCCTTCTTCTTCTTCTTCTTCAGCATATGATTCATATCGTGGTGGTGCGTCCCCGAGAGCCGTCGCCCGGTACCGGTGCCGTCGTCGCCGGTGAACTCGACCCTCCGCCTTATTCGCTCGCCGCTGTCGTTGAACGCGAGCGGCGTCTCCGGGGACGACGACGACGCGCTGCCTCCCAGGTCGCGCCTCGGGGAGAGGCTCTCGGTCACCGCGCGCGGGCCGCCGCTGCCGCCGCGCGTGAACGTCAACATGCCGCCGCCGCCGTCGTCGCAAGCCGGGGACGACGACGACGACGCGACGACGACGTCGCTCGCGCTGCTGCCGCCGCCGCCGCACAACCACGTCGGAGCTCCTGCGAATTTCCGTCGTCTCGCGCCGAGCCGGGACGCGCCTCGCGATCCGCCGCCCCCCGGCGCGACGGTCCCGAGCTCGCGGTCGCGCGGCGTCAGCGATTCGTCGCTCCTGCGTCCGAGGATACCAGAGGAGGAGGAGGAGTCCCCGGACGAGGACGACGCCATCGATGAGCGCGCGACGCGCGAGGACGACGACCGGGCGTCGCGAGGAGCTTTGTCGTCGTCATCATCGCGATTTATTATTTTTTCTGGTCCGCCTTTTCTCACGAGCCGCATCTTTCCTTTCCGGAACGGTCGACGTCCCGGACCACGCGGACGCGCTCGGGTGTACCACCGAGAGGAGCCCGCGACGCCCGCGGCTCACCTAGGCGCCTATCGCCGCTCTCGCCCGTGCACCACCACTGCACGGGGGGAGCGCGCGACGCGCCTGTGAGCATTTGGCAATTATTTGGCAGGGACCAAAAATAATGTGACATGCACCATGCTCGATTGACGCGACCACCACCGCCTCAAAACTGCTCCGATCGACCTGAAAATCTGTGGAGAGGTTCCTTACATCATGTAGATGATGATCCCGTTGTGTAATGCAAAAAAAGCTCATCCTGCCGGGATCGAACCGACGACCTTGCGGTTGATGTATTGAGGAGGCCTCAAATGGTCATCCGTTTGCGCTGTCTAGTTAACAGCCGCACGCTCTGCCAACTGAGCTAAGGATGAAACCTGTTCCGATCTTTCGATCGGAAGGTCCGATGATTGGTTTCCTGATTAAGCGAAAGAAAAAATTATAAACCACTCTGTGGTCGGTCGGCACGTGGGAAAAACAACGACATGAGATCTGACGCGACGTCGCGCGGGCACCTCGACCGCGCCGCGCGACGGACATCGCACGCACTAAGCCGTTACGACTTGAAGGTGCGTCTCACCCTCGCCTTTCCCCTCCGCGCCCACCCGCCCGCCCGCGCGCGCGCGAGCGAGCGAAGCGAAGAAGCGCGCGCGCGACGGCGCGCGTTTTCTCTCAGGAAGCGAAACGCTTTTTTTTTTGTCGTCCCCAATCTGCGCGCGTCTCCCCTCCGCGCCCGCCCGCCCGCCCGCGCGCGCGCGCGCGAGCGAAGTGAAGAAGCGCGCGCGCGACGGCGCGCGTTTTCTCGGAGAAGGCGAAACGATTTCCTTTTTGTCGTCGCGGATGATGAGATCCTCCCCGCGTCGTCGTCCGTCCCCGCAGCGCAGATGGAGGCGGCGGCGATTTTCGGACCGGCGTTCCCGCAGCCGGTGGGTGGTGTTGCCGCCCGGGTTCCACCCGTGGATCGGCGATGCTGATGACGACGATGATGAACAGCGTATTCACTGCAGAGTCGTTAAATGCACGTGCGGCCTCATCTACGACCAAGATTCGCCTGGCTGCAGGTGCGTCCCGCGGTGCTGTCCGCGTCCGGTCCCCGTCCTCGAGTACTTCACCGAAGCCGTGAAGACGGCTGTCGGTGAGAAATTCTTCAAGAAACAGAAGTTCAAAGAGAAGATGCGTTGCGGGCCGAATGGCGGCGCGTTGTGCGATTGCCCGCTCTTCTCCGTGGAAGAGATTCAGAGGTGGAACGACGACTTTTACGCGAGACGCGACGGGGTGAATCAGTTCTGGAAACTGATCGTGTACGTGAGGCACGCCGCCGCTCTGTGCGAGCGCCTGTGGCGGGAGGTGCAGGACCGGCGCGGGGCTGGCGCCGCGGTGGACGACGACGACGCGGGCACGCTCCGTCTCCTCGCGTTGGGGCGCTCGAGAATCCGGGGCGCTGACGCTCGGCTCCATCGCGTAGCTGAGTACCGTGCGGGGGTCCAGGTCGATGACGACGACAAGAAGACGAGACCCGCGCTCGAGAAGAATCTCAGGGAAGAGAAAGTGAAGCTGGCAGCCGTCCGCGTTCACTTCGAAGACCCGCCCGGCGGCGCGGCGGCGGCGTAATTTTCTTTTTAACGGAAGTACACAACAACGACGACATCTCTACTCACATCAACCTCAACACGGCTTCGTACACGGCGAACGTGATCGCGCTCGCCGGCGCGCTCTTGATCAACCCCGGCGTCAACCCCTTATAAAACCCCCCCACCCCCTCCTTCGCGAGTATCCGCCGCATCGCGCCCGCGATGCTCTTGAAAGCCTCCCCGTCCATCGCGACCCGCTCGCCGTACCGCAGCGACCGCGCCAGCCCGGCGACCTGAAACCGCTTCTTCACGACGTCCAACGGGTGGATGATCAGACGCGCGACGACGCCCGCGCCGAACCCGCACGCGCCGTTCGCGAACCCGCTCAAAGAAGGTTGTTGACCATGGTCGGTCTCCTCCTTCCCATGCTCCCATCGCATCGCCGTCCGCTTCATCGCGGCGTACGACCCGAACTGTATCGCGCTCGCGGGGATGATCTCGATCAACGTCACGCCCACGCCCGCGTATAACCCGCGGACGCCGCGGTCGCGGACGATGCCGGCGGCGGCGTCGGCGAGCGACGCGTACACCCGCGGCGACCCCTGCGCGGCTAAGACCGTCCGCATGACGTCGAACGGGTACGTCGCGACCGTCGCGGTCGCGCCCGCGATCGCGCCGCCGGCGAACGACATCGCCGGCGACGTCGGGTTCTGCCCCGCCGCGGACGCGACCTTGCGGAACTCGCCGAGCGCGGCGAACTGAATCGCCGTGTACGGCACCCACAGAAATAACGCGGGGACCGTCCCCGCCCACAGCCCGCGGAGACCCTCCTCGCGCAAGATCGTCCTCGCGCACTGCGCGATCCCGCGGTATTTTCCTCCTCCGCCGGTCGCCGTCGCCGCCGCGTTTGCGTTCAACCCCGAGAAACCGACGGGCTCGACCTGGACCTGCATCCGGATCTTCACGACGTCCAACGGCGCGACGGCGACGCGCGAGACCATCCCCGCGAACGCGCCCGCCATCGCCTGCGTGAACGTGCTCGGCGGCGCGCGCCTCGAGTCCCGTCGATCTTCTTCGCGCGAGGACGACGACGCCGCCAGGGCGGCGATCTCGCCGCCGCCGCCCACCATCGCGGTCGTCCCCGTCGCCGCGTGCGCTGGATGCCGGCGCTGGATGCCCACTCCCACTCCCGCGGCGACGCCCGCGCCGACGGAGAGGACGACGAGCCGACGCGAAGTCCGTCGCGGGAGGCTCGGCGGGAGGCTCGCCCACGGGAACGTGAACGCCCCGCCGCCGCCGATCATGGGGGGACACGCGGCGACGCGCGCCTCCAGTCTCTCTGCGCGCGCGTCGCGTCGTTATCGTCGTTCGAACCAAAAAGTAAAAGCGCACCCAAAAGATTTTTTGGCGGCGGGGCGGACGACGACGCGGATGCTCGTCGACGACCGTCGTCGTCGTCACACCGACCGCGCGCCGACGACGCGATGGAGGCGCCCGCGCCGGAGCCGCCGGCGGCGCCGCCGCCTCCTCCCGCCGCCGCGGACGCGGAGAAACCAAAAGATCATCAGTCGTGGGCGCGCCCGCCGGACTTCGACGCGCTGTCGAGATACGGCTGGCGATGGCGACCGTCGGACACCGTCGACGAGAATTACGTCGACCTCGTCTCGCTCGTGTCTCGGAACAGCACGTGCGCGGACGGGCACATGGGATGCGCGCTCGTGCGCGGCATCGCGCGCGGCGGCGGCGGCGAGCGACGCGAGACCGCGGTGGGCGACGTCGTGCTGACGACGATCAACTCGCCGCTGTTCGGGGCGCTGCGATCGGACTGCCACGCGGAGGCGAACGCCGTCGCGGAAGCCGCGGCGCGCGGGATTTCCCTGCGAGGAAACGGCGACGACGCGACGACCGTCACGTCGTGTTACGTCACGCGCGCGCCGTGCCTGAGCTGCTATAAGCTCCTCGCGAGCGCGGGCGTCGGGCGGATCGTCGCGCCGCGGCTCATGGACTCGGCGGACGCGCGCGCGTCCGCGAAAAAGCTCGACGTCGAGTGCGTCGCGTGCGAGGACACCGAGGAGAGGAGAGCGCACAGGTTAGGCCTCGGGAAGACGCACGAGAACATGGACGAGATACGCGCGAGGAGGGAGGAGAGGAAGCGGCTGAAGAGGGAGGGGAAGCTCGGGAAGAAAGAGCTCGTGCCGATCGAGAAGAAGCGCGAGCGATCGGGGCGCGGCGGCGACGACGACGAGCGGAGCGAATGATGAAGCGGAGAGGCGCGCGTCGAGGTATTAGGTGCGTTCTATACACTGGTTCCCATACGATCGCGTCGACGTGGTGAACGCCGATCCTTAAGGACTTTGCCCGGCGCATCTCTCCGCCCACCCCTCGCTTTCAATCCCCGCCCTCGACGCCTTTCAACGCCAACTGACGCCTATGAACTCCACCCCGACGTTCGCTTGTATAGAACGGCCCTTATTAGAACGTGAGCTTATTAGAAACGACAGACGCGCCGATCGCGTGGGCGGGTGGCTATCGTCGTCGTGTCGTGGTTGAAGTACATCATCGCGATGACGATCATCAGCGCTGGCTAGCTAGCGTATCCCCCCTCCCTCCTCCCGTCCGTCCGTCGAACGACCGATCGGTCACGCGCTGAACCGCTTCGGGTGCGTCGCCGCCCCCTTCGGGAGCCGGGACGTCGCCGCCGCTCTCGTCTTCCCCCCTCTTCGCTCGTCCGGCGCGGTCGCGTCGAACGCGCGCTGCGTCGGAACCTGCTGCTCTCTCGGGATTTCTCTCCACTCGCCGCGGGAGTTGATCGTGAACTGCCCGCACATGGAGAGTCTCTCGCCCGCGTGCATCTTCGGTCCGGGCGCGCGCTTCGGCGCGGACGCGAGCGACGACGCGTTCGCTCCGCTGATCGAGAGTCCGCCGAAGGGATCGCACGGCATGGTGCGAGGACGGCGGCGGCTTCGCGCTCGCGCTCGCGACGACGACGACGCGAGAGCGCGTCGCGGAGTGAAGCGACGGCGCGCGCGTCGACGGTTCGTTTCCGTCGTCCCCCCGTTCCGGAACCTGTTTTCAGCCGCCCGGACCAGACGGATCGTCGTTGATCGGGCGACTCCTCGGTCGTTCCGGTGAACGTCGTCGTCGTTCATCGCGCGATCGACGAAAAACCACGCTCGACGCGATCGAGGCGAATGATCGCGCTTTTCGCGATCTTATCGTATCCGTAAAGCGCGCCGACCCCGGGGCTGCTGTGCGTCGTCACTCGACGCGCACTCGAGAGCGCACCGCGGCCGCCGCGATGCTCTCGCTCGCCGCTTCCGCGACGACGCTCGTCGGAGCCAACGCGGGCGCCTCCGCCGCCGCCGCCTCCACCCGCCGCGGCGGCGCGTCGCTGAGCGCGCGCGATGCGACGGCGACGACGAAACCTTTGCGATTCGTCGCGCGCGGGGCGTCGTCCGATCGCGGGCGAGCGCTGACGACGCGCGTGAACGCGAAGTCGCTCGAGGAGAGGATCGCGTCCGGGGAGTTCACGCAGAAGCGGAGCACCCCCGCGGAGAGCGTGCTGAACGGCATCCGCGACGTGATCAAAGACGTCCCGCAGAGTGCGTCCCGATCCCGTCCGATCGATCGGCGCGACGATAGGTTTTTCGCAGGAGGAGCGCGAGAGACTCGACGTTCGATCGCTGACCCCCCGTCCCGAACCTCATCCCGCCCGTCCCCCCGTCCGCTCGCCCGCCACCGCCAGGTCGAGGCCTGTCCTACCAGCTCGCGAAGCTGTCGAGGAAGTGGAGGAAAGAGAGCATGTCCAAGATGCCCGTCGCCGCCGGCGACATTCGAGAGATCGCCGGGCAGCCCGTGTTCGTGCCGCTGTACAAGCTCTTCCTCGCGTACGGCGAGATGTTCGTCCTCGCGATCGGGCCCAAGAAGTTCGTCGTCGTGTCCGACAACGACGTCGCGCGCGAGATGCTGAAGGATCAGGCGACGTCGTTCAGCAAGGGGCTGCTCTCGGAGATTCTCGAATTCGTCATGGGCACCGGGCTGATCCCCGCGGACGGAGAGACGTGGAAAGTGCGAAGACGCACGGTCGTGCCGTCGCTGCACAAGAAGTACGTCGCGAGCATGGTCGACATGTTCGGCGACTGCGGCCTGAACGGATCCGCGCAGCTCGCGCGGTCGGAGATGAACGGCGACACGGTCGAGATGGAAAACTTTTACTCGCGGCTCGCGCTCGACATCATCGGCAAAGCCGTGTTCAACTACGACTTCAACTCGCTGAAGATGGACGACCCGGTGATCAAGGCGGTGTACACCGTCCTGCGAGAGGCGGAGTACCGCAGCGTGACGTTCATTCCGTACTGGAAAGTGCCTCCGCTGAGATGGCTCGTCCCGAGGCAGAAGGCGTGCCAAGAAGCTCTGGTCGTCGTCAACGACACGCTCAACATGCTCATCGCGCGGACGAAAAAACTCGTCGAGGAGGAGGACGAGGAGTTCGTCGAGGAGTACCTGAACAAGGCGGACCCGTCGATCCTGCACTTCCTCATCGCGTCCGGAGACGACGTCACGTCTAAGCAACTCCGCGACGACCTCATGACGCTGCTCATCGCCGGCCACGAGACCACCGCCGCGGTGCTGACGTGGACGACGTACCTCCTCGCGACGCACCCGGAGATCAAGGCTCGCGTGCAGGCGGAGGTGGACGAAGTCTGCGGCGATCGTAACCCGACGATCGCAGACATGATGGACCTGAAGTTCACGACGAGGGTGATCAACGAGTCCATGCGGCTGTACCCGCAGCCGCCGGTGCTCATCCGCCGCGCGTTGGAGCCGGTGACGCTGGACGGGTACAAGATCGACGCGGGGACGGATTTTTTCATCTCCGTGTGGAACCTGCACCGCAACCCGCGACTTTGGGAGAACCCGGATAAGTTCGACCCGGACCGGTTCCCGATCGATCAGAAGATGCCGAACGAGATCACGGAGAACTTCGCGTACCTTCCGTTCGGAGGCGGGCAGCGGAAGTGCGTCGGCGATCAGTTCGCGCTGTTCGAGAGCATCATCACGCTCGCGATGGTGTGCCGCAGGTGCGTTCTATACACTGGTTCCCATACGACCGCGTCGGCGTGGTGGACGCCGTTTCTTAAGGACTTTTCCCGGCGTCTCTCTCCGCCCAGCCCCCGCTTTCAATCCCCGCCCTCGACGCCTTTCAACTTCAACTGACGCCTTTCAACGTGCCGCAGGTTCGACTTCGAGCTCGACGCGAAGTTTCATCCCGACGGCGAGTGCGGGATGACGACGGGGGCGACGATTCACACGACGGGCGGTCTGCACGTCAAGCTGAAACGTCGCGACGGCGCGGGCGGGAACGAGATGCTCGGTTCGATTGACTGCGGCGACGGCGTCAAGTGCGCGTCGCTCGGCGAGCTCTCGGACGTGAACACCGGCGACGGGACCCCGGAGAGCGGCGCGGCGAGCTTCGACGAGGCCGAGCGCGCGCAGGCGAGAGACTTAAAAGAAGCCGCGGTCGTTCTCGGCGCGAAAACCGCGGGCGCGAGCGAGCTGAAGAGCGGCTCGGGGGGTGCGAAGGGCGAGAAGCCTTCGATCGACGGCGCGGCGTTGGAGGAGGCGGTGAAGGAGGCGGAGGCGCTGTACGAGGCCGAGGCGGAGCGCGAGGCGGCGATGAAGAAGGAGCTGGAGCAGAGTCTTTAGACCGAGATGCACGGCGCGCGCCGCGCGCGCGCGGGCGGGCGGTCGCGCGGGGACCGGTGTGCGGGACGCGCGGCGGCGGCGACGGGGGAGAAGTGACGCGACGATCGACCGAGGGTTGGTGGTTCATCAGACGTCTTCTTTCGTTTAGATCAACACCGCAACTATCAACTTCAACTTCAACTTCAACATCAACTTCAACACAAATAGTGACGGCGACGCGCGACCGACGCGCCTCCAGGTCCGTTTCGAATGCTAAACGCGTCGTGTTATTAAAACTCATCCTAATGATCAAGGGTGCGGCGCGATTTCGCCGCGCCCTTCCTCTTCCTCGCGATCGATCCCGCCCAGCCGGTCCTCGAGATCGTGCGCCTCAACTTCAACGTTGACAACGTCAACATACAGTAAGATTACGCTGACCTCCTCGTTCTCGTCGCCTCTCACACGCCGAGCTCGGCGGCGGCGTCGACGAGGTCTTTCAAGTTGACCCCCGCGCCCTCCATCGCGTCCCACTCGAACCCGGGGAACAAATCCTCGATCGCGAGCGAGCCGCGACGGGTGCGGAGATGTATCGCCGCTTTCGCGAGCGCCGCGTTCGCGAACCGCAAACCCGGCTCTTTCTTCGTGTGCCCCGCGCGCACTTGCCTTCTGACGAGCATCCAGCGCTCCGCGGCTTTCGACGGCGCCGTCGGCGGCATGGGCGCCTTCGCCGCGCTCGGCTTTGGCGTGAAATACGCGACGACGCACGTGACGTCGTCCGCTCGCGTGTCCTCCTCGCTCCAGGACGCGTACGCGGCGCGCGTGATCTCCTCGCACGCCCCCAGCGCGTCGCCCTCGTATCTCTCGCATATCGCGAGCACGGTTTCATTTTCCATAAACTCAAAGACGCCGTCCGACGCGATCACGAGGCACCGGCTCGCGTCGTCCAAGCGATACGACAGCGTCTCCGGCTTGGCGCTGATGCCGAGGCTCTTGCCTATTGTGTCGCCTAAACTCCGCGTGAACGCGCACCCGGGGTAGTGCTCATTGTTCTTGAACACCCGCGGCGGGTCGTCCGCGGCCTCGATCGTCTCCTCGCCGAAGTCTTCGCTTAACGGAACCTCGCCGAGGATCATCCCGAGCGTCGCAAACATGACGTCCTCGGTCGCTTCTCTCTTCATGCGCACGCGCTCGTCGTGCCGGAAGCACGTCTGGTCGTGCGTCACGGGTAGGACCTTCCACCTAGGACTGGCGTCGTTCTCGTTCGTTGGCGTCGCGATTCCAAAGATCGCCCTCGAGTCCCCGACGTTCGCGACGTGCAGCATGTCCCCGATCAAGTGCGCGACGACCGCGGTCGTTCCCGACAACTTCGCGTCCTCCCCGAGCTCGCGCACGATGACGTCGTTCGTTCGCTCGAACGCGGTCGCGAACGCGGAGGGCGCCGCGTCGTCGCCGTCGAGCGGCGACGCGCGCTTGTGGTCGCCAAGATGGTTCTCGAAGGCGTCGTCCGCCCGCAGCTCCTTCAGCGTCCTCGGGAACGTCGCCGCCGCGATCTGCGCCGCGTCCTCGCCGTGGACGCTGTGGCCGTCGAAGACCCCGAGCAAGCATTGGTTCGCGTCGCCCTCGAACGCGACGTTGAGGACGAAGGTGTCTTGGTTCACGTGCGCGCGCGTTTTGTCCGGGTAGCAGCCCTCCTGGCACACCGCCGCGGCGACGACGCGATGATGCGCGAGGTCCGCGGTCGCGATCGGCATGATCTCGCGGCGGGTGCGGTCCATGAACAGCTCCGTGGGTTTCTCCTCGGGGGGTTCGCGCGTCGGCCACCATCGCGCGGACATTGCGGAGAAGCGTGGATTTTCGAACGCCTGTGATTGCTAAGCGATGAGTGCCAGCCAACGGTCAACGCACGCGGACGTCCCGGGCGAGGGCTCGCTTCGCTCGCGCGCTCGCCCCGAAGCGCGCAGCGTCGGCTCGCCGACGCGCGGCGACGCCGAGCGCGTTCGACCGCGGCGAAGTCCGTGGCCCGGCGTCGGCGTCTCTGCGCGCGCGCGCGGCAGAGATCTAAATGTGTGATAGCATTGTGTGTGTGTGATCCAATCATAAGCTTAGTTGTCTCCGTCGCAGTGTCCGAACAACACAATCTGGATCTGACTGGACAACTTCGTGACATGCTACACGTGTGTACACGTAGCCCTATGGCTTTTTAGTCAGGACAAACGTAAGACAAAACCGCAAAAAAAAAAAAAAAAAAAAAAAAAAAAAAAAGTCGTACTCGTACGCAGGTGACTGTTTGCGCGTGCACGATTTAACGATCGAAAATACAGGTACTGTAACACCTTCGTAAACAGTTGAACCGTGAACGACGGTCTAAAATCGCACCGCACCCGCTACTGCTCCGCGTACCCAACGACGGTCGCCCTGACCCCCCCTCTCCCCGTCCATCACGCGGCGCTGTCCGACAACTTCGCGATCAGCGCCTCCTGCTCCTCGCGCACGCGCGCCAACGAGTCAAACTCCGCGCGCAGCCGGTCGAGCTCCGCGCGTCGTTCGCGTCGAAGCGCCCCCGTCTCGGCGCGCGCGCGTCGCCGACGCGCCGCCTCCAGGGTCGTTCCATACGAGCGAACGTCGGGGTGGAGTTGAAAGGCGTCAGAAGCGGAGTTGAAAGGCGCCGAGGGCGGGGATTGAAAGCGGGGGGTGTGCGGAGAGATGCGCCGGGCAAAGTCCTTAAGAAACGGCGTTCACCACGCGAACGCGGTCGTACGGGGACCAGTGTACAGAACGCACCTCCGACGCCGCCTGGTTCCGCTTCCCCACCGCGCGCAGTTTCTCGCGCTCGGTGCGCGCCGCCTGCGTCGAGGCGGGGGTTTAAGGCGAAGGGAAACGAAGCGCGCGCGACGTCAGCGGGGAGAGCACGGGATGGAGGGAGGGAAGAAGGAAGAGGACGGAAGGACGAGGGACCGCGGGAGGGAAGACGAAGACGTGAGCGTATTAAACGACAGCGACGGCGAGCGACGATCGATCGACGACGCGCCTGCGCGTCCACGGCGTCGACGACGGTCTTCACGATGTAGTTCAGCCGCGTGACCTTCTCGCAGAAGTCCTTCGCGCCGTCCGCGAGCGCTTGCGTCTTGTCGAACTTCTCCGCGTCGAGCACGCGCACGCGGAACGACTGCGGGACGCGACGCGGGGAGGGGAGAGACGACGGCGAGTGAGCGTTCGTCGACGCGCGGTTTCGATTTTGAACGACGACGACGACGACGACGACGACGACGGAAGGGCGGACGACCGCGAGGGGACCGCGGCGCGCGTCGAACGCGGCGACGACGACGCGGGGAGGAGGAGGGCGACGACGCGCGGCGCGGGTGGGTCGCGCGCGGGCGCGGGCGCGCACCTCGTCGAACGTCACCGCGCTCTCTTCCGCCATCGTTGACCACGACGCGGTGCCGACGCGAGATGCCGCGACGACCGCGCGACGCGAGCGGCGGCGGCGACGCGCTCTTCGCGGCTGGCGGTCGCGCGCGACGCGCGGCGCGACGCGGGCGGCGGCGGCGGCGACGACGACGACGCGCGGGGTCGCGAGGACGCGCGACGGTCTCGAGCGCGCGCGCGACTAGCGACGGACTCCCGTCCGCGGCGAACCGCGCGCTCAAAAAAAATCTCGACTCCACCGAAAAGTGCTTCTTCGCGCGGTCGCACTCCGCGCCGCGCCTCGCACGCGGCATGTCCGCGCCGCCCACCACCCCCGCGCCGAGCTTCTCGGAGATGTTCACGACAGGCTCCGGGAACGTCGTGACGTCTCCGAACCCGGAGAACGTCGCGAGAGCTTCCCGCTTCCTCGACGAGAGCACGCCAGCGCCCGCGCCGTGGCGACGGCAGCTTCCCGTGCGCCCCGCCTCGCCTCGGCTCGCTCGCGTCGCGCGGCGCGGCGTATCGCTCACGCCCCCACCCCCGCCCCTTCCTCTTCCGCGCGCAGCCGCAGCACGAGCGAGAGCCAGACGCGAACGCGAGCACGCCGAAACGCCGCAAGAGAGAGGAGTGACGAGCGACGCGCGAGACGACGAACGGAAGCAGAGCGGAGACGGAGAGAAGAAAGAACACGCGTTGACGACGAGTTTAAAAACGACCGACGTTTAAAAACGAACGAACGACCGACAACCGCGCGCGAGTCTAATACGCCTCGTCGTCGTCTTCGTACCCCCGTCGCGCGTCCTCCGCGTCCGCGTGCAACTCCCGCACCACGTTATACAGCGTCTCCTCCAGCGCCCACTCCGCGAGCGTGCGGAACTCCGGGTTCGCCTCAGCCTTAGCCGCCTCCGCGTCGAACGGCGTCGGCGTCGGCGTCGGCGTCGGCGCGCGAGGCGAAGCCTCCGCGGCGGCGCCCCTCTCGAGCGCGTCCGCGATCGACCCCGCGACGCTCGCAGCCATGGACGCCGCCTTCGACCCGTGCGGCGTCGCCGTCATCGACGCCGCCCTCGAGCTGAGCTTCTTCTGCAGCGACTTGATCGACGACGCGACCGACGCGCGCGACGGCGGCCGCGACGCCGTCGCCGGCCTCGAGTCGCGCTTCGTCGGACTCGCCGCGGACGCCGCGGACGCTGGACGCGAGGACGCGCGACTCGAGGACGCGAGGTCCGGCGTCTTCGGCGGCGACGCGATCGACTCGCGCGCTCTGAGCGCGCGCGCGGGCGCGCCGCCGCCCACGAGCGAGAGGTAGAACGGTATCTCCTCCTCCTCGAGATCGTCAAACTCTCGCTGAATCTCTGGATCGCGCGCCGTCTCGCGCAGCAACTCCGCGATCATGAGCGCGGCGTCCTCCGCGGTGAGGTCCGCGGGGAGCGTCTCCACCCTCGGGTCCGGTCGGTACGTCGGGATGAAATGCCGATCGAACGCCTCCGCGCCGTGCTCCTCCCTGAACGCCACCTCCGTCTGCACGATCCCCTCCACGCCGAGCGCGACGACGTGGTCCGCCGGCGGCGGCGGCGGCTTGGGCAGCGTCTTCTCGTGCTCGCGCCTGTGCCGCGCGGTGAGCTCCGGGAAGGTTATAGCGCTGTTCTCCGTGCTCGCGTGCAGGACGGACATCCGCTCCTTGCTCGCGTACGAGACCCACACTTCGCTCTTGCCCTGCTTCTCGAGCTTCGTCGGCATCGACGGCGCGGGCGCGCCCTGCTCGGCGACCGCCACCGGCCGCGTCTTGGCCTCCTCCGCCAAACGCGCTTCGTACTCGAGCTCCTCCCTGGACGGCGTCGTCGGCGTGAGCTCGCATCGCACGGCGCCGTCGAACACGCGCGGATCGGTGCCCGCGGTGAAGATCACCTTGATCATGACGCTCTCGCCGCGATTGAGGACGCCCTCCGCGGGCTCGATCGCGAGCGCGCCGATCGTCTCGTTCCCCGCGAGCGCGCAGAGGTTCCACTTGAAGTCGTAGTCAAAGTCCGAACACGACGTCAGCGCGACGACGCGGCGCACGATCGCGAGCGACGGGATCTCGCCGAATGCGCACGCGTGCGTGGACAGCTGGAACGGCGTCGCCGGCGGCAGCGTCGGCGTCGGGCGGTACCCGATCCATCGCGAGCGGTCGATGTCGCCGAGAGCCGCGCCGTCGTTCGCGGCGCCGTCGCCGTCGCCGTCGCCGCCGAGCGGCGAGACCCCCGCGCCTCGAATCGTCAGCACCGAGTTCTCGCCGCCGTGTATCTTGATCTCCACGGACGTCTCGTACACCTTCTCCTCCGCGGGCTGAAATATCCAGTCCACGGACGCGACGCCGAACGCGGGGACGACGCCGCTCGGGTTCAGACATCGCAACACCGGGAACCCCCACGCGTCGCGATTCAGCGCCTCCGCCGGCGCGACGTCCACGACGTATCGTATTGCGTCCGCGCACGGATTCCGCAGCTCGATCGACTGCGTCGGCGGGCGCATCTCGCCGATGCGAACGGGAGAGAGCACGTGCGTCGCGATCGGCGCGTTCGCGGGGCCGAGGTCGAGGCACTTGGCGTCCAGCGCGACGGTCCGACCGCCGAGCTCCAACCGCACGGAGCGGCCGTCGGCGATCGTCAGCAACGCCGTCAGCCAGTGCGCGCCGACGTGGTCGTGCGCGTACGTGATCGTCACCGCGGTCTTCTGCCCGGGCTCGAGGTGGCCCCTCCGCGGGTACACCTTCACGACGCCGTTGTCCACGAGCCACATCTGGTGCGCGTCCACCTCCGTGTCGGGCTCCGAGAGCTCGACCCAATTCTCCGCCTCCACCTCGAGCTCGTTGCGGAACAGCACGCGCCAATCCGCGGGGAGCGTCCCGACGTTGGTAACCTCGAGGTGCGTCACCGTCGCGGGCGCGCCCTCCACGTGCACGCCCATGCCGGTGGCCACCGCGGAGAGCGGCGCGAGCGCGCGCGAGGAGACGATCGTGCCGTCGACGCCGCCGTCTTTCGCCATCTTGTGCTCCGCCGGCGTCGGCGGCGTCGCCAGCTGCGCGTTGAGCGCGTTGATCGACAGCCGCTTCCAGAGCAGCGGCTTCGCGACGCCCTCGCACGCGGCGTCCGTGACGCGGAGCGTCGGGAAGTCCGCCGTCGCCCGCGCCGCGGTCCACGGGAGGTCCGCCTCCGTCTCCGGCGGGGTCGTCTCCGCGGCCGCGAACGGCAGCGTGGACGACCGCGACGCCGCGGTCAACGAGCTCGTCGTCGTCGCGTTCGATTTCGGATCCGCGACGGTGTGACACACGACGCGAAACTCGCAGTCCGTCACGCGCTGCCGCCCGACGAAGGACACCACGACGGGGACGACCGCGCGCGCGTTGATCTGGCCGATCGGCGCGTCGAAGCTCACGTCCGCGTCGAACTCGGACGACCCCTCCGCGAAGACGCACTCGAGGCGGTACCGGATCATCCCCGCGGACTGATTGTAGAGCTCGATCGTGCGCTCCTCCTTTTTGTCGACGAGGCACGTCCCGAACGTCAACGTCCGCGGCTGCATCGTGAGCGCGCCGGAGAGGCCTTCGCCGCCGACGCTGACGTACACGCGCTCCTGATCCGGAAGCACGCCCTCGCGCGCTTGCCTCGGCGTCTGCGGGACGCGGACGACGAGCGGCACCCTCGCCGCGAGCCGCTTGACCTCTCTCGGGGAGAAGTTCCACGTCGACGTCAGCGTCTCGCCGCCCTTCACCGTCCCCGACGCCGGCGACACCGCGAGCACGCCCGCGAGCTTCTCCGGGATCGCCCACTCGTACAGGATGTCTATCCGCGATTTGTTCACGACGTTCACGTCCCTGGTCGTGATCGCGCCGACGCACGTGGGCTTGAACACGAACGAGTCCTCGTCCCCGACGACGAGGCTCGGGACGAACCCTTGCGCGCGCGCGTTCAACACGAGGACGTTCTTCTCGCTGCCGTTGAGCGAGCACGCGATGCTCTCGACGTGCTGCCGCGTGTCGCGCGCGTCGAACCGGAACGTCACGAGCGCGTGCGAGTGCGGCATGACGTGACCTTTGCTCGGGAAGCATCGCAGCGGCGACGCGGCAGCCGCCGCGGACGCGTTCTCCCCCTCCGTCGCGTCCGGGCGTTTCGTCGGAAACTCAAAGCCCACCGCGGTGTCGCCGTCGTTGATCAGCGCCACCGTGAGATACGCGCGCTCGCCGCGCACGGTGGGGGGGGAAAACAGCCGCCCACCGCGGCAGGAGAAGTGGCACTTGGGCATGAACGCGTCGAACATGGCGCGCGCGTCGCGGAACGTGTGCCCGTTCGCCCGCAGCGTCGTCGTCCACGGCGGCACGAAATTATCCGCGGTGACTTGCCGAAACGACCGCATCGTCTTCACGTACGCGAAACACTCGAGCTGCCTCGTGTAGTACCGGTTGTCCATCGACGGACGGAACGTGACCTTAAACTCCTGCGTCTCGCCCGGTCGGACGTCCGCGGCGTCGGGGGTGACCGCGTACGGCCACCTGGCCGCGGACTCGGCCATCGCGTCTTGGGTCTTCGCCGAGGTGTCGCCCGTCGCGAAGTGCTCTTGCCCGCCCCAAAACACGACGAGCTTCTGCGGGGTATCGTTCCTAAGGACCACCGTCTTCGCCTCGACCAGCCGCGTCGTGCTGCACGCGCCGAAGTCGAGGTCGGTCACGTCCAGGGACACGCCGCAGTGCGCGTCCGGCTCGAACAGCGAGCCGAAGGTGTCCGACGGCGGCGCGGCCGCGGCTTCAAAGCGACGTCGGGGTGGAGTTCAAAGGCGTCAGTTGGCGTTGAAAGGCGCCGAGGGCGGGGATTGAAAGCGGGAGGTGGACGGAGAGAGTCGACGGGCAAAATTCCTTAAGGATCGGCGTTCACCACGCCAATGCGGTCGTATGGGAACCAGTGTATAGAACGCACCTTCTTGCGCCGCCACCTCCTCCTCGTACGGCTCCCTGTCGCCCGCAATCGGCGGCTGCCCGGGGGATATCAGCCCCAGCGCGCACCGCGCGCGGTACGCCTCGACGTGCGAGAGGTACATGGGCGCCGGGCGCCGCTTGGAGTCGTACGACGTGCCGACCGCGTCGAACGCGAGCGGCGGCGCGTCGCGGAGCGTCACGACGACGCGTTTGTGATAGTTGGCGCACTCGATTGGCGTGAACGTCACCGTCACCGTCGCGGCGGACTTCGGGGGGATCACGCCCCGGTCGGCGTCGAGCGAGAAGACGCCCAGCGTCTCCGAGTTGATCTGCCAGTGGCAACTCACGTCGCTGTCGTTCTCGATCTGCACCGTGCGCGTCGGCGTCTTCCCGATCTCCGCCGAGTTGAAGTTGATCTTGTGTAGGCTCAGCGAAACCTTCGGCCCGATCGCCGTCCCTTTCAAGAGCAGCACCGCGACGTTCCCCCCCGGGGTGATGAACTTGAACGTCTCCGTGCTGAACATCCCGGGCACGCTCGGCGTGTACACGAGCTTGATCATCTCCTTGCCGCTCGCGTCGATCCTCCCCTCCGCGCCGTCCCACAGCCTGCCGTTTTTCGAACCCACGCGAAACACGTGGTCGTGGAGCGCGTCGTCCGCGACGCGCTCGATCGCGTACGACGCGCCGACGACGCTCTGGTTCACGAGCCACACGCACAACTCCGTCGTCTTGCCCACGACGACGTCGCCGAAGTCAACCACGCGCTCGGACAGTCGCACGTACGGGAACTTCCCCACCGCGCTGATCTTCGTCTCGGACGCGGCGACGCCGCCGTTGAGGACGAGAGCCGCGCGCAGCACCGAGACGCTCGCGTCCTCGGGCGTGAACTCCGCGCGCGCCATCCCCGTCTCGCCCGGCTTCAGACGCCCGGTCAGCGGGCTCAGCGCGAACGCGCACGGCGACGGGATCTTCCACTCGTACTCGAACGGCTCGTCGCCGTCGTTGACGAACGCGAAGTCTTTCGCGATGCGCTCGCGCACCGCGCCGTAGCCGAGGTCGACCGCGGGCGCGAGCGCGACGGACGTCACCGGCAGCAGCGCCGCGATCGCGACTCGAAACGTGTCGTGCGGCTCCGGGTGTATTCCGCGGACTTTGAACTCCACGAAGTCCTCGTACTGTTCCGTCTTGATCGGGCGAAACGTCACGTCCACGCTCGCGCTCATCCCGGGCGAGAGCGTGATGACCTCAGGGAACTCGAGCTCGAAGTACTTCGTCTTCGGCATGCGGTACTTGAGCTTGAGCGTCTTCGTGCTGACGTTCTTCAGCGCGATCGTGCGGACGTACTCCCCGCCGGGCTCCCACGTCCCTCCGCGCCACGTGAGCCGCTCCGGGCAGTCGATGCCCCAGACCTGCACGCGCTCGTATCGCGCGGTCATCGTCGGAGGCGCCAACGTCTCGTACCGCGACGTGGTGGTCGCGCCCGCGCCGCGCGCGCTCCCGCCGGGGGGGAGCGAGGTCCCGACCGCGGCGCCGCGGCCCATCTCGGCGGGCGGGCGGACGGACGGCGCGAGCGCGCGTTCCGATGCGTGCGCGCGAGCGGACGACGGTGCCGTGCGTCGCCGCGCCCCGCGCGCGCTCTCTGCCGCGCGATCGACGGCGAGAGCGCGGAGGATTGACTTCCGCGTTTGGAAGCGAGCGGCAACGAATGGATTCTTGAAAGGGCGTTTTCATCGGCGTTCTCGGCGTTTTTCATCGACGTTTCTTTCAAAATCGGCGACGTTCAAAGGCTGCTTGACCCTCGCGATCGCCGAACGTATCGATCCTCGATCGAATCGACGGCGACGGCGGACGCGAACGTGCTTGGCTTCTGTTGGCGGCTGCGGCGCGCCCGCCGCGAGCTCTCTTTTCGACGCACCGGGCCGCGACACCGCCGGCGCCGCGCGTTCCGTGTACACGCGTCCGTCCCGTTCGAAGGACACGCGAAGACGCGCGGAAGAGAGGGCGAGACACGCCTCGTCGTCGTCGTCGTCGTCGTCGTCGTCGTCGCGCGCGGAGAAGGGCAGCGCCGAGGCAGGGTTTTTCACCGCGGCGCGCGCGGTTCCGCCCGTCATGGCGCCCGTCGAAGCGAAGACGCACGACCTGACGTCCGAGGTGCGCGTCTGAACCCGCTCGCGGACGTTCCCGCGCGCGACGGGCGCGACGGCGCGGCGCGAGGGCGCGCCCCGACGCGCGATCGCGCCGCCGTGGCCGCGCCTTTTCCCACCCCGTCGTCGTCGATTCTTTTCGGCCGATCGTTAGATCGCATCCCGCCTCCGCCTCGCGCGCGATCGACCCTCGACTGACGCCCCCCGCGTCCCACCCCGCGTCCCGATCGTCCACCGCGAAACGCGTCAAACTATCTATGACGACAGCTCGGGAAGTACCTCGACCGCCACCTCGTGTTCCCGCTCCTGGAGTTCCTCCAAGCGAAGCGCGTGTACCCGGAGAACGAGGTCTTGGAGGCGAAGATCGCGCTGCTTAACAAGACGAACATGCTCGACTTCGCCGCGGACATCTACAAGTCGCTCCACAACAAGAGCGACGTCCCGGCGGCGATGCAGCAGCGGAGGGAGGAGGTCATCGCGAACCTCACGGAGCTGTCCGTGAAGGCGGAGAAGGTGGTGAACTTTCTGTCGGACCCGACGCTCGTGAAGCAGCTCCGAAGCGACAAGGCGTTCAACCTCGCCTTTCTTCAAGAATCGCACGGCGTCGGCCCCGAGGATATCGACGCGCTGTTCCACTACGCCAAGTTCCAGTTCGAGTGCGGGAACTATCAGGCCGCGGGGGAGTTCCTCTCGCACTACCGCGGCCTGTGCACGAACAGCGAGCGCGGCGCGAGCGCGTTGTGGGGCAAGTTTGCCTCGGACATTCTCCTGCAGCAGTGGGACGCCGCCGTGGAGGACCTGACGCGGCTCAAGGACGCGGTGGAGAACCGCGCGTACTCCAGCCCGCTCGCGCACGTGCACGCGCGGACGTGGCTCGTTCACTGGGCGCTGTTCGTGTTCTTCAACCACGAGAACGGGCGGAACGCGATCATCGACTTGTTCTTTCAAGAGCGATACATGCAGGCGATTCAAGCCGAGGCGCCGCATCTCTTGCGGTACCTCGCGGCGGCGATCATCACGAACAAGCGCCGCCGCAGCATGCTGAAGGACCTCGTCAGGATCCTGCAGTGCGAGACGTACTCGGACCCGATCACGGAGTTTTTGCTGAAGCTGTTCGTGGAGTACGATTTCGACGGCGCGCAGACGAAGCTCGCGGAGTGCGACGTCGTGCTCGAGAATGATTTCTTCCTCGTCGGCTGCAAGGACGAGTTCAACGAGAACGCGCGTCTCTTCATCTTCGAGACGTACTGCAGGATTCACCAGCGCATCGACATCAAGATGCTCGCGGATAAACTGTCCATGGACCACGACAGCGCGGAGCGGTGGATCGTGAACTTGATCCGGAGCACGAAGCTCAACGCGAAGATCGACTCGGAGAAGGGGACGGTGCAGATGTACGACCAGGCGCAGAGCGTTCACGACATGATCGTCGAGAAGACGAAGGCGCTCACGTCGAAGACGTACTCGCTGTCGCACGCGGTGTTGTCGAACACCCAGGCGCAGGCTGGGTCGGTCGTGTGAACGTCGGTGAGTGGTGGGGGTTGCGTACTGTAGAGCTTTAGTCGTTCCAAAATGCTGAAAAGAACAAAGACGCGACGCGTCTGGTCTTGAATAAATCGCATCACTTCGCGGCGCGCTTCCCTCGCGTCGTCGGCGTCTTCGTCGACGTCGTCGCTTTCCGCTTCGTCCCCGTCGCCGCCCTAGCCTTGGCCGGCGTCTTCGCCTTCGCGGCCGGGCTCTTCTTCACGCCAAACTCCTCGAAGATGACGTCCTTCCAGCGCTTCTCGTCGGCCACCGTGAACGCGGCGTCCTCGTCGATTTCCTCGTCCTCGAAATCTTCGGGGAGGTCGGGGTACGCGTCGTCGTCGTCGTCGTCCTTCTTCTTCGCGGCCGCCTTCTTCGCGCCGACGGGGGTCTTCGCCTTCGCCTTGACCGGGGCCTTCTTCGTCGACTTGGCCGGAGTCTTCTTCTTCGCGTTCTTCGCGCCGCCGCCAAAGTCGTCGAACGTCACGTCTGCGTATTTCTTTTTATCCGCCGCGGTGAACGCGCTCGCTTCGTCAATCTCCTCGTCTTCAAAGTCCGAAGGGAGCTCGTCGTAGTCTTGAACCGCTCTGACGACGATCTTCGACGCGGTCGCGGGCGTCTTCGTCTTAGCGGGCGTCTTCGTCTTAGCGGGCGTCTTCGTCTTAGCGGGCGTCTTCGTCTTAGCGGGCGTCTTCGTCTTCGTCTTCGCCGCCGGGGTCTTTTTCGCCTTCTTCGCCGAGCCGCCGCCGCCAAAGTCCTCGAACGAGATGTCCCTCCACCGCTTCTTGTCCTCCTCCGTGAACGCGGCGCCCTCTTCGATCTCCTCGTCCTCGAAATCTTCGGGGAGATCGGGGTACGCGTCGTCGTCGACCGCGGCGGGAATGGCGACGTCCCGCCGCTTCTCGCCCTCACCCCCCTTCGTCTTCGCGTTGAATGCCTTCTTCGCCTTCCCCCCGCGCGCCACATCCATCGCCGCCTCCCTCGAACACCGCTCGCAGACGCACTCGAACCCGTACACCTCCCTCAGCTCGTCCCGACGCTCCCCGACGTCCGCGTCCACGTCCACGTACGCGATCGTGAGCTCCTCCCCCGGCTTCAGCGTCCTCCTCGCGACGACCAGCACCCTCGCGTCGTCGACGTACGCAACCTCGCAGTTGGGATCGCACGAGTGGTTCAGCGAAGACGCGAGCGGGAACACCGCGGCGCCGCGCATCGCGGGGAACAGCGACGTGTCGAACTCGATCGCGTCGTCGCCCTTCCCCCAGATGAAGTCGCACCTCTCGTCTCTCTCCTCGTCCTCGGCCTCGTCGTCGCTGTCGCCGTCGCTGTCGTCCTCGCTGTCGAGCGCGGCGCCGTCGAGAAGCGCGTTTTCCTCGTCGACGCGCCTCGCGACCCGGACGTCGCGCTCGCGCGAGAGCCACCGCACGACGCCCCGCATCGGCCCCGTCACCGACGCGTCGCCCGTGTTGGCGCCCGGGGTGGTGACCAGGTACCGCGTGATAGGGTTCGGGACCTTCACCGTCATCGAGTTCATCTGCGCGGCGCCGCACAGGCGCGCGAAGCCGTCGCGCGATGCGATGGACGCGCCGGAGACGGCAAACGCGGGCGCGTCTCTCAACGCCGCCTCCCCGAAGGCTCTCTTCAGCGTCAGCTCCAGCGACGGCCACGCGGCGTCCACGAGCGCTCTCAACCCCTCGCGCGCCAACTCGTCGCTCGCGAGCTCGTGAATCTGCGCGTTCGCCAGGTGCCGGACGCCGTCGACGTCGAGCGCGTCGCGGGGGGCGAGCGCGCACGCGGCGAGTTGCGCCGCGAGCATCGCGCACCGACGGTCGGCGCGAGGGGCGCCGCCGACGACGTCTATGAACGCGCGCCACTCTTCGTTGGCGCGCACGCGCAGCTTCAAGAACCCGGTGCACGTGCACGGCCACGAGGAGTCGCGGCCGTCGCCGCAGTACCTCGAGCCATAGATGTTCGTCGCGTCCGCGAGTACGAACGGCTGCGCGTCCGAGACTGGGAGTTTCTTCTTGAACTTCTGAGGCGCGAGATCCGCGATGGGAGGCGGCGGCAGCGCCTTCGAGCCCTTCCGCGGCGGCGGCGCGTCCGCGGCGTCGCGCGACGCGGCGGCGGCGCGCGATCTAAGCAACGCCTCGAGCTGGGAGGCGATATTTCCGGTGAACGCGCCGCACGTCTCGCACGTCTCGTACGGCGGCGGCGGCGATTCGTCGACGTCCTCGAGCGCGGCGGCGGTCAGATCGACGGCGCGAAGCAGCGCGCACGGCGCGTCCCTGAGCGCGACGTCGCCCTCGGCGAGGTGCACGAGCGCGTAGACGCCCTTGCCCTTGGCGGCGTCGTCGCAGTCGCGCGTCTGCACGACCGCGGTCTCCCCGAGGGCGGTCGCGAAGAGGACGTCCATCTCGTGAGGCGGCGCGGAGGGATGTGATGCGCGTGCGCTCGTCCGCGTCCGCCGCGACCGAAACTCGCACTCGCGCTGACGATTCGAGGCGCGCGCGCGCGCCCCTTCGCATTCGAAGAGACGCCCCGGCGACGCCGCCGACGCGTCGCACGATGAAGTCGACGACGGGGTCCGTTCGCTTCGCGACGCACGTCGTCGTCGTCATCCTCCTCCTCTTCCTCGCGCGCGTCCCCGCCGCGCGCGCGACGGCGACGCCCGCGATCTCGCGCGCCGCGTCGTCGTCGTCTTCGCACACGCTCGCGCTTCGTCCGCGCGCGGGATCGGACGACGTCTCGCACCGACGCGAGACGGACGCGATGCGCGCGACGAGAAGACGCCTTCTGAGCGACGCGTCGTCCGCGCACGACGCCTCCGCGACGATGCCCGTGCGCGGATCGCTGCGCGAGCACGGGTACCACTACGCGGAGGTCGCGCTCGGGACGTTCGATCCCCCGCGGTTTTTCCAAGTCATCGTCGACACCGGGTCGTCGTACCTCTACGTCCCGTGCGGCGACTGCGGGGAGAAATGCGGGACGCACACGAACGCGACGTACGACCTGGCCCACTCCACGACCGGGCTCGGCGTCCTGTGCACCGACAGGGACTGCCCGACGACGTGCCCGCGCGCGCGCGGTCGCGGGCGGCGGCGGCGGCGGCTCCTCGGCGCCGACGGCGGCGGCGACGTCCCGCGGTGCGAATTCTCCGCGAGCTACGCGGAGATGAGCTCCGTGCGCGGGCGCGTCGTGCGCGATAGGATACACCTCGGCGAAGAGATCGGCGCCGTGGACGTGACGTTCGGGTGCACGATGGAGGAGAAGGGCAGCATCTTCCGGCAGGAGGCGGATGGGCTCATGGGGATGGGACGCGCCAACGACATGTCCATGCCGGTGCAGCTGAGCCGTCGCCACGGCCTCGCGGACGTGTTCTCGCTGTGTTACAACAACTTCACCGGCGGCGGCGCGCTGACGTTCGGGCGCGCGAAGGGGATGGGCGACGGCGAGGCGCACGCGGACCACCCGGAGAATTCGTTGGGGTTCACGCCGTTGAAGAGGACGGGAAACAAAAACTTTTACGGCGTGGACGTCGAGAGCATGACGATGAACGGCGAGACGTTCGGCACCGAGGCGGAGTTCGCCGTCGGAAGAGGGTCCGTGATGGACAGCGGGACGACGATGACGTACGTGCCCGCGAGCGTGTTCAAGAAGCTCACGAAGGCGTTGCAAGACGCGGCGGAAAAGAACGACGAGAATCTCAAGCTCGAGAAAGTCGCCGGGCCGGACCCGAAGTATCCGGACGACGTCTGCTACGCGAACCCCACGGCGACGTGGGATAACGTGCATGACTTCTTCCCGAACCTCACGATCACCTTCAAAGGCGGCGTCGCGCTCGAGACGCCGCCGGGGAACTACTTATTCGCGCACGGGAAGGACCCGCACGCGTTTTGCCTCGGCATCATGGCCAACGGCAACGCGGGCGCGCTGATCGGCGCCATCTCCACGCGCGACGTCTTCGTGCAGTACGACGTGGAAAACTCGCGGATCGGCTTCGCGAAGACGGACTGCGCGAGCTTCCTCGCGACGCACACGACGAACATGTCGTTCGCGGCGGAGCCAAAGTACCGCGTGCCCGCGAACGACGCGCCGGATTTTTACGACATCAACAGCGAAGGCCCGCCGATCGGTTTCATCTTGGTCGTCGTCGTGTTCCTCTTGGCGGCGGTTGGATTTTGTTACGTCAAGCGCAGAGGCGAGGTGCGTCTCCCGTGGTTCGGTCGGGTGGAGTGGCTGTCGAACCTCGCGAGCGACGTCGAGACGGGCGGCGGGACGACGCACGCGCGCGGGAGAGGGAAGGACGGATACGCGCGGTTCGCGGACGAAGAGGACGGCGACGACCTGGACGGCGGCGAGGTGGAGCTGCCGAGGATGGATCGCGACCGCGACTCGTGACCGGAGACGTGACCGGAGTAGACTACTGACACGTACGACAGCCGCGCGATCGTCCGCGACCGATGCGTACGCTACGCCCTACTAACACCCTACTAGCTAGAGTCGTACCTACTCTTGTTCCCCGAGTCGATGACACGCGCACCCGCCCATCTTCGCGGTCGCGCAGCTCGCGTAGCACGGCGCCTCGAACGCCGGGTCCGGGCTCGGCGGCTTCGCGCCGAACGTCATCACGCACGACCCGTCTGAGTGGTCCGGCGCCAGGTGCGCGTCCACGCCGAAGGCTTCTCTGAAGAACGCCTGCGTCGGCATCTTGCAGAAGTTGACGCAGCTCGCGGTACACCCGCACTGCTCCAAGTACCGGCACTTGCGCAGCTTCACCGCGGACATGACGCCGTCGCTCTCGCGCGGAATAATCTCGCACGGCCCGACGAGCCACGCGAACGCGTTGACGGTGATGACCGCGTTCATTTCGTCGACCCACCGCCACTCCGGCCGGATGATTTCCTTGAACCGCGCTCGCACCCACGGAGGGATGAGCCCGAGGAGCGTCGTCAGCACGACCGCGCGCTGCCGCGACGGCGAGCGCCCAACGGAGATCAAGTCCGCGAGCGCGACGAGTCGATCGAAACCGCGCTTCGGTAACGTCGTCTCTTTCACACTGATGACGCTCGCGTGGTCGTCCGACGAGGCGGAGGTGGACTCGATCGCGTCGTCGCGCAGGGCGGACTCGAGCTTGCGGTTGAACAGCGCGATGGCGAGCTCGTCCAGCGCGCCGTCCTCGTACCGCGTCGTCGGATCCGTGTCCGGTCGCGGCGACGACGGCGACGACGGCGACGACGGCGACGCGGCGCGATCGCGCGTCTTACGCGGGAAGTACGCCACGCTGCCGCTCGCGAGGCCGTATCGGACGACGTCGACGCCGTCGTCGTCGTCGGACGGCCGAGGAGGAGGAGGAGGAGGGGGCGGGGGCGACGACGAGGCGGAGGCGGACGCGGACGCGGACGCTACGCGTCGCTCGCGACCTCGCGCGGCGACGCGACGGCGCGCGGAGGCGACGAGAGGCGCGCCGCGAGCGAGGCACGCCGACGTCATGCCGCGCGGAGAGGTGTGACCTGGGTGTGACTCGACAATCGTCGTCGTGAGCTGGCGCGCGTTCTGTTCGTCGCGCTCGAGAAAAAAAAGTTCTGCGTCGTCAATGCTCGAGGATTCGAGCCGAGGGCGCGCACTCCGATCCGCGAGGGGACGGACGACGCGAGCCCAACTCGATGTTCTTCAGCGCGGTCCTCCAAGCGGCGGTGAAGAAGGGCCCGAACGCGCGCGGCGGGCTCGTGTGGAAGACGCACGCGTTCTGGAAACCCTCGCCGACGCGCCGGAAGAACGCGAAGAAGAAGCAAGCGGCGCTGAACGCCGTCGACGCGGCGCTGCGCGAGGCGGAGGCGCTGCCGGACACGCCGCCGAAGGAGAGCGCGGTGTGCAAGCTGTATCGCGCGCGTCCCGATCCCGGTCCCGGTCCCGGCGCCGACCGCGCCGCGTAGGAGCCCTAGCTAGATGAACGCCACCAGCGCGGAGAAGACGCGGCGCGACGACGACGATCGATCCGCGATCGTCGTCGCGGGGAGAGAGGTGCGCCTCGGACGCGGCGTCCGCGTGGTGCGCTGGCACGACGCGGACGGGATGAGCGCGTACGCGACGTCGCCGCCGCTGGGTCCGACCGCGCCGGGGCACGCCCCGGAGGTCGCGGCGGCGATGCGACCGACCGACGTCGCGCCCGCGCCGCGGCACGGCGTCCGGAGGCGAGTCCACGCGCTCAGCGATGACCTTGGTGCGATCGTCGGGGAGGATGTTTCGGACGCGACGATGACGACCGAGGAGGAGATTCGAGACGCGATCGATAAGGTCGTGATCCACTACGACGCCTGCGGCTCGAGCGCGAAGTGCTTCGACGTCCTGCACAACCAGCGCGGGCTGTCGTGTCACTTCCTCATCGACGTGGACGGGACGATCTATCAGACGTTGGACGCGAGAGAGCGCGCGTGGCACGCGACGACGGCGAACGACTCGTCCGTCGGCGTCGAGCTCGCGCACCGCGGCGCCGTCGAGATGCCGAAAGCGTCCGCGGAAGATGGAACGTCAACCGACGCGACCAACTCAGAGCACCCTCATCGCGTCGTCGGATTCGTGCACGGGCGCGAGCTGTCGCAGGCGCCGTTCGCCGACGCGCAGTACGCGTCCCTCGCGGCGCTCGTCGCGGGGGTGATGCGCGCGTGCCCGAGGGTGCGATGCGAGTACCCGAGGGGTACCGACGGCGAGGCGGCGACGACCAAGTTGGAGGACGACGCGCTGCGGGCGTTCCGCGGCGTGCTGGGGCACTTCCACGTGCAGACGAATAAGATCGATCCGGGGCCGGCGTTCGATTGGGAGGGCGTCGCGGCGCGCGTGAGGAAGATGCGCGAGGAGGAGGGAGAGGACGATCGATAGCAGACTTGAAAAACACGAAAAAAAGTTGTATATACAAAGAAGCCGAGAGTAAAGGCTTGTACAGTACGTACAGGAGCAGTCAGTGCCCCGGGCCTCGCCCCGCCGCTCGTCGACGTCAACGCAAGAGCGCGACGCGTTCGGAATCATCGCCGGCGCGCGCATCGCGACGGCCCCTCACGCCGCGTCGAGCGCGCGCCGCGACCGCGACCGCGCAAAGCCCGGCACCGAGTAACGCCAGTGACGCGTGTGTTCGCACGCCGCGCATCGCGCTCGAGTCGATGTCGATCGCCCCGAGGGACGCCCCGGACGACGCGGGCGGAGGGCCGTTCAGCAAGCGCTTCACGCGGAGGATCATTCGTCGCCAGTGCGTTCGCGCCTTGGCGTTAGACTCCGCCGTCGCCTTCCTCGCGCGTTGAATGAACGCCCCGATTGCGCGCTTCAGCGCGCTCGAGTGCTTCACGTTCCACGCGATCGTGCTGTCCGTGCGGAAGTTCGCGCTGACGACGACGCCCTCGTTCGCGAGCACTTTGTTGAGACCCGCGATCGTCCTCGGACCGGCGGAGACTTGCGAGAATCGCTTCACCGCCTTCGGCGGCTTTCCTCTGAAGCCGGAGAACGACAGCGTCAATGTCATCTTCCCGGAAACCGAAGAATCTTCGTCGTCGACTCGCGTTGTCTCGAGGCCGTGGAACTTGATCCCGGCGGCGAGTCGTCTTTTGATCGCGCGCTCGACGACGTCGAGCGCGTCCGCGCCGACGTCGGCGCCCGTCACCGCGTAGCGCGTCGTCACCGTCGTCTCCTCCGGCGTGGAAGCGGAAGATGGAACGTAAACCGGCGCGGGTTCGACCGCAGTCGGCGGCGGCGGCGTGAAGACCGCCTCCGGCTCCGGCTCCGGCGTCGCCCGCTTTGGCGCAGAGATCGGATCCGGCCCCGCATAGGTCTCCGGCGTCGCTCGCTTCGGCGCAGAGATCAGATCCGGCCCCACAGTCGGCGGCGGCGGCGCAAGGACCGCCTCTGGCGCCGGCTCCGGCTCCGCTTGACTTACCGCGGTCGCCTGCGCCTCGATCTCTTCGCGCTCGACGTCCGCCTCCGCCGCGGCGTTCGCGACGGACGCCGCGTCCTCCGCGAGACGCGTCATCGAAGACTTCGCCTCCGTCGTCGTCTCCGCGACGGGCGCGGGCGCGTCCGAGACGTCGTCGAAAGATCCGCCGCCCGCGGCGGATTCCGACGCGTTCAAACCACCCGACGCGTCCTCGGCGAAAGCGCTCACGTACGCGGACTCGCCCGCGCGCGCGGAAACCTCGGAGACGGTCGCGCCCGCCACGTCGGCGGCGGACGGCGCGTCGACGCGGACGCACCCGCCCTCACGCGACGCGCAGTCGCACAGGTTCGGCCCAACGGCGCTGACGCACTCCCCGAAACGCTCGCTCGCTGGGTTCTCTTCGAACCAGCACCCTTCGATGCCGTCGCACGTCGCCGCGTCGTACCCGTAGCCTTCGCACGTGAGCTCACAGCCGCGGAGGTTGCGCGCGCGCTCGAAATCGATGCGTGCCGACTCAGACATGTCTTCGCCTTCCGGATGCGCGACGGGGACGTCGGAGGAAACCTCCGTCAACTCCGTGGTAACGTTCGGGTATAACTGCGCGTCGTCGGGAGTAAACCTCGGCGGGATGACCACGTCCTCCACGGCGCGCGTCTCCGCCTTGGGCGCGGCGTCCGAAAAGTTGCTCGTCTTCGCGCACGCGCCGAGGTCCTCGTTCAGCGCGTACCCGACGTCGCACTCGAAGCATGTCATGCCGACGTCGTCGCACGCGACGCACCCTTCGTCGCACAACCCCTCGAACATCGAGACGTTGAATGCGAACGTGTCGTGGTGCACGCCTCGCGTGGCGTACATCTCCGGACGGTCGCCGTTGACGTCTCGCACGAGGGTTCCTTCTTCGCCTTGGACGCCTTCGCCGCCCAACTCGGCGTCGCGCGCGGCTTGCCACGCCTCCGCGGAGGACGACGCGTCGAGCGCGTACGCGACGTTCGTTTCCTTGGCGTTCGCATCTGCGGCGGCGGTTTCGAGCGCGGTGGCGAGCTTGAGCGCGGTGGCGCGCGCGGCGTCCGCGGCGTCGACGGCGGCCGTGACCTCCGCCTCGCGCGCCGTCGCCGCCGCCGTCGCCGCGGCATCGGCGGGCGTCGACGCTTCGGCGAGCGCGAACCTGAAGCGTTCGCGATGCCCGTAGTGCTCTGAGATGCACTCGAAGCCGTTGCCCGAGGTTTCTTTGCAGACGCGGGCTCTGCCGCTCGACGCCTCGAGAATCTTGGGCTTGATCACGTGTTGGTCCCCCGCGGAGGCGACGCCGAAAGGCGTGCGGTGACGGTGCACGTTTGAAATCTCAAACTCTTCCCTCATCCCCGGTTCCCGCGCGTCGCACTTGATTGACGCGCCAGACGAGGAGCAGTACATTCCGGTCTTCGCGCTTCGGATGTAGTACACGATGTCGTCGACTGCGGCGTCGGTTTTCCAGCCGCGCGCGTTGAAAATTTCGAAGCGTTCGCCGTCGGCGTCGTCGATCGAGTCTTGGCCGTCTCGCAGCCTGTCTTTGTTCGGGCAGCGCAAGAGTCCGTCGCGCGCCGCGTCCGCGACGCACCGTTGGAAAGGATGATCGCCGCCGAACGTGAACGTGCCGAGTTTGAAAGGAAGGACGCCGGTCGTCGCGTTGCCTCCCGCCTCGGCGTACGCCGCGTCGATTTGCTTTCGAACCTCCTCGAGGAGCGCGTGCGCGACTTTTTCCGTCTCGCTCGCCGTCTCGGAGGCGTTCCCCGCCGCCTCCCAGGTTGGCGGGGGACCCACGGGTTCACACTCGCAGATGTCATCGCTGCTGTGCGGTCGGTGATCGCACCCTAGATCGTGGGAACCCTTGCTGCACGAGTTCCCGTTGTCCGTGTACGACGCGACGCACGCCAAGCTCGGCGTTTGCTTCGCGCACCATTCGCGGCACGTCCGCGCGCCGTCGTAAAACGCGGCCACCGCGGTGCACGGCTGGCCCACGTTCTCGCACGTCGTTTTGGCGTTCGTAAACGCGCACACGCTCGCTTCCCCGAGTTTCGCGTCGCGCGCGTCCTCCCGCGTCACCCCGAGCTTCGCGGCGTGCAGCGCCAGCGCGGGCGCGTACGTCAGGTCGACGCCGTGTTTCGTGAACACCGGGGATCGGTGGTGATCGCGATCGCGATCGTGATCGGCGGCGTCTCCCAATGCGGCGACGTCGGAGGTGTCCACGTATCCCGTGCACGTGATGAACTGCTGGTAGTCCTTCGAGCTTCCGGTGAGACGACCCGCCGCGCGAAGCGGGCCGGGGTGACGCAACTTGTCTTGCGCCTCCACGGCGAGCGCCGAGGCGACGGTGTTCCACTGCCCCGTCATCATCGCGTATCGCATCAAAACCTGCGCGAGTGGTTTGTATTGCGGGTGCATCAACATCTTCCCGGACGTCTTCCAAATCGCGAGCGTCGAGCCCGCGAGCATGGACGCGCCGAGGCCGTCGCCGTACGAGCAATCCGTGGGGATCTTCGCGCTGATCTTCCCGAGCGGCCACTTCTTCTCGAGCTCGACAAGGTAGTCGAACACAGCCTTGTAGTCGTCGCCCGCGATGCCAATTGCGTCCAGGGCGCCGTTCTCGCCCTTCTCGCCCTGACCGAACAACAGCGCCATCGCGGCGACCATCCCCCTCGCGGCGACCGGGCCCGGGTTGACGTTGAGGTTCGTGCGCTTCACGAGTTGCGCGTCGTCGCAGTCGCCCCAGGCGAGCTTCAAGAGCGTCGGCTCGAACAGGTGCTTCACCATCTCGACGCCGGTGCCGTGTTTTTGAACGTAGCACTCGCGGACGCTGTTCATCAAAGATAAATGCTTGCCGGCGTCGCCGCAGTTGGGCGCCATCTCCTCGATCTGCGCTTCGAGCCACTGCATGGTGGTGGAATTCGCAGACTTGCAGTCGTACGTCGCGGCGATGGCGCCGAGGAAGTACTCGTACGTCTTTTCGTACTCCTTCGCGTATGGCTTGAACACGTCGTATGCCTCGCGCATCATCCCCGCGTCGCGAATCGTCCGCAGCTTGAAGTGCGTGATTAAAAGCTCCCACGCTTCGATGTTGTGCGGGTTCTTCTTTAGCGCGCTGAGGAGAAGCGACGCGACTTTTTGAAGCGATCGCGACCCTTCGTTCGAGTACACAGTTCGGAAGAGCAGCATCGCGAGGCGAACGTCGACGTAGGAATCCAAGCCGACGTTGACGCCGTTGGGAATCGCAGCCATGTAGTCCACGCTCCCGTCCTTCAGTTTATTCGATCCGCCCAAGTTATCCGTGGGCACGCCGTTCGAAGACGTCGTCCAATACGCGGGGAATATCCAGGAGAACTTACCCATCGTCCACCGCTTCCCATCCGACTTCGACTCGTACGTGATCGCCGCCGCGTGCTGGGGTTGTCCGACCATCTGCGACGGCGTGCCCATGCAGCTGCTCGTGCCGATGTGCATGTACGCCAGTCTGCCGCAAAGACCGCCGTCCTCGGCGACACGCGGCAGGGAGTTGTGATGCCAGTTCGAAGCCTTGCAGATCACCTTGTTTTTCGTGTATCCGAGGCCGTAGTGCGGCCACTTCGTGACGAGCCCGGAGGAGTTCGTCCACGAATCCTTCGACAGCTCCGGCTTGCCCTGCAAGCGGCTCCACGCCCAGTCGCACTCGCCCGCGGGGAACTGAGGCGTGTTCAATCCGACGACGATCGGCCAGGGCGCGTCCGAAATCGGCGACGCTAAATCTTTGCCGTGCGCGCGTTTCTTGTTGAGCAGGTAGTCGATCGCGTGCGCGGGCGCGGGGGACGCTTCCCTCGTGTCCGGGGACGGCATGTACTTCTTCCCGTGATGCGTGCGCAAGAATCCGCTGAACGTGCACCGATCGCGGAACGTCTCCGTGGAGTGCGCCGCGTCTATGTTCGCGTCCGTGCTGTTCACGATCCAATCCAAGTCGCGATGCTTGTACGCCGTGCCGAGAATCAAATCGCCGAGCGCGTCGACGTCGTGCGACCGCGCTTGGAGGAAATTTTTCAAGTACCGCGCGTGCTTGATGACGTTCGGGTGCGTCGGGAATGACAGCGAGTACATCGACTTTCGCAGAGGCACCGTCTTCGTGAGTTCGTTCTCCGCGTCCGCCGCGACGGATTTTCGATTCACGGAGTTGATCCAAGACCAAATCGGATCCGTGAGCGCGAGCGGCGTCTTCCTCTTCGTGAGGACTTCGTTCGTTGAGACAACCTCCTCCGCGAGTTTGGACGTCCACTCGCCGTCGCTCTCCGCGACGAGTTTCGCGAGCTCGGGCTGAGGGTTGGACGTGCCGATGATTTCCCTGCGCAAGATCAAGTGCGAGGATTCCGAGCGCGTCATCTTCGTCGTGATAAACGCCTGGATCGAGATGATGCCGCAGTTCCCGCCGGACGCGACGCCGCTGTAGACGACGCCGGGGCACCTGGGCTTCCCCGCGCACATCGACACGCACGAGACGACGGACGCAGTCTGCGTCTTGTCCACGGCGCCGATCTTTCGGAAATCGTACACGACGAAATCTTGTTCGAAATGCGCGAGCGACGACGCCTCGAAAGATTCCGGCAAAACGTCGCCCGTCGAGGACGCCGTCTGGACCGCGGAAACGGGCGCGTCGCACATCTCGGACGTCGCCGGCTTCGTCGCTTCGTCGCACGTGTCGTAGCACCCGCACGACACGTCGCGCGTGCGCGCGGTGACAGAACCGGACATCGACGTCTTCGCGGTGCACGCGCTCCACTCGCCCGTCACCCACTCGCCTTCGGCGCAGGTCTTGCGAACGTCGCACGGGTAGAAGCACCCCTGGTTGTGAATGCACGTCCTGTCCGCGTTGTTCGTCCACCCGTCGTAGCAGTTGCACACGAGGTCGTATTTCGAAGTGTCCTTCGTTCTGTACAAGCGCTCGAGCTTGCCGTGCGGGCCGCATGCGGTTTTCTTCTGCTCGTAATTGTGATCGCACGCGTCGTGGTTGTTGCAATTCTGGTGCAGCACCGGGCGCTCGACGCACTCGTTTCTATCCGCGGCGGATCCGTTGACGTACGAGCAGTACGATTTGCGTCGTTGCGTTAGATGTTTGAAATCGTTCCCTCCGAGCGTCGGGCTGCACTCAGCGGCGCACTCGCCGAACGGCGAAACGATCCACTCCGGGGAGTCGAGTTCCACTTGCTCGTAACACTCCGGCTCGGGCGGCGTCCCGGGATCTGGCGACGGATCCGCGAGGAAGCAGCAGCCCGCCGCCTCGCAGGCCCCCTGGCGAATCATCGGCGAGAACGAGTTCCGAAGCGGGTTCTGCTTGAACCGCGCGCACTCCCTCCGCCCGACGTCTTGCGCGCACTGCTTCTCGCAGTGACGCTTGTTGCAGTGCTGCGTGTCCGGGATTTTCTCCTCGAGCTCGCAGTTTTTCTCGTCCACGGCGGCGGAGACGGACGCGTTCCGCATCGACGCGCAATACACCGTTCGCGTTTGCACGCCGACGCCGCACGACTTATCGCACACGCTCCATGGCGTGCCAAAGTACGCGAACGCGCCGTCGCGTTCAAAGTACGAACTCGGAACGTTCGATACCTTGTACGTCTCGAGCTCGCCCCGCGTCACCGGGTGTTCAAACTCGACGGGCGTGAACACCGCTCTCGCGCCGATCGTCTCGTACGGCTTCGGCGCGTTCGCGCGCTTCGCGACGCCAAACGGCGCGGCGACGCTCTCGACGCACGCCTTCGCGTGGATGAGGCACTTGCCCTCAGGCGTGAACTCCGCGGCGGCGCACTGCGACAACGGCTTGGCCGCGCACGCGTCGACGCACGCCTCCTCGGTCGTCGCGGCGGGGTCCTCCGCGGGCGGCGACGACGCGTCGCAGTCCATTTTTTTGCAGGATCGCGCGAAGGCCTCTGGGTGCGCGTCGACGGTGACGTAAGGCTGGCACATCAGCGCGTTTTTCGGTTTGCGCGCGATCTCTTTCTTTTGATATCCCGTGCTGAAGCCGACGGCGACGTGCCCAGCCGGGCAAGCGGTCCACGCGTTGTTGTACAGGGCGCCGCCGCCGTCGTGGCAGTTTTCGCCGGAGGCGCGATCGCACACGAGCGTGTCCGTGACCGAGGTGGCGTTGTCCACGAGTTTCCATCCGGAAGGCGTCCCGCACCTGGGCTGAATCCCCGCGTCCTCGTTGTCCTCGCGCGACCAGTCCATCTTTCCGTCCTTCCCGAAGAGCGCGAATCCGGTGAGGACCTCGCCGGGCGGGCACCTGACTTCGACGTCAGTCGCCGGTCCTCGCGCGAGCGGGACGTACTCGCCGTACGTTTCAGAGTGCAAGCACATCGTCGTGTTGATTCCAAAGTCGCACACGTCGTCGTGACGGCCGTAGTTGTCGGAGAAGCAATGCAGGTGCGTGACCGGACCGGGGACGGCGTCGGTCAAGAGCACGACGTCGCCGCCGCGGGACGCGGCGTTGTGAAACGTCTCGTGACGCGCGAACGGCCGCGTCCAGTCCGTCTCCGCCTTCTCCTCGCAGTCGCAGTGGCCCCAAAACTCGAAACTGTTCTTCTTCGTGTAGCAGATCGGTCGGTCGTGAGCGTCCACTTTATGACACGGCGGGTTGACGAGATCCGCGTCTTCGCGGTCTTGTGACCACTGTCCGGAACACGGAGCGCCGTTGCTGTTGCCGCCGCACGTCCGTCGCGGGTGCTGCATGTACACGCCGCCCTCGAAGAAACTGCCCGCGCTCGCGTCCGAGGCGTCCACGGGCACCGGCGGTCGCCACGGATCCGTCCAACGCACGGCGTTGAACCCGGAGCTGAGATGCCGTCCTCTGTCCGCGTGTTGCGGGTGCGTGTTGCCTCTCCAGTCGTTCCAAAGGGTGTTCGCGAGAATGCGTCCGTCGCCGCTGTGCACCTTGAAGCCTCCGTTACCGTTGATGTAATCGGATTTGCGGTGCATGACGTCCCTGACGCTCTCAAGGGAGAGCTCGGCCATGGGCGGGATGTCCGTAAACTCCGGGTTCGTGTCCGGGGTGAGGCCGATGGGTCCATCGTTGTGGTCACCGTTCGGTCCCCGTCGGTTGGGGTTCATCCACTTGAGCGTCGCCGCGTTCGTGTAGTTCAGGGTCGGGAACCAGTAGTAATCCGACATGAGCATGTCTTTGCGCGCTTGGAAGTTGTGCCTGTTGTTGTGGCGGTATCCGCCAGTTTTGATAATCTTCGCTTCCCAGTTCCGAAGTCGGCACCAGTCCTCCGCGCCGCCCCACTGGAACGAGTACTCGAAGCCCATGCAATTAGGGTTCTGGCGGCAGCGCGACGCGCACCACTCGTTGAGAATCGCATACTGAGCGATGACCGCGTCTTTGTATTGGAAGTGGGGTTGATTACCCCACGTCCAAGTGTCAAAGTCAGGGTAGTCCTTCTTCAGATCTTCCGTCGTGTACGCCTCGAACAAGTCACCGCCCACGGCGAGCATGTTCTTCCCCGACGTGTATCGGCCCGTGTTCGCCGTGGCCTCCGTGATGTAGTTCGGTTGCTTGAACTTGAAATACTCCGGGTCCACGACGAAACGTCCGAGATCGTGCCAATTTCTCGCCACCGTGCAGTCCTCGCTCGAGTCGCACATGCACATGTGGTTGAAGACGTTCTCGAAAGGCGCGTCGTCCATGGCGAGGAAGGAGTCCAACACGAGGTCATCCCATTTCATGTACGGCTGCGTGTCGTTGAGCTGCTCCTTGTCATATCGATGGTGGAATGCATAGTCGCGCTCGTTATGGCGCACCTCTCCGCGCCAGACTCGGTGCCCGCCAGCTCGTCCCAACGAAGTTTCCGCGAGAATCTGAGCGGTGCCGTCCTCGACGCCTAAACACCCGGGATTCAAGCCGCCGACGACGCGAACGATCGCCTTCTCGGGCAGCTTCATGTTTCCGGCTTCGTTGAAGACAATGTCCGTGGGCACGCCTTTGAATATGCTCCGCGGGGAGAACGAAATTTGGTGCCGGTTGTACTGCGGGATGCACACGCCGATCCCCGGCATGAAACCGTACTTGGGTCCTGCGTTTTCCGCCGTCATGCTTCCTTGCACGCATCCGCTGTATTGGACGGTGGTGTGACCTTCGCCGACTTGACAGTACCCTCTTTCATTGTTGCAGTAGTTGAAATCGCCGAGCTTCAGCTCCATCTTATCCCGCCACGCGTGCGTGAAGCGCTCTTCAAAGATGGGAAGGATCTTGTAGTTCGCGCAACACGCGGGGACGAACGTGGCGTTCGGCGAGACGCATCGATTGTCGCTCACGCCGTGCCCGTAAGATGCGCTGGAGACAAAGAATCCCTTGCCGTCGTCGCATCGCGTGGAGGTCCAGTGATAGTATCCTTTGCATTGAACCGGGGCGTTGCCGTTCCAATTCTTCGCCGCGTTCATGATTCCCTTCGCGGATTCCTCGAGCGTGCATAGACGCGTGCCGGCAGCCTCGCAGTGCTCCTCCGCCTCCTCGATGGTAATCTTTTCGTCGTCCCAGCATCCGTTCGGTTGTTTCCCTCCGATCGCGCCGGAGCCGCAGGTTTTGTAATCCGCGGCCGCGCCTCGGCACGGGCCGTGGCACATACCGGTGAGCTCCCAGTTCAACTCCTCGCACGAGCGGTTCGTGATCCCGCACGCGCCGAAGCACCTTTGCGCGAACGGGGGTTTGCCTTTGAACAACGTCGCGCAGTGGTTATCGTCGGTGGGGTCATCGTTTTGATCCACGCACGTCACTTCGCGCGTCTTCATCAGAGAACACTCGTTGTGTCTCAGGAAGTTGTCCGTGGACGCTTCGCGCCACGGCACGAAGCCGACGTCGTCTTGGTTACCCAGCGCAGGGGCGGTCTTTGGCTTCGCGAACGTCAACGACCGGATTCCCATCGCGAGCGAGGCCGCGGTGAGGCCGTCGGACGGCGTCATCGCGACGGCGACTGCGCCAAACATGCGGTTTTTGCGGTAAACTGCTTTCAAACCGGCAGCGTCGCACGTTAAGTCATCGTAACCGTCTCCGCTTCGCATCAACGACACCATTCCAGCTTCGTTTACGACGAGATCAAGCTCTTTATACGCGTTTATCCAGCCGCCGTTCTCGTACACGTGAACGCCGCCTTTCGGCCTGATCATAAACGTCACGAAGTTGCACGTGCGCGCATCATCGAACGTCCCACCGGTGATGTACTTGACGTACGGACTGTGCCCTCGCGTCGAGTGATCTTCGAGGACCGCGAACTCGGTGCTGTCGTGACCGTTCAGGTGCGTGCCCATGAGATCCGCGTGCACGGGCACGACGTCCGCCAGAGGCGTCGTGATCGCGTCGGGCAGGCACCTGTGTCTGCACGCGCCATGTCTGCGTTCGTCGTCGTCGGGGTACACGTCGCCTCGGAAACCGGTCTCGACCAACGACGCGGTGGGGAGCTTCACGACCATCTCCGGTCGATCGGGATTACCTTCCACCGTGTGCTCCGTCGTCGAGACCGTGATTCCGCCGTCCACGTCGCTCTCGTTTTCCTCCGCGACGGCGACGGGAGTCAGCGCCGGGTCGGACGCGACGGTGCCGTCGGGGTTGAGCGCGCCTTCGCGGCAGTCCCCCCACTCGCCGACGATCCAGCGGTAATTCGTCGCCGCCGACCACCGGTAGGAGTCAAACCCGGTGACGGTGCTCAGCGTGTTAAACGCCTCTTTGTTGTTGCAAAACATGAGGTCGCAGACCTGTTGCTGCTTTTGGAAGTTGATCGTGTTGCATCGGCCGTTCAGACGGCACTTCGCCTTGCACTCGAGCGCGGACTCCGCGCGCGAGGTCTCGATCATGGACTTGCAGTTTGCCATCTTGTCTGGTCCGAATCGGAACCAGTCGAGGCGCGAAAAGTCCTCGGACTCGTACTTCCCGCACGGGTTCGGCGCGCTCGGGTTCGCGTACCCGAGCGCGTACGCGCACTTGCCGTGAGTCGCGTCGCCGCGGCAGCACCGATCGTCGCACTGAGAAACTTCGCTCGTGGCGTTGCCGCCGCCGGCGAACAAATCCTCAAAGCCAAATTTGCACCCCGGAGGGTTCACCGGCTGCGTCGCGGACTTGTAGCACTGGTTGCCGACTTCGCTGGAGGGGGACCAACAGCAGCCGTACTCTTCGCACGCCGCGCGCTGCGTCGTCTTCGATCGGTGCTGCGATCGGAGGTCTTCGTAGTACGCGCCGCAGATGGGCTTACGGAGGCGGCCGCTGTTTTTGTTGACATCGCCTCGGATCTCCGAGACGTCGTCCGCCTCGTCGTATGCGTAGTGTGCTTCGCATCCGGGGTTGCACGAGTGCGCGTTGCACACGCGAGACGTCTCCGGCGGCGCGCCGCACGCTTGAAGCGGCAGCTTCTCGCCCTGGGACGATCGGCACTCGAGCGACTTGGTCTGCAACCCGCCGCCGCACGTCACGGGACATGCGCTCCACTCTCCGGCGACGAACCTCGCGCCGATCGGGTCTTGACCCTCGCAGTCGACGTATCCTTTCAACCCAGACGTGGTCTCGCACCACGGCCGGTCGCTCCCGTGAATCGTCGGCTCGTAGAACTCGATCTGCTTTTTCACGAAGAGCGGGTCGGTCGTGAACGGGAACCGGCACGGCAAACCGTTGGCCGTGCCGCCGCAGGTTTTCATCCCCCGCGTGTACGTCACCACGTTCTTCGCCTCGACCATCGCGGAGACTGACGTAGTCTCCACGAGTAAGATGATCGACACCTCGTCTTGGTTTTGCGAGAACAGCCCGTTCTTTGCAAACGCGTCCGCGTGCGCGGCGGCGTGGTACTCGTCGAGATCCGCTCCGCACGACGCCTCCTCCGCGCAGGTGTAAAAACCCGCGCACCGGGAGTCCCGCGCGCAAAACTTTTTCGCTTCTTCGACGTCAGTGCCCTCGAACGCTTTCCACGCGAACGCGTCCGGGCGCGGGACCGCGACGCCGGTCGCGATCTCGAAGTGCACGTCCTCGGGCTTGGTCTTTTTGCGATAAAAATCCGACTCCGCGGCGGCTTCCAAGCCGTACCCGCGCCCGACGAGCGTGCAATACCGCGGGTACTGCTTGTTGTAAAACGGCTCACCGTTCGCGTTCGCGCACTTCTGGCAGTCCTCGAGCTCAGCGCCGGATTTCCCGCCGCAATCCTCGCAGGAGTCGCCGTGCGAGAGATACCGCGCGGTGAGCGTGAACCCGGCGCAACCGTGGCCCATCTCGTCACACGCGGCGACGCAGCGGTCGACGTCCGTGAACCGACGGCCGAGCTTCGCGGAGCTTCCGCCGACGGGCGCGCGCGACGACTCCTCGAAGTATTCCGCGAACGGGTCGGCCGCGGCCGCGGCGTTATCGGCGTCGCCGAGGCGGGGCGCGAGCGCGTGGCCCGCGTCGCGGTGACGCGGGTGATCCGCGCTTGCGAGATCCACGGAGTGGTCGCGGCGTCCGAGCCACGCGCTCTCGCCGTTCGCGTCGAGGACGCGAAGCGCGTGCGAATGCGGGTCGGAGAAGCGCGAGCTGGGCCCGGGGAGGGTCGGCGCCGACGTCACGGTCGCGACGACCGCGGGAGAGGACGCGCGATCGAGCGCGTCCGCGACGTCGGCGCCGAACGTGGACGCGCGCGCGGCGCGCCTCGCGGGATCTTCGCGATCCGCCGCGCCGCCGAGCCACGGCGGCGCCGGCGCGGAACCCGCGTCCGCGACGTCGCCGAGGAGGGAGACGCCGCCGAACCCGATACGGGGGTTGCCGTGAACGATGACCGCGACGACGGCGCCGATCGTCGCGAGCGCGAAGAGCGCGCGCGCGATCGTCGACCGCGCGGGCCTCGAATCGGCGGTGTTCGAAATCCCCGCCGCGCCTCCGAGGAGGGGGATTTTCTCGCCGACGCGGCGGGATTTAGACCCCGCGGCGAGGGCGGCATCGCCGATCATGTCGGCGATTTCGCGAGGAAAGCCTCGCGCACGAGTCTACGACGCGAACGTGGGGAACGTGCGCGCGGGAGAGTGGCTTGTCCCGGCGCGACTCGCCAAATGTATGGAAGATACAACGCAAATTTTGTACCTTCGTAACACCCAAGATACGGTACAAGATTCGGTAAAACACCATAACCTTATGCCGATAGCAGACGCGACGTGAAAAACACGAAAAAAAGTTGTAGACTCCGGATGCGCGTCTCGCGTCGCGCGCTCGACATACCCCGCGCGCGCCGCCGCGCGATATAGGGCCATGTTCGCCGCGCGGCGCGCGATGCGCGCGGGCGCGTCCTCCTCGGCGTCGTCCCCCTCCGTCGCGGCGGCGTTCGCGTTCGCGCGCGCCTCCGCGACGACGGACGGCGTCCTCCTCGGAGGACGGCACGACGAGATCCGCGCGTCGACGTCGTCGTCGACCCGACATCATCATCTCGCGTCGTCGCTCGCGCACGCGCGATCGTTCGCGAGACCGTCGCGCCGCGCGCCCAACGCGAGCGCCGCCGCGTCCTCGAGCGAGAACGCGCTGAAGCGACCGCGACGCCCGAGCGAGCACTGGCAGCCCGTGGACGACGCGAAGACGAAGATGCGCTACTGGTGGAACAAGTCCACGGGCGAGACGACCGGACTCGGCGAGCCGCGGCCGACGTCCTTCAAGCTCCCGCCCGCGGACAAGTGGAGCGCGCTGACGAAGCACGTGGACAAGAACGGCGAGCCGACGCTGGGGGTGGCGATAGGGCAGATGTTCGTGTTCGCGTTCGGCGGCGCGCTCGGCGTGACGGCGGTTTCAGTCGCGTTAGGGGTCTTGAGCGGTGGCGGCGGCGGCGCCGCCGCCGCGGGGATGGAGGGGAAGGACGACGGCGGGGCGACGTCCTCGGGGAACGACGCTGTCGCGCGGGGGGCGGCGACGCGAGGCGCGACCGTCGCGAGGAGGGTCGCGGCGGCGGGGGGGGGATGAGACGCGCGCGCGCGTAGAACGTCAACTCTCGTCGTACTGTTTTTTTGATGGTACAACGTCACGAACTCCCGCATACATACTCTGCTCTGCTCGTAACTCTCGCGCGCGCGCGCGCGCGAGGTCGCCTCAATCATCGAACGCACACGGCATTCGACGAGGGCTATCAACGGCGCTATCAGCCGTTCACGTAATTCTTAAACCCGAAACCGTGAACCCGAAACCCGGAACGAACCCCCGCCGCCGGCGCTCACATCGCCGCCGCGAGCGCGGCGAGCGCGGAGCTCTTCCCCGGGACGATCATCGCGTTCATCGCCGCGCGCGCGACGTCGTGCACGCTCGCGACGCCGGCGGCGCCGCTGCTGCCGCGCGATTTCGATGTCGACGCGGCAGCGCGCGCGGCGTCGGAGCTGTGCGGCGCGTCCGCGTCGCCGTCGCGGAAGAGCCACGCCTCGAGCGACGCGCCGTCGAGTCGCAGCGCGCCGTCGGCGGCTGCGGCGACCGCGGCGGCGGCGGCGGACGCGTCTCGAAAGTACACCGCGCCGTGCCCCGCGTGCTGTCCGCTCTTCACGATCGCCGGGCGGCGGCGCGCGCGACAACCCGCCCGCGCGCCGTCGCCGTCGCGCGACGCGTCCGTCGGCGAGGCGTCCGACGACAGCTCGCACCGCGCGATCGGTCCGAAGGATGAAAACAACGCGGAGAGTTCTTGCGCGGTGGCGTCGGGGCGGACGTTTCCGACCCACACGCGCTTCGCGCCGTCGTCGCGCTCGACCGGCCGCGGCTTCGGATTCGGCTTCGGCTTCGGCGGCGTCGGGGAGCCGGCGTCGGGGGCCTCGGCTTTCGGCGGCGGCGGCGGCGGCGGCGGCGGCGCAGGGACGCGCCGCGCGAGCGACCGCGACGCGGCGGCGGCGCGGTCGCACGTCGCCGCGTTCGCGGCGCCGCGGCGCGCGGAAGCCGTCGACGTGGCCGTCTCCGTGGACGCCAGCAATCGCTTCGGGGTGTCGTCGCCGAGGAGCGCGGCGTCGGCGTCGCTGGGGAGCGGGAAGCGGCATACTTTGATGTGCCTGGAGGGAGGAGGAGACGGGAGGCGTCCGGTCAGTTCAGGGTTCGAAAAAAAAAAAAAAACCTCGAAGAAAACGAGGAGGACGAGAGCTCTCGCTCCGCGTCGCCGCCGCCGGAAGATCGCGCGAGCGTACTTGTCCGCGATGAGAAGCCCGTCCATCTGCGTCGCGCTCCTCGCCGCGGCCTCGTTCTCGAGCTCGACGACCGCGAACCCGCGGTGCGCGCCGTCCACGAGATCGTCCTCGCGCGGCATCGTCACGCGTCGAACGCCGCCTTCGTTCGGGGAAAAGAGCGCGAAGAGCTTCTTCACGTCCGGCTCGGTGACGTAGCGGCTGAGGTTTGCCACGCGCAGCGCGGACGTGGGCGCGTCCGCGTCGTCGGCGTCGTCGCCGCGGAGGCGCTTGGTCGACTTCCGCGACATTCGCGTCGTCGCGTCCGCGCCCGAGGAGAGGTAGTCGTCGGCGACGCTCGGGGAGCGAGACCCTCGCTTCGCGGGGAAACCGCGGAAGGAGGCGACGCCGTCCGCGTCCGTCGACGACAGCGGCGCGAGGCCGCGCGTCTCGAAGAACGATCCGATGCACATGATGCGCGTCGAGTGCGATTCGAGAGCGCGAGCGTCGGAGCGGGGCGCGCGTGCGGCGGCGCGCGAGAGCGTGTGTCCGGGCGCGGCGACGCGCTCCGAAAGCTACGACGACTTGGAAAAACGCGTCGACAGCGGATTGGCAGGAAGGCGGGCGAATTGGAGACGAGACGCAGGAAGGCACCTACGTTGTACAGTCACGTATGCACGCGAGGTTGACACGTCTCCACGTCCGAGAAGACTGGCGGAAAGCCGACGGCGACGGCGACCTTCCAAATAATATTTCCCGCAACTTATCATAATATCTCCGCGAGCCACGGTAATAAGCCTCTACCCGAGGACGCTCGCCCGGTCCCGCGCTTGCCTTTCGCTCAGCGCCGCGGCATCGTCCAGCGCCCTCGACATCGGGTCCCGCCGCTGCCGCCGGCTCGCGTCCCACGGCGCCGCCGCGGTCTGCCGCGTCACGATCTCGTCGGACATCCGCCGATAGTCCACCCTCGTGACGCACCGCGCGATCCGCCAGGGCTCGGGCAACGGCAGCGCCTCGTTCCCGTCCGGCAAGACGTACTCCGGGTGCGCGCGGCGGACTTCCACGACCGCCCTCAGCGACTTCAATCGCGCGCCCTCCAGATCCACGAGCACGCGCTTCGGGTACTCGCGTCCGAGGGCGACGCCCGCGCGCGCGAGCGTCGTCGCCGGCGCTTCCCACGGACAGTGCGCGTAGTCGCGCGGCAGTTTGGACAACTCCGGGCACCAGCGCCGGACGTACTCCCCGTCCGGGTCCGCGCTCTTCGCGGCGTACACCGGGTGCATCACGAAGTTCCACTGGTCCATGCCGCTGTGCCCGCCGTTCTGCCACATGAAGCCCTGAATCGCGACGTCCGCGTCCACGAGCGTGTCGTGAAACCACAGCTGCCCGTGCCGCCAGTCGATGTTCAAGTACTCGATCAAAAAACCCGCGACGACGTGCCGCATGTAGTTTGGAATGTATCCGGTGATCCACAGCTCGCGCATCGCCGCGTCCACGAGCGGGTACCCGGTGATGCCGCGCTGCCACGCGCGCAAGTTGGCGTCGTTCGAACACGGCGCGAAAACGTCCCATCGTCGCCGGACGATGGACACCGCGCGCGGGACGGAATCCCCGCGTCCGCGCGGGTCCGGATCCCACGGCACCGCCCACCATTGCGACGCGTACTGCGGCCGCAGCGGCTCGTCCGCGAGGTGCGGGAACCGCCACAGCGACCAGTACGCGAGGTCTCGCCACGCGAGTCTTCGAAGAAAAACCCCCGCGGATCGCGCCTGGGATTTCCTCGACCCGACGCTCGCAGCCTTCGCCGCGCGGTACACCTCCCTGACGCTCAGCTCGCCGTGCCGCACGTACGGGGATATCCTCGCCGTCGTCCTCACATCCGCGCGGTGGCGATCCGTCGCCGCTTTCGGCGCGTCCGCGCGGCTCGCCCCGCCGTGCTCCGCGTACGCGTCCGCGCGCTTCGCGTCGAAGTGCGCCAATCCTTCGGCGAGAAACGCGCGCAAGCTGGCGTCAGCGCCGTCCTCGCCGAACGTCCACGCGTCTCGGATCCCCGCGGCCCAGTCGATGACCCCGCCGCCGCCGCGGCGTCTCGGCATCTTCGCGAGACCTAACGACTCGAGCGCGACCGATCGCGGTCGCCGCTCGACCGGGAGACGCGCGCGCATCGACGCGGGCGCGGGCAATGGCGGCGGCGGCTCGCCGAGCGCGGCGCACGCGCGAAGAAAAAAACGCACGCTGCCGTACCCAGAGTTCCAGCACGCGTCGTCCGTCGCGTCCGGTCTCGCGTCCCAAGGTTCGTACAGCACCCCGGCGTTGAACGATCGGTACCGAATCCCGCACTCGGACGCCAGCGCTTTTTCGCACGTGTCGTCCCTCGCGATTTTCCACGGCTCGTACACCCTGTTCGCGTAGACGTCTTTCGCGCCGCACGCGCGCGCGACGTCGCGCAGCTCCTCGAACGACGACGTCCGCGTCGCGTCTCTCAACACCAACACCGCGCCGTACGTCCGCGTCAGCGTTCGCGTCAAGCCGTCCAGCGCGTGGTGGAGCCACACCCGCGCGGCGCCGCCCGTCGGCCAGCGCCCTTCCTCTCTCGGGCACCAGACGTACGCCGCGACAACCGGCCGGCCCGTCCGCGCCGCCGCGTGCAACGCGGGGTTGTCCCTCACCCTGAGGTCCTGCCGGAACCACACGACGATCGGGCTCGCGCTCGCGCCGCTGACGCCGCTCGAGTCGCGCGCGTTCGCGCGCGCGTCCGCGTTCGTCCACGAGTCGCCGTACCTCCGGTAGTCCGCCGGGCCGTCGACGCCGTCGCCGTCCGCGGTGGCGCCGCCGCCGCCGGCGTCGCGTCGCTTCCGCCGCGCTCTCGACCCTCGCGACGCCTTCTTCCTTATTACTCCGTCGCCGGGCGGCGGCCCTGGCGGGGAAGAGGATTTCGAGTTACTGGAGTCGTTCGATGTCCCCTCGCGATCGTCGCGCCCCCCGCGCGTTCTCTCCGTCTTCTTCCGCGACGGCGGCGGCGGCGCGGCCGCGAATCCCGTGATCTCCCCGCGGCACGTCGGGCACGTCGTCCGCCTCGCGTCCGATCCGCGCTTCGCGACGGCGTAGAAGCTCGCGTCGGCGCTCGTCCACAGCTCGAGGCACCCGGCGCACAGCGCGTGCATGCACGGCGCGCACGCGACGGAGGCTCTCGCGTCTAAGCATATCGGGCAGCAGTCGTCGTCGTCGTCGTCGAGGAGGAGCGAGGAGAACGCCGCGACGTCGTCGTCGTCGTCGTCGTCGCCGTCGGACGCCGCGGACGACGACGCGAACGACGCCGCGGAGTCGACGCGGGGGAGGCGGGTCGGCGTCGGCGTCGGCGGGAGGAGGAAATCGGCGAGGCGCGCGACGCGGTCGAGCTCGCGCGCGGCGGCGTCCGCGGCGGCGGCGTCGAGCGCGGCGCGCGCCTCGAGACGTCGTTCGTGATGCGCGCGGAGGTCCGCTCGGCGCGACGCGTTCGGGAGCTTGTCCGAGAGCGCGAGGAGGGAGCTCGCGTCGCCTTCGAGGATGTCCAGCGCGATGTCGTAGTACGCGTCGACCGCGGTGTGCCCGCGCTGATACTCCACGCTGACGGACTGCGCGTGAGGCGGAGTCGGTGGGTGAGATGATTAAGACGATGGTTGGACGACGCGACGCGACATCTCGTCGTCGTCGCTTCCATGGAAACGCGCGCGCGCGACGCACCTGCAACAGCTTATATCGCGACTCCCCGAGACGAGCCTTGAGCTGGCTCGCGATCCCCATCGCGCGGGGGGGCGGACGCCGCCCCCGCAGCGCGCGAGGTGTGCGCGCGCGTTGTCGTCGCGTCGAAAGCTCGTTCGGCGAAAAGCGCGCAGAAAGACACGTGTCGCGCCGTGAGGTGGAGATCCAGTCTGCTCGTCTCGCGTTTTCGTCGCCCCCGCCTCTGGCGTGCTCTTACACGTCTACGCGTCTATCAAATCGGCATGCCCATCCCCCCGTCCTCCGCGACGCCGTCGTCGTCCATCGTCGCGACGTAGACGATCCACGCGACGAAAACGAGCGCGAAGAGCGCGGTGAACGCCATCACGACGGACGCGAGCGACCTCAGCGCCGACGTCAGCCTCGGCGGCTTCGCCGCGCCGCCGGCGACGGCGACGGCCGATCCCGATCCGCCGCCGACGCCGGTCGACCCCTTCTCGCTCTTCCCCGCCGCGCCCGTCTTCCGCTTCCTCGCGCCGCTGCCGCCCTGACCCCGCCGCTTCTTCGCCGTCGCGGTGACGACGCCGTCGTCGCCGTCGTCGTCGCGGCCAGTCGCCGCGCCGCCGATCAACGCGGCGAGGCTGCCGTCGTCGTCCCCGAACGCCGCGAGCTGCGCGTCGATCTCCGCGCGACGCCGCGCCTTCTTCGCCTCCTTCTCCTCCAACTTCTTCTTCGCGGCGTCCGACTTCGCGGCGAGCGCGGCCGCCTCCGCGGCGCGTTTCTCCCGCGCGGTCGCCTCCGCGGCGTCCTTCTCCTTCTCTCGCGCCGCCGCCGCCGCCGCCGCCGCGCGCGACGCCGCGTCTCCGGAGTCCTTCGCCGCTCTCCGCGCTGTCTCCTTCGCGCCCGCCGCGGAGATCGTCGCGTTCCTCTCCGCTTCCTCGGACTTCGGCGCGAACGTCCTCGCGGTTGCTCGCGCGGCGCGTCCCCGCGCCGTCAGCAACGCGGCGTGCGCGGCGTTGCGCGTCTCCGGGTCGGGGTCGAGCATCTTCCGCACGAGGGCCACACTCTCCGGGCTGAGGTCCCTGCCACGTTGCCGTTTTGCCAACTTGCCAATCTTCGTATGGTTCCGTATGACTTCGGAAGCATACTCGTCCGCGATCGCCTTCGCCGCCGCCCCCTCGACGCGCGTCTCCTCCTCCTCGCGAATCGCGCGCGCGCTCGCTTCTTCCGCCTCGCGCGCCGCGCGCTCGGCCGCCTCGATCGCCCGCCGCGCCTTCTGCGCCTCTCGCTTCGCCTTATCTTTCGCGGACTTTTCCGCCGCCGCGCGCGCGGCTTTCAGCGCTTCCGTCTCCGCGCGCGCCTTGGATCGCTGCGCCGCCTTTTCCGCGGCGGCGGCGGCGGCGCGCTTCGCGGCGTCGTCGTCCTCTTTGGCGCGCGCGGCGCTCTCTTCGTCCGCCCAGGACCCGGCGATGATCTTCGTCGGGAACCCCGGCGGCGGGGTTTTCGTGAGCTTCGGTCGCTCCGCCGACGCCGCGGGCGTCGGCGGCGCGCAGTCGCCGTCCCCCCCCGCCGGATACGCCGGCCGCGCGTCCTCCTCGGCTTTTACTTTTTTCCTCGTCTCCGCCTCTCGCTTCTTCTCCTTCCTCGACTCCTCCACGCGCCGTCTCTCCTCCTCCGCGCGCACCAGCGCCTTCATCGCCTCGTCCGCGGCGATCATCCGCGCGATGGACTCGGACACGACCCTGTCGCCGCCCGCGACCGTGAATCGCTCCGTCGGCGTCGGCGTCGGCGTCGCGTCGTCGCGCTTTTCGCGAATGGCGTACTTTGGCGGCCACACCGAGACGTCCACGCTCATCACCTCCGCGAGCGTCAGCTTCGGCGCTCGCTTCGCGGTCTTCTTCCCGCCCTCTCGCGCGCGCGCCGCGACCGCGGCCGCCTCCGCCGCGGGCGCGCCGTCTTTGGCGTAGAGCACGCGCTCGTCGAGCGCGAACCGAGGCGCGAGGTGCTCGCGCGGTATCGCGGACGTCGTCGGCCTCGCGACGCCGTCGACGGCGATGTCGTACGCGCCGTCTTCCCTCACCGCGGTCACCTGAGGGACGGGATGGCGCGGAGGCGCGTCAGCGGAAGAAGAAGAAGAAGAAGAAGAAGAAGAAGAAGAAGAAGAAGAAGAAGAAGAACCGCGGGCGAGGATCGACCGTCGAGCGGGACGGCGGCGAGAGGCGCGAACGATCGATGGAAGATCGCCGAAGGTGGTGTCGGCATCGATCGATCGGCCACGACACGGCGGTCGCGCGCGAGAGAGGCGAGCTCGCGCGACGACGACGACGACGACGACGACGACGCGCGCGCACCTCCGCGGGCGCGGGCGCATCCGAGGGCGTGGGGCGATAGAACACGCGCTGGCTGCGGTGATACGCCATCGCGCGTGGTGGCGCGGCGCGCGATCTGCCGACGACGGAGGCCGCGGCTCGCGGATCGGCGTCGACGTAACCGCCGAACCGTCGCGTCGCTCGCAGCGCGTCGCGTCGCGTCGGCCGACCGAGTCGCTCATCACTCGTCGCGACGCGGCGCGGGATACGCGCGCCGGCGTCGACCGAGGAGGACGATGACGTGCAGGCGCGTCGCGAGCGCGGCGTGGCGAGCGTGCGCGAGCGCGTCCGCGGCGTCGATCGCGGGCGGCGGCGCGCGCGGCGCGAGCGGCATTCGCGGCGGCGGCGGCGAATCATCCTCGTCGTCGAAAACGTCGTCGTCGTGCCTTGTCCTCCTCCGAAACGCGGCGGCGAGGAGCGATCTCGCGCGTTGGAGCGCGCCCACGCGAGGCATCTACGGCGCCGCGCGCGCGCGCCCGCAGCCGCCGAGGAAGGAGGTGGAATCCAGGGGCGCGCGCGCAGAGCGCCTGCGCGAGGCGCGCGTCAAGCACGAGGTGCGCTTGTACAAGGAGCGCGCGAAGAACGAGGTGGCGAACGAATCGTGGGTGCGCGACAAGGAGCGCGAACACGCCGCCGCGTACGCGCACGATCTCTGGGCGGAGGACGACGACGAGCTGTACGGCACCGACGGCGCGATTCAGGACCCGGAGGAGGAAGCGCGGAGGATCGAAGCCAGGCGCGCGGCGAAGGCGGCCGCGAAAGCCGCGCGCGCGTACTACGACGCGATCCCGATCGAGGCGCAAAAGACCATCACCGTCGGCATCGTCGGCGTGCCCAACGCGGGGAAGTCGCAGCTCACGAACACGCTCGCGGGGTCGCAGGTGAGCGCGGTGTCCCCGAAGACGAACACGACGCGTATTGAGACCCTGGCGACGATCACGAAGCGAGAGACGCAGGTGATACTCGTCGACCTCCCCGGCGTCGTCGGCAGAGAGCACTACCGCAACGGCGTGCACGAGAAAAAGGTGAGCTCCGCGTGGAGCGCCGCCGCGGACTGCGACGCGCTCGTGTTCATCGTCGACGCGCACCGACAGCTGTCGCGGCCGGACCCGAGGGTAGTGCGGTTGATCGCTCGCGCGCGGGAGAGCTTGGACGCGATGAAGACGGAGGCGGAGAAGCTCGAGGGCGACGGCGCGCTTCGGGTGCCGTCGTTTCTCGCGTTGAACAAGCTCGACCTGTTCGAGCCGTGGGAACGCGACCGCGTCAAGGCGCTCGCGCGTCAGCTCTCGAAGCTGCACGACTTCGCGCGCGTCTTCCCGATCAGCGCGAAGCGAGGGAAGGGCACGGACGCTCTGCTGAGGGGGCTGATCGAGATCGCGCCGACGAAGCCGTGGGCGTTCGACCCGACGCAAGTCACGGACAAGACGTCGATCGACCAAGCGATCGAGGTCGTCCGCGAGTGCGTCTACCAGCGTCTGCACAAGGAGCTGCCGTATAACATCGTCCCCATACACGACGAGTGGGAGAACCGGCGCGACGGCAGCGTGAAGATCGAGCAGTACCTGGTCGTGGACAACGTTGGTGTGAAGCAGATCGTCGTCGGGCGGCGAGGGAGCACCATCGGACAGATTGGGATTCGCGCGCGCGTGTTGCTCGAGAAGATGTGGGACAAACGCGTGCACCTCATCTTGAACGTCAGGGTCAGGAAGAAGAACAACACCGTGCGAGGGCGCCTTCGCCCGGAGGAGTTTGAGAAGTACTAGTAGATCGTTAGTTTTAACACAATACCATCTCGTTCTAATCACGCGGTTCGCTAACGACTCGAAAGTTGTTGGCTGGGGCTAGGGCCGCGTCGCGTCGTCGTCGTCCGGATCCGTTCACGCGCGAATCAGTCCTCGTTTTTCCTTCACCGTCGTCGAGGAGGATCGAATCGCGTCCTTCCCCTTCTTCCCCGCCCCCGGCGTCTTCGTCTCTCTCTTCCCCCCGCCCCCCTTCTTCGCGCCCTCGCCCACCTTCACCACGCACGGATCCACCCACCCGAGCGCCTTCTTCGTCGCCTCCAACGCGCTAAAGTACAACGTCCCGCCCAGCGAGATCTCGAGCATCCGCGGCAGCGACCCTCGCACCAAGACGCCCGGGCCGCCCTGCCTGACGAGCTCGACGAGGCACATCACGCCCGTGCACTTCACGCCGTTTAGGCCCGCGCACACCTCCGCGGTCCGCGCGACGTCCAACGGCGTCGTGACGAACCCGGTGAACGCGCCCGCCGCGCCGCCGAGCAACGCGAGCTCCTTCGCGGTCCTCGGGCGTCCCGGATCGAACGCGTCGCAGTGCCACCGCTTCAGAACCTCGAACGACGTCATCTGTATCGCGTCGAACGGGAGGTCGCGCAGGAGGAACTGCGGGTACCCCACGAACATCGTCTTGAGCGGGTTCCGCGAGGTCGCCACCGCTTTCAGCTCGTTCGCGAGCGTCGCGCTCGCGTTGACTTGGAGTCGTTGTTTAATCGCGTCGCACGGCGCGGTGATCAGCGACGCGACGCCCGCGGCGCTCGCGGCGCCGACGAGCGCGGGAACTCTCCCCGTGGCCTTGATGACCTCGTACGACGCCATGAACAGCCCGGTGCCGGGGATGGACCCCGCGGTGTCGATGATGAACCCCCGGTACAGGTTCTTGAACAGCGTCTCGCGGATCGGCGTCCCGACGACGCGCGCCTGCAGACGCGTCTTGATCGTGTTCAGCGGGAACAGGCACGAGTTCACGGTGAGCCCCGCGGCGGCGCCGCCGAGGAGCCCGACGCAGAACGGGTGCATCTGCCCCTCGGGCGCGCGCGACTCGACTTTCGAGTCGTGATGCCGCCCCATCGCGCCCGCCGCCGAGTTCACTGATGAGCGCCGCGTCGCTTGGCGATCGAGAAAAGCGCGATCGAAATAAAGCGGGCTGGTCGTCGATCGACGCCACGTCACCAATTGCCAACGCGAACTACAGAACGACAGACGTTTCGAACCTCGCGAGCTGCGCGGCGCGACGCGGAGGCGTGATACAGTAGTGATTAATCACATCACGCGGTCTAATCACCGCGACAAAAATCACTCTAACGACTTGGACACGATCTCGAACACGTTCTCGCTCAGCCCCTCCACGTTCAAGATCCTCTCCAGCTGCGCCTTCATCAGCGCCCGCCTCTCCTCGTCGTACTTTTTCCAACGCGTGAACCCGCCTACCATGCGCGCCGCGACGCTCCCGTTGACGGCGTCGAGCTCGATCACGATGTCGCCCAAGAACTCGTACCCGCTGCCGTCCTTCGCGTGGAAGTTGGTGGGCGTGCCGCCGACGAACCCGCCGACGAGCGAGTACACCTTGTTCGGGTTCTTGATATCGAACGCGGGGTGCTTCGTCAGCGCGACGACGTTTTTCACGTTGCCCGGCAGCGCCGCGCCGGCTTGGATCCCGAGCCACTTGTTCATGATGAGCGGGTCGTGCTTCCAGCGCTCGTAGAAGGCGTCCAGGGCCTCCGCGCGCTCGGGGCAGTCCCGGGACGCGAGCGATGCGAGCGCCGCGATCTGATCCGTCATGTTATCAGCCGCGTGGAAGCGTCTCAGCGCCTCCGCGTCGATCGCCGGGTCTTCGAGGCGAGACAAGAGACCGAGCGCGGCGATTTTCAGCGTCCGCGCCGCGCGCGGACCGGGCTCGTTGCTGTACGCCTCCGCGGTGTTCTCCGCCATGATCCGCTCGAGCTCGGGTCGGAGCTCGCGCGCGAGCGACTTCACCACGAAGTCCCTCGCGGCGTGAATCACGTCCGGGTCCGCCGGAGACACGAGCTCGCTGAGTTCGCCCTCCGACGGGAGCGTCATCGCGCGCGCGATGAACGCCTTGTCGGCGTCGGCTTCGAACGCCCCGGACGCGATCTTCCGCATCGCGTCGACGATCGCGGCGTCCATCTGGAGCTCCCGCCCGCTCGCGGCGTCGTCGACGAGGCCGAGCAGCAGCGCGCGCGTCAGCGTCTGGCCAGCTTCCCAGCGGTTGAACGCGTCCGAGTCGTTGGACATCAGGAAGATGAGATCCTCTTGCGTCAGATCCGTCGTGAGCTTCACCGGGGCGGAAAAGTTCCGCAGGATGGACGGCGTCGGCTTCTCCGCGACGTTCGTGAACGTGAACGTCTTGGACGCCTCCTCAAGTCGAAGCGACTTGGTCGTCTCCGGCGCGGCGTCCGCGTCCCTAACGTCTTCGCCCTCCAGCGTCAACGGCATGTCGACGCCGTCTGGCCCGACGAGGCCGACGGCGATCGGCATCAGCGTCGGCGTCTTGTTCGTCTGCCCGGGCGTGTCCGGGATGCTCTGCGTGCATTTCATCTCGAACGTCTTCTTCGTCGCGTCGTACTTGGTCTTCACGTCGAGCGCGGGGGTCCCGGCCTGGGTGTACCACGGGAGGAACGCGTCGAGGTTGACGTCGTTGGCGTCCGCCATCGCCGCGAGGAAGTCGTCCGTCGTCACCGCCTGGCCGTCGTGCCTCTTAAAGTACAGGTCCATGCCTTTCCTGAACCCGTCCTTCCCGAGGAGGGTCTCGTACATGCGCACGACCTCCGCGCCTTTTTCGTACACGGTGACGGTGTAGAAGTTGTCCATCTTGATGTACGACTCCGGGCGAATCGGGTGCGCCATCGGCCCGCTGTCTTGCGGGAACTGCGCGGCGCGGAGACGCGAGACGTCGCCGATGCGTTTGACGCCGCGCGAGTTCATGTCCGCGCTGAACTCCTGGTCGCGGTACACCGTGAGGCCTTCCTTCAGCGACAGCTGGAACCAGTCGCGGCACGTCACTCGGTTCCCGGTCCAGTTGTGGAAGTACTCGTGCGCGACGACGCCCTCGATGGCGGCGTAGTCGGCGTCCGTCGCCGTCGTCGGCGTCGCGAGAATCAAGCGCGAGTTGAAAATGTTCAGAGACTTGTTCTCCATCGCGCCCATGTTGAAGTCGTCCACGGCGACGATGTTGAACAAATCGAGGTCGTACTCGAGCCCGAACACGTCCTCGTCCCACTTCATCGACTTGATCAGCGACGCCATCGCGAAGTCAGCCTTGTCGAGGTTGTGCGCCTCGACGTAAATTTTCAACGCCACGTCGCGGCCGCCGCTCGTCGTGAACGAGTCCTCCACGACGCCGAGGTCGCCGGCGACGAGCGCGAAGAGGTATGCCGGCTTCGGGAACGGGTCCTCCCACACGGTGAAGTGTTTCCCGCCGTCGAGGTCTCCGGACTCGACGAGGTTCCCGTTGGATAGCAGCACCGGGTACTTGGACTTCTCCGCGACGATCTTCGTCGTGAAGACGCTCATGACGTCCGGTCTGTCCTGGTAGAACGTGATCCTTCGGAATCCCTCCGCCTCGCACTGCGTGCAGAAGTTCCCGGAGGACTTGTACAGGCCCTCGAGCTCGGTGTTGTCCTGGGGCTTGATCTCCGTGACGATCGCGAGCTCGAACGGCGTCGTCGGCGGCGACGCGATCGTCAGCCCCTTCGCGGTGAGGACGTACCCGCCCTCCCCCGGCTCCAGCGCGACGCCGTCGACGGCGACGGACTTGAGCACCACGCTCGGGTCGCCGTGGAGGAACAGCGCGCGCGCGTCGCCCGCGCCGTCGAACGTCGGCGACGTTCGCATCGTGTTCGTCACGATCGTGACGTCCTCGCCGAGGTAAAAGTCCAGCGACACCGCGTCGAAGCGGTAGTCCGGAGGGGCGTAGTCCTTCAGGTAGACGGGCTTCGGCGCGTCCGCGACCGCGGGCGCGGCCGCGGTCGCGGAGGTCTGGACGCCGCGCGCGCGCGACGGCGACGGCGCGGGCGCGGGCGCGGGCGCGGGCGCCGTCCCTCTCGCCGCGAATCCGCGAACGATCGAAGACGTCGACGACGACGTCCCCGGATGGCGATGGCGCGACGCCGCGACGCGGTGGCGCGACGCCGCGCGCGCGACCGCGTTCGTGCACGCGCTCGCGCGCATGACCGCGCGCGAGACCGAGGGCATGCTCATCTCGTGGGGTGCGCGCGTGCCGTGAGAGAGGCGCGCGGTGGCAGAGTGCCGTCCTGACGATAAAGCGACAACTGGCGGTCGACGTGGACAAAGCTGAGGCTGCAGTGATGATCGAAGACGTCGGCAGACGTAGACGCGCCGCGGTGCCGACTCGTTCAACGCGTGTTATGTTACTCAGACTACGTCCACGACGCCATCGCGCGCGTCTTCTATCTCTCCCGCACGTCTACGAGTTATCATAGAACCCCGGGTTTTTGTGCTCTCCGTCGTCGTCGCCCCACGAAGCATCCACGTGGCGTCGTCGCGCGCCGCAGCACCCCGCCCTCCCCGTCTGACGCGTTTTCCTCTGCCTCCCTTTAATCAGACTCCTCCCCGCCTTGCCCGACTCGAGCCTCCCCAGCTTCATCGGCGTGCTCTTCGCGAGCTCGCCCAGATCGAGCGGCGGCCCGAGCGGTTTGAACCACGCCTCGCACTGAATCATCCCGCGGTCCACGCCCTCGAGCGACAGCGCGTACTCTTGCGTCGCGCCGTCCTCGGGGACGTCGGAAATTTCCAGCGTCGCGTTGCCTAAAAAGTCATCGGAGCCGATCGCGTCGCGGTCGCGGCATTCGAACAACACGCGTCCGGACAGTCGCTGCAGCGGCGAGACCGGGATCTCGAACGTCTCGCCCCACCTCGGACTCAGCGTCGACGACTTGACCTTCGTCTTGTGCTGCGCGGAGCCGCAGCGGACGACGAGGTACGGATCGCTGCTTCCCGTGAGCACGTCGGCGACTTGCAAGTCGGCGGCGCCGACGCACTTGACGTAGATCACGCCGTCGCGCGCGGCGACTTTGCTCTCGAGCATGAGCTGCGAGACTTTCTTCGTCCGCCCCTCGCCCCAGGACGCTCTCTCCATCTGCAGCGCCTGCGCCTCCGTGATGTGCTCCTCGACGTCCCACCCCCCGGGCGGGGCGTCCACCGCCCCGCGCGCGAATTTGAACCGCAAGTGCACCTCGCCGCTCTCGCACGCAGCCAGCTTCACCCACTTGCTGTGCAGCTCGCCGTCTAGGAATTCGTCCGGCTCGATGTCCGCCCTGCCCATGAAGTCGTCTTTGGAGAACCACTGCACGTCGCGGTCGAACACGCGAAGGACCATGCGGTCGTTCAACCCGGGCGGGAACGCCGGGAAAAACATCCGATGTTCCCAGACGGGCGTCAGCGTTCCGGCCCTGACCGCGGTCGTCCCGACGCGGCCGTTCATCTTCAGCTTGGCGTACGGGTCCGACGTCCCGGTCGCCGCGTCGCGGACGGGGAGATTCCGCGCGCGGACGACGTCCACCTGAAGGATCCCGCACGTCGACCCGACTCTCTCCTTCTTCATCGCGCCAATCGTGGACTTTCTGATCCGCTCCGCGATGCTTCTTCCGCGCGAGGATTCTTTCGCCGCGGCGCCCGGCGTCTTACCGTCGCTGTGCGATGCCCCCGCCGACGACGCCGCGTCCGCGACGCCGGCGACGGACGCTCTCTGTACTGTCGTGTGCCGATCCCACTTGAACTTAACGTCCAGAGAACAGCACCCCACGGTCGGGTGCTTCGGGCCGCTCTGCGTGTGCAGTCCGAGAATCACGTTGGCGCTCTCCGACGAGCTCAGCGTCATGGTGTCGATCTTCATGTCCTTAACCGGGGCGTGGATCCAACAGTGCGTGTGCATCGTTCGCGAGCACCACTTGAATCCGATGACGCCGTGCGCGAGGTACCCGCCGTGATGCACTAAGATGGAGACCTTATCCGACTTATCGGTCAGCGGGAACGACAACGTGAACTTCTCGTCGAACGCTTCGATCGAGTCGACGACGACGACGTCTTTTATCAGCCCCTTGCGCGAGCTGCTCGCGCCGACGAGGCCATCGCGCACGGGAACGCCCGGGGGCCTCTCTTTATCGACGACGAGCTCCACGAGCGTGCCTTTCATCACTTTGAGAGTGTCTTCGCCGCTCGGCTCTTCCTCTACGTCGGTGACGTCTCCCTCGTCGGAGGAGGCGTCGGACGAGTCGCCGCCGTCGCCGTCGCCGCGGCTCACGTCTTCCTCGTACTGTCGCTTTCGCATCAGTTTATGGATGAGTCCGCTCTTCTTCTCCGTCTTCTTGAGGTTCTTATCTTTCTCTGTCTTCCATCCGTTCCACAGATCCGCCCAATTAAACTTAATCTCGAGCGCGCCGCGCCGCGGCTTGACGACCTCGTCCCGTCTCCCGAGCTCGACGGGAATTCCCCCCGGGAACATGAGCTTCCTTCCCAGCGCCTCGGAGATGATGTCGCCCACGAACCGCTTCAACGCCGGTATGGCGGTCATCGGCACGCCGCTGACCGCGAGGTCGAACCGCACTTTCGGCATCTCCGCGAACTGAATTATCGACAGCGGGTGATTCACCAGCGGGACGTACCGAATCCGTCCCTCGATGAGCAGCGAGTGCGCGGTGATGTCCACGCCGCCCTGGAGGTTCGCGCCGCCTAAAAACGACGGCAGCTTCGTGAGCTTCTTCAGCACCAGCCTGAGCGTGATCTTCTGCGTGTCGCCGTCGAACGCGATGTCCGCCTCGCACACTTGCCTCCCGAACTTGTTCTGCATGACTTGAAAGTTCCCAACCTTCGGCGCGTTGGCGCCCAGGTCCACCTCTTTCACCGCCGCGGACGCGATGAACCACGGGAGCTTCACGCCGTGGATCTTGTTCGTGATCAGCGACCGAATCTTGTTCGTGATTTTCGGCGCGATCGTCTCCTCCCACAGCGACGCGACGGTCCAGTTCACATAAATCGCAGTCTCCGTCGGGGATATCGGCGTCCACTGCAGCGCGGAGTCGTGCACGGCTTTCAGGCGAGACGTCGCGCGTAACAGTCGCAGCTTGTAGTACACTCGGCTGCCGTAGAACGTGAAGAACACCGCGGCGAGGGTGGGGAGGTACTCCGCGGAGCGCGACGTGACGATGTACAGTATCAGCGCGAAGAGAACGACCGCGACCGGGTCCCCGCTCTTCAGGGAATTCACCATCGGAAACGAGGTGTTGTAGTCCTTGAGCTCGCTCTTTCGCACCGAGTCCCATCGGGAGAGTTGGTCTCTCCCGTGCTCCTTGCCAGCCTTCTCGCCGAGCCCGGCGGCGCGGCGCCATTTCCTACGGAAGTACGACGTCCTCCTCGCCGGCGTCGCGTGAGACCCGGGGGTCTCGGGGACGTCCCCCATCGCGAGGAATGTGTGTGGAATGTGCCGAACTCTGGATGGGCGGCGATTCCGGCGTAATTGATCACGACGGGCGGATGGATCCGTCCCCGCTCGCGGGGTCCCACGCCGCCGCGACGTATCCACCGTTCGCGCGCTTGACGTCCGAACGCGCTCGACGGACTGGACCGGTCGCGGACGCCGGCGCGCCCGCGGTAGGTGCGCGCAGTTAGTTGTGAAGCCTCTCGGGCACGTGCCCATTCGGGTCGTGCACGAGCGCCCGCGAACTCCTCCGGTGACTGCTGTGGATGACGAAACGTTTTCATCGACAGACGACGAAATTTCTATTGAAACCGTGCCCGAGCCCGACCTCGCGGAGACGCGCGGCCGCGGCCGCGCGTCGTCGCGACCGCGCGCGCCTCGCGCGCCTAAAAAATCACGTCCTCCTCTCCGCGCGCGCTCGCGTCGCGCCGCGCCGTCTCCGCGCCTACGTGCCCCCTCCACCCCCCCTCCCCCCGCCCCCGAGCGACCCCCGCGACAGCCCGTCCGCGAGCCGACTCGACGCCTCCACGTGCCTCGCCAACGCGTCCGGAACCGCGCACCCGCCGTCGCGCAACAGCGCGCACAGCGCCTTCGCGTGCCTCGCGTCCGCGGAGGTGAAGAACGAGTGCGCCTCCCCGCGCGCGCCCGCGCGTCCCGTCCGCCCGACGCGATGCACGTAGTCCTCGACTGATGAGGGTCGTTCCGTACGAGCGAACGTCGGGGTGGAGTTCAAAGGCGTCAGACGGAGTTGAAAGACATCGAGGTGTGTCGGGATCGAAAGCGAGGGGTGCGCGGAGAGATGCGCCGGCCGGGAAAAGTCCTTAAGGAACGGCGTTCACCTCGCCAACGCGGTCGTATGGGGACCAGTGTGAGATAGGACGCGCCTGACGACGGGAAGTCGTGGTTGATCACGCATCGGACGTCCTTCACGTCCAACCCGCGCGCCGCCACGTCCGTCGCGAGCATCACCGGGGACGTCCCCGCGCGAAACTCGCCCAAGACCCACTCGCGCTCTTCCTGCGACTTATCGCCGTGGATGCTCAGCGCGGGGAAGCCGTCCGTTCGCAGCCGCCGCGTGACCGCGTCTACTTTCGCTTTGCTGGCGAGGAAGACGATGATCCGTCGCGGCGACGCGGCGGCGTATTCGGCGTCTTCGGCGCTCTTCCCGCCGCCGTCCAACTGCCGCTCGAGCAGGGAGACCAACTTCCCGTACTTCTCGTCCTCGTCCATCACGTCCACGCTCTGCGCGATGTTCACGTTCGCCTTCAGGCTCGCGTCCCCGACGCGCACGGTGACGGGGTCGTGCAAGAAATCCGCCGCGACGCCCTCCACTTCCTTCGGCCACGTCGCCGTGAACAGCAACGTCTGCCGGTCCGGTCGTATCCGGTCGCTGATCTTCCGAATCTGCGGCTCGAACCCCATGTCTAGCATCCTGTCCGCCTCGTCTAACACGAAGTACGTCACGCGTCGCAGGCTCACCGCGCGCGTCTCGATGAAGTCGATCAACCGCCCGGGCGTCGCCGCGCAGATCTCGACGCCGTCCCGCAACGCGCTCACCTGCGGCCCCTTCGGCGCGCCGCCGTACACGCACGCGCTCTTGATCTTGCTGCTCGCGCCGAAGATGGCCGCCTCGGCTTGTATCTGCACCGCGAGCTCGCGCGTCGGCGCGAGGACGAGCGCGATCGGGCCGTCGCCCGGCTCCAGGTACGGCTGCGCATTGACGTGGACGACGGCGGGGAGCAAAAACGACAGCGTCTTGCCGCTGCCCGTCTCCGCGACGGCGACGACGTCGCGCCCGCTCAGTACCGTCGGCCACGCCTGCGACTGGATCGGCGTGGGCGTCGGGAACCCCGCGGCGCGGAGCTCAGAGAGGACGTAGTCCGGGAAGGACGCCTCCTCGAACGTGGTGATCGGCGACGGGGGGTCGCGCCCGGAGACGGCGATGGCGTGTTTCGCGCGGTGCGACGCTACCGCGGCGGCGTCGCGCGACGAGACGTCGGGGTGCTCGAGGTAGAAGTTCTTCTCGAAGACGTCCGCGTCGCTCCAGTCCTCCTGCATGGGGTGGACGCGCGCGCGCGGATCGAGGCGGGGAGCGTCGGGGACGGAAGGGAAGCGCGACGAGGGCGACGCGCGTCGATTATTCGAAGATCGCGGTCGCGGTCGGCACCGTGGGGACGGGAGCGTCGAGATGAGATGAATTCGCGGCGCGTCGCGTCGTCGACGGGACGCGGGCGCGCGCGCGACGCGGACGACGCGTCGCGAGCGGGTTCGAGGCGCACCGCGGGCATCTCCTTCTCCGTGAAGCGCGGCATCGCGTTCGTGACGCCGCGCGCGATCCGAACGCGTCGCGGGGCGCGCGAAGATGACGCCGAGTGCTGATTGGCTCGGCGTTTATTTTCGCGCGTCGTGGTTCGTCGACGCTGACGAAGACCGGTTGTTGTTCGTTCCTCCCCGCCCGCGCGCTGCCGCCGCACTCGCGCGACGCGCGCGACGCCGCACGCTCACGCCGCGCATTTCACGCCGCGCGAGGATTCAGGGTGGAACTAGGTCGCGAGAATGTCCGCCGCGATGACGACGCGCGTCGCGTCCGCGCGCGCCCTCTCGAGCCGCGCGAAGATCGCGCCTCCTCGCGCGACGCGCGTTCGAGCCGTCCTCTCGCGATCCTCGCGCGATCGATCCGCCGTCGTCGTCCGCGCCGCGTGGGTCCTGAAGAACGTCGGCCCGAAGACGAAGGACCACCTCGACGAGGACGACGAGGTGGTGACGCCGGGCGATCTGCCGCTGACCTCGCCTCGCATGGTCGTGGGACGCGCGGCTTCCGAGTCCGTGTCGCTCGAGATCGCGGTCCCGACCGTCAGGTGCGTTCTATACACTGGTCCCCATACGACCGCGTTGGCGTGGTGAACGCCGATCCTTAAGGACTTTGCCCGTCGCATCTCTCAGCCCATCCCTCGCTTTCAATCCCGACACACCTCGACGCCTTTCAACTCCATCTGACGCCTTTCAACTCCACCCCGACATCGCTTTGTATGGAACGACCGTCAGCGGCGCGCACGCGATGCTCGAAGTGAGCGAAGACGCCGTGCGCGTCGTGGACTTGTCGAGCACGAACGGGACGTTCATCGACGGCGAGGAGCTTCAGGCGGGGGTGGCGTACGCGCTCGACGAGAACGGCGAGGTCGTCTTCGGGGACGAGTTCTTGGCGTGCTACCAGCTCGTGAAGGCGTAGGCGCGCGGGCGGCGCGACGACGCGCTCTCCTTTTGCGTTTTCGATAATATGAAGCAAGCGATCTCGAGCCGCCGATCCGTCCGATCGCTCCTACTCACTCCTACTCATCACTCCCTCGGCGCGTTCCTGCTCTGCACCGCCCACACGACGCCGTCGCCGTCCACGCACCCCTCCACGATCTGCGCCGCGCCGTCGAACTCGTGCTCGAGCGCGACGCCGACCGCGGCGAGCTTCCTCCCCGCGTCAACGCGCGCGTCCGCGTCCAAGCTCAGCGGTTGCTTGCTGTAATCCGCCGCCTCTCGCCGCAGCCGCGCGCCGCCGCCGCAATTCTCGTCGAGCGCGCGCAACGTCAGCGACGTGCTCAGCGACGCGAACGCGCACGTCTCCACGCTCCCGTCGCGCTTATCCACGCGCAGCCGCCACGGCGACCCGCGCGCGCCGGCGCCGACGCGCGCGTGCGAGTGACCGAACCCGACGACGACGTCCGCGTGGAGCGTCGGCGACGCGACGCCGCCGGTGTCGAGCTCGAACGCGGTCGCCGCGGGCGCCGTCTCGGAGACGATCGCGGCGACGCGCGCATCAGCGCTGTCTAGCCCGCACGCGAGGCGGTTGATCACCGCGGTCTCGGAGTACGCGCTCGCCATGACCTTCAGGACCGCGCGCGCGACGGCGTCGGGGGACGACGCCGGCACGCCGACGACGACGTCGTACACGCCGCGACCGGCGGTGCCGGCGAGGTCGTCGACGTTGGACGACACGCGCGCCACGAGCGTCGACGCCGCCGCGACGTCGACGTCGGACGCGCCGCCCCCGCCTCCGACGGCGGCGCGACGACGAGCGACGACGTCGACGAACGACGCGGCGATCGTCGCGGCGATCTCCGTCGGGAACGGCAGCGATTCGATCAGCGCTTTCGCGGCGTCGCACGCGGCGCGAAGTCGCGGCGCGTCGCCGACGCGCGCGGCGTCGTCGGCGTTCTCGGCGTGGCGTCTCAGCGCCTCCTCCGCGTTCGCGCGCCGCGCGATCGCCTCGAGCGCGCCGTACGGCACGACGCACCCCTCCGGGGCGGTGAACGGGCACCCCGGTCGGTCCGCCACGCGTAGCAGCGCGCCCGCGGCGGCGGCTTTCGCGCCCGCCGTCTCCGTCGTCGCGTCTCGCAACGCGCGCACCGACACGACCGCGGCGGCGCCGCCGTCCCTCTCACTCGGCGCCGCGCGCGTCACCACGCCGCGGTCGTCGCGTATGGACCGGTCGTATCGCACCGCGGCGTCCCTCGCGCGCGAGATGTCGTCCCGGGAAGCTCGCCCGAGCAGCACGCCGTTGGACGTCACGTTCAGCGTCACCCATTCGCCCAAAAGCTGGCGCACCGCGTCGGCGGCGTGCTTCGCGCCCTCGGGCGACGGCGTCGCCGTGAGCGGCACGCCCTCCTGTCGCGATCGAATCGCGAGGTGGCATTCCGGGTGCAGCGCGCGTCCGGCGACGATGCCGACCACCTTGCTCCCAGCCGCGGTGATCTCCTCGTCGCCGAGCGCTTTCGCGACGAAGACGATCGTGGGGTCGTGCTGAGGGTCGAGGGTCCATACGAAGCGAAGTCGGGGTGGAGTTGAAAGGCGTCAGAAGCGGAGTTGTGAGGCGTCGAGGTCGGGGATTGAAACCGTGGGACCCTGGGCGGAGAAATATGCCGGGCAAAGTCCTTAAGGATCGGCGTTCACCACGCGAACGGGGTCGTATGGGAACCAGTGTTTAGAACGCACCTCGCTCCCGAGGAGCGCGCCGGGCTCCAGCGCGTCGCATCGCACGAGTTTCCCCGTCGCCGTGCCCGTCACGATCGACTTTCTGGACTGGTCCACGCGCCCCGCCGCCTTCGCGGTCGCGCGCAGCATCGGCGCGAGAAGCCTGGACAGCTGGAACGGGACGCCGCCTCTGACAGACGCGTCCACGAAGTCGCCGCCGTCGTCCGCGCGGACGCCGAGCGCCTCGGCGAGCGCGCGCGGCGCGTCGCCGAATCCGCGCGTCACCGCGGCGGTGTGCGCCTCGACGAGGCGCCGCGCGCGGTCGAGCGACGCGCCCATGCGCATCGCGCGCTCCGGTGTAGAGACCGGGCCGCCGTCACGGGGATCGACGTCGCACCAGTGCTCGAGCTCGCGCGCCACCGCGTGCGATTCCATCGGCCGCCATCCGCTCAGCGCGACGTGTCGCAAGCCCTGCGCCGCCGCCGCGCACGCGGCGGTCCACGTCGATCCCGCGTCCGACGCGAGGTCAGCCTCGAAGGCGACGGAACCGCCGCCGCGACCGTCGTAGTCCGCGTCGCCGTCTTCGCCGAGACCGGCGCAGAACAGCGCGCGGGTGAGAAGCACGAACGAGAGGTCCTCCAACGCCATCTCGACGCCGCGACGCCGTCGACGCGCCGCCGTCGCGCCCTCGTCCGATTCCCAACCCTGGAGCGATCGGTCAGTCGAACGTCTCACCGGTCAAACGTTGAATCTATTGAAAGGGAAGCGCGGGTGAAGAGTGACGACGGGAAAAGTCCTTAAGGAACGGCGTTCACCACGCGAACGGGTTCGTATGGGAAGCAGTCTCACCTTCTGGTCCTCCCGCGCGAGCGACGCGGTGAAGTGCCCTCGCACCGCGGTCGCCGCGCGCAGCGCGCGCGTCACCGCCTCGCCCTCGGGCGACGCGAGCCCGCGACGCCCGGGCGAGGGCTCCGCGACGCGCGCGAGGTGACTCATCGAGCGCGTCAGCTCGTCCGCAAACTCCCTCGCGTCCGCGTCGAGGCTCGGACGCGCCGCGTGCAGACGCTCGAGCGCGCTCGCGTTGTCGGACACGGCGTCGTCCAGGGACGGCAGCGCGGCGAGGCACCGGCGCGTCATCGCGCGCTCTGTCTCCGTGATGGCGTTTTTTCCGCACGCGCCCTCGAGGTTCACGAACAGCTCCCGCGTCAGCGACCGAATCCGCGTCGCGTCGCCGTCCGCGCTCGGCACCGCGTCGTCTCGAACCCACGACATGTACGCCGCGGCGACGCCGAGCGTGCTCAGGCAGCGGGAGGAGGAGGAGGCGGAGGACGCGTCGTCGTCGTCGTCGTCGTCGTCGTCGTCGTCGTCGTCGAAGGAGGCTCGCATCGGGTCGTCCAGAGCGACGCCGCATAGCTCGACGCCCGCCTGGACGACGTCCGCCGCGACGCGGAGCTTGTCCTCGCGCGTCGCCGCGACCGGATCCGCGGCGGCGACGAGGCGCGCGGCGCCCTCGGGCAGCGCGCTGAGGTCGACCGCGCTCCGTCGCGGCGGGTCCGGATCGGAGGACGACGCCTGGTGGGTTTGTCGCCGCCGCTGCGCGGGGTCCGTGTCGTAAAACGACGACCCCGTGGACGTGAACGCGGACTCGCGCGTCGACGGGTGCGTCGCCGCGGACGCGGGCTCCGCCGCCGAGGGACCCGCCGAGGGACCGGGCGACCGCATCGTTCCGATCGACGGCGACTGAAACGACGACGGCGCGGCGGTGCTAGCGCTCGGGACGTACTCCACCGGTTCTCTCGTGGCGACGGACGCGGCGGCGCCGGCGCCCGTCGACGCGGCGCCGGCGGCGCCGGCGGTACCGGTCCCGCCGCCGACCCTGCTCCTGTACGCGTCCAGCGCGGCGAGGTAATCGTCGATGTTGTCGCTCGCGTCGCTCACGTTCGCGACCGCGTCGTGGTCGTCGAACGACCCGGTGTTCCCCGGCGCGGACCACGCGTACCGCCCGCCGCTCGGAGTTTTCTTTTCGGCGACGAAGTTTGGCATCGGCCGCGGCGGGTCGTCCGCGCCCGTCGGGTTCGCCGCCGGCGGGTTTGTTGGGTTCGGGTTCGACCAGAACGCGCCGCCGTCCAGCCCGCTGACGTCCCCGCCGCCGTCCACGGCGTCGACCACGTCCTCCGCCGCCGCCGTTCTCGCCTCCGCGGCTTCGTGCAGCTCCGCCAAATCCTTCGTGTCCACGAACAGCCTTCCCTCGAACTCGCCGCTGACGGTCGCGATCGCACCCGACGGCGCGCCCTCCATGCGTCTCCGCAGCTCGCCGAGGTGGAAAAACCGGTTCTCGTATTCCTCCCACTCGAACGACTTCCCCCACTCCTGCGCACTCGCCCCGCGGTGCGATTTGATGAGCTTGTACTCCACCTCGTCCGCGTGCGCCGGGAGCGTCACTTTCCCCGTCCAGATGTCGCCCTCGGTCCACGACAGCAGGAACGCGCGCTCGGGGGTCCAATCCCCGAGCACGTCCGTGTCCCCGACGAGCGCGACTCTCTGCCCGTACGAGAGCTCCGCGTGGATGCTCACGAGGACGACGGTCTCGTCGGGGTGGAACGGCGCCGGGACGTCCGAGCCGTGCGCGCGGAGACGAACCGTTCGAGAAGGGCGCACTATCCGTCGCCGAGTCGGATGCGATATTAATACAATTCCCTCGTCGTCGCTCGTGACCGGCGGCGCGCGCCGCGCGATCCGCGGCCCCGCGCCGGCGGCCGATCGCGCCGCCGCCGCCGACGGCGCGCTGCTCGCCATCCTGTCGTCCTCGCGCCCGCGCGGGTCGATGTGCGCCCGCGTCGCCTCCCCGCATTCGCCGATCGGAAAAGCAATCACGCAGACAGAAACTCGGATCGCGTATCCGATGCCGCGTCGGATCGCGGTTCAAAGAGCTGAGAGATTCTCCCGCGCCGAGCGAGTCGCGCACTCTTCGCCGCGCGCGGAACGGCGGCGATGACGAGCACGACGTGCTCCCGGGCGACGCTCGCTGCGACGCGCGCGAGCGTCGCGCCGCGCGCGCGCCGCCGCCGAACCGCGAGCGTCCGCGGCGTCGGCGGGGTAACAATAACGTGCGAGGCGGGAAATCGCGATCGCGACGTGGGCGGAACCGACGACGACGACGAGATTCGCCGCCGATCGGAGGGTCCGTCGCGCGCGTCGGCGTCCTCCTCCGTCTCCTCCTCCACCACCTCCTCCTCCTCCTCGCGTCGATCGATGCTCGCGTCGTCGTCCGCGCTCCTCCTCGCCATCTCCGCGGCGTCGTCTCCGCGCGCGACCGCGCTCGCGGACGTCTCCACCGCGCTCCATGGTCCGACGCTCGCGGAGGTGTCCCCGCCGCTCGGATCGAACACCGCGCTCACCGCGCTCGAGCAAGGAACCGTGAACCTGTTTCAGCGCAGCACGCGCTCGGTCGTGAACGTCGTCGACCTCACGGTGTTGTCCGGACAAGCGATGAAGAGCGGCGTCGTCGTCCCGGAAGGGAACGGCACCGGGATCGTGTGGGATGGAGACGGGCACGTCGTCACCAACTACCACGTCATAGGGAGCATCCTCGCGTCCGTGCCCAAGGGAAGGGTCGTGGGAGAGGTGGCGAAGGTCACGATGCTCGGCCCGGACGGCAGGACGAAGACGTTCCCGGCGACGCTCGTCGGCGCGGAGCGAAGCAAAGACCTCGCGGTGCTGAAGGTGCGTTCTGTACAAAAGTTTTTCACCCATCGCCCGGTTTAAACATTTGATCGCGTCCCTTTTCAACTGACCGATGAACTATCATATTTTTGTATGGAATGGCCCCAAGGTGAACGCGCCGAAAGAATACGTGACGCCCGTCGTCGTCGGGACGTCGGCGGACGCGCGCGTCGGGCAGGCTGTCTTCGCGATCGGGAACCCGTTCGGATTCGATCACACGCTCACGACCGGGGTCATATCCGGCCTGAACCGCACGATTCAATCGCAGGCGGGGAGCTTGATATCCGGCGGGATTCAGGCGCGTTCGTATTTACGCCGGTCCCCGTACGACCGCGTCGGCGCGGTGAACGCCGATCTTCAAGGACTTTTCTTCCCGGCGGTCGTCTCTCTCCGCCCACCCCTCGGTTTCAATCTCGACCCACCTCGACGCCTTTCAACTCCGCTTCTGACGCCTTTCAACTCCACCCCGATATCATCGCTCGTACGGACCCTCGATCACCCTCAGACGGACGCGGCGATCAACCCCGGGAACAGCGGCGGCGCGTTGCTCGACAGCGACGGTCGCCTCGTCGGCGTCAACACCGCCATCTTCACCAACACCGGCGTCAGCGCGGGCGTCGGATTCGCCATCCCCGTCGACCTCGTGATGCGCGTCGTCCCGCAGCTGATCGCGAACGGGAGCGTGACGCTGCCGAGCCTCAACGTCGTCGCCGCGGATCCCAACGTCGGGAAGCAGCTCGGCGTGCGCGCGCAGGGGGTCTTGGTTCAGGTGCGTTCTATACACTGGTTCCCATACGACCGCGTTGGCGTGGTGAACGCCGATCCTTAAGGACTTTTCCCGGCGCTTGTGTCCGCCCACCCCCCGCTTTCAATCCCCGACCTCGACGCCTTTCAACTCCGCTTCTGACGCCTTTGAACTCCACCCCGACAATGCTTCGTATGGAATGGCCCTCAGGCGGTGCCGGAGAAGTCGGCCGCCGCCGCCGCGGGGTTGCGCGCGACGCGACGCGGGCTCGGCGGGATCGTCGCGGGCGATCTGATCATAATGGCGGACGGGCGACGCGTCGCCACGGAGGGCGATTTGGTCGCCGCGGTGGAGGCGCACCAAGTCGGCGAGGCGATCGAGCTCGTCGTCCGACGGGGCGAGGGCGGGGAGGAAAAGGACGTCGAGGAGGTCAAGATGAGCGTCGTGCTCGAGGCGGCGGCGGCGGCGCGGTGAGTGAGGCGATTGAGGCGATCGTGGGTGGTGAGGTCCTGTGCGGCCTGGATGACGACGGGAGGGACCCTCCCTCCGTCGCGTCGGGTCGTTCGCGTCGACCGACGCGTTTTGTTCGTCGTGATTTATTTTTAAACGACGCGACGCGTCAGCGACTCGGAACCTCCGTCTGCGCTCGCGCCGGCGTCGCCTCTAGTTGCATCGCGCGCAAGTCCTCGCCCAGCGCGTCCGCCGCCGGAGATTCGCGCTTGTCCTCCGTCAGATCAGTCAGATCCGTCAGATCCGTCGGATCCGTCTCTGTCTCCTTCTCCCCCTCTTTCGCCGCTCCGGATTCGCCCCCGACGACGTCCACGCTGTACTTGATGTCTTTGCTGTTCCACGTGCTGTGCGCGTTGCTAAACGTGAACGCGATCGTTCCTTTCCCCGGGGACACGATCACGTCCTCCTTCGTCCCGTCCCCGTCCCGGTGCTTAAACTTCCGAATCAACGTCGTGCACTTCGAGACGTCGTCGCCTTTTCTCCACCCCGCCGGTCTCAGCGTCGCGGTGACCTCCACGCCGCCCTTCTCCACGAGCAGCCGCCACGCGACGGCGTCCGTCGCGTCCACCTCCGCGAAGACGTCGATCTTCCCTCGCGCGGGGACGTTGTGCGCGATCAGTCCGTCGTCGGTCATCGCGCCTATGAGGGTTTTCTGGTCGTTCGCGACGCCGCGGACGCAGCCGCCTTTGCATCGGCACTCGCCCGCGAGAAACGACGGGATCGTCGAGAGGTCGAGAAGTTTCGCGAACGGGCACTTCCGGACGTCGCCCTTGCGCGTGTCCGAGACGGGGCATATCGCAACCTTCGCGCGCGTCTTCGCGCTAAGCATATTCTTGAACACCCCCCAGATGGCGCTGAAGACGTACGGCACGTTGATGAGCACCGCGCGGTCCAACAGCTGCGGGTAGTAATCTTCGGAGAGCTTGCTCGCGCGGCTCAAGACTTTCTGGAACTTCTTGTCCGTGCCGTGGAGGACGGAGACGAAGTTCAGGTCGTTCACCGTGAGGAGTTTCGTGAGCTTCCGCGTCCGCCGCGTGCGCTCGTCGCACATCACCGCGCCCATTTCCTTTCTGTACATCATGAACTCCACGACGTCGTCCTCTTTGTTCGCCGCCATCACCGCCATGGTGTTACTGAGCCCCGCGCGGATGATGTACACCGGCGCGCCGTCCAGCGTTTTCCCGTGATAGTCCGCCGCGATGAGCCGCTCCATGGGGGCGAACCTCTCGAGCGTCTCGCCTCTCGCCGCGGCCGCGAGCATCTCCGCGTTCTCTTCCCTCCATCTCAGCGTGCGCGTCGCCGCGCTCAGCGCCTCCGCGTCGTCGTCGTGCGACAGGACGAACCTGAGCGCCCAGATCGAATCGTACGGCGTCCCCGCGCCGACCGGGGAGGAGTGCTCGCTCTTCGCGCGCGCGAGATGCAGCGCGTCCGTCAGCGCCGCGATCCGCCCCGCGTGCGTCTCCAGGAGCGCGTCCACGTCGCGCTCCCCGAACATCATCGACCGCGCGGTCTTTCCCATCGCGCGCCTTCGCGCGTCTCGGTCGCGGTCGGCGCCCGCCGCAGTGGCGCGCCCTCCGCGTCGCGTCGAAATCTGGTGGCAGCGGTTCGTCCGCGGGCCACGTGGCGCGCGGCCCGAGTTTTGGAACGAACCGTCGTCCTCCCGCCACCCCCCCCCCCACACCCCAACGCGCGTCCCTCGCGCACGACACGATGCACGCGTCGAGCCTCTCCTCGCGCGCGCCGACGGCCGCGCCCCTGCGCGCGCGCGCGCCCTCCTCCGCGCGCCGCGCCGCGCGCGTCGTCGCGACAACGCGCGTCGTCGCCGCGAAGGCGTCATCAGAAGACGGTACGAAGAAGATGACCGTCGCCGTCACCGGTGCCACGGGCTTCGTCGGCCGCGCCCTCGTGCGCGAGCTCCAGGCGAACGGGCACGACGTCCGCGTCTTGACCCGCGACGCGTTCGCCGCGCGGCTCTCGATGCCGGGCGCGGCGCTCAAGGGCGCGAAGTTTTACGCGAACGACACCGCGAATGGCTACCTGCGATGGTTCGACGCCGTCGACGGGTGTACCGGGGTCGTCAACCTGGCCGGCGCGTCCATCTCGAACCCGTGGAACGAGGCGTATAAGAAAACGCTCGTAGAGTCGCGGTTACGCGCGACCAAGCGCGTCGTCGACGGCATAAACGCTGTCCCGAAAGACCGCCGCCCCACGCTCGTGTCTTCCAGCGCCGTCGGGTACTACGGGACCTCCAAGACGAAGACGTTCGACGAGAACTCCGCGCCCGGGCGTGACTTCCTCGCGCGCCTGTGCGTGAAGTGGGAGCGAGAGGCGAAGAAAGCGGACACGCCGACGACGATCGTGCGCACCGGCGTCGTCCTCGAGAAGGGCGGCGGCGCGCTCGGGAAGATCTTGCCCATCTTCCAGCTGTACGGCGGCGGTCCTCTCGGAGACGGGTCGCAACGCTTCTCGTGGATCCACCGCGACGACCTCGTCGCGTTGATCGTCGCGGCGTTGGAAGACCCGGAGAAGTACGAGGGCACGCTGAACGGCACCGCGCCGGAGCCGACGACGATGAACGGTCTGTGCGAAGCCGTTTCAGCCGCGACGAACCGCCCGAACTGGCTCCCCGTGCCCGGCGTAGCGCTGCGATTGCTCCTCGGCGAGGGCGCGACGGTGGTGTTGGACGGGCAACGCGTCGAGCCGAGGGAGACGCTTCGGCGGGGGTTCAAGTTTTCGCACGAGACAGTGGATGACGCCCTGTGCGCGATCGTGCGCGGCGATAGCAGCGGGAAGAAGAAGGGAGAGGAGGATGATGAGGAGGAAGACGTCGTCGCCGTGGACGAAGACGACGAAGAGGAAGAGGAAGCGGAGGCGGCGGCGGTGGAGGAGGAGGAGATCGTGAACGCGTGAGCGCGAGTGATGAGTCTTCCCGTCGTCTTCATTTCATCAAACGTTCGTCGCCGCTGCGCGCTACGGCATCTCTCTCTCTCTCTCTCTCTCTCTCTCTCACTCTCACTCACGCCGCGGACTCGAACGCGAGCGAGACGCCGTTCATGCAGTACCTCAACCCCGTCGTCTCCCTCGGCCCGTCGTTGAACACGTGCCCCAGGTGTCCTTGACACTTGGCGCACCGAACCTCGGTGCGCGGGAGAAACACGATCGAGTAGTCCGGCACCTCCGTCACCGCGTCCGCCGAGATGGGCGCGTAGAACGACGGCCACCCCGTGCCGCTGTCGTACTTCGTGCTCATGTCGAACAGCTCGCTCCCGCACCCCGCGCACACGAACGTCCCCGCGCGTTTCTCGTTATACAGCGGGCTCGAGAACGGCCGTTCGGTCGCCTCGCGGCGGAGCACTTGGTACGCGAAGGGATCGAGCTTCGCGCGCCACTCGTCGTCGGACATCGCGATCGCGCCCTGGCGGTTCAGGATCGCCATCGCGCCCGCGTCCGCGAAATCCGACGCCGCCGCGAGCGCGGGGGAGGCGACGACCATCGCGGTCGTCGCCGCGGTGAGGTTGATGAGCCGCCGGCGCCGCATGGGCGTCGACGACGACGACGACGACGACTCGGCGCGTTTTGTCGCGTGGGCGTCGTCGTCGTCGCCGTCGGCGCGCGCGGTCGCGTCCGCGCGCGACGCGCGCGGGGCGAGACGCGCCGCGCGGTCGCGGCGCGTCGAGCACGACGCGGCGGACGCGCGGGAGGTCGCGCGAGCGACGGGGGTGGAGATGGCGTGCATCGTGCGGCGTTCGTTCGCGCGGGGGGGGGGGAGTGCGAGACGCGCGCGTCGACTTCGCCACGTCATCGCCGTTCGAGGTGAAGTTTTTTCTCTCCGCAGCGTGTTTATTCCTCCCGCGTGCGCGCCCGGGGACCGCGGCACTGAAGACGCGCGAGACACGCGCGACGTCCACCCCCAACACGAGATGAGCGTCCTTCGCGCCGTCGCGCGTCGCGCGCTCGCCGCGCGCGCCGGCGTCCTCGCGCCGGTCGCGTCCTCCGCGCCGGTCGCGGTCCTCCGCGTGACGAGATCGCAATCCTCCCTGGCCGCGGGCGCGGAAGGGGAAGAGCTCGACCACGCCCCCGAGGCGGAGGTCGCGTTCGACGAGTCGCTCCCGGTGTACATGACGACGCTGACGTTCTCGGAGAAGGGCGTCCAGGCGATGCTGAACCGCGACATCGACCGCGAGAAGGTGCGCGTCGGCGCGCGCGCGCGATCCCCGAGCGCGTCCCTTCGGTGCCGTCCGCGTCCGAGTCACGCCCGCGCGATCTAACAAACATTTTTTCTTCATCTCATCACTCCCTCATCCTTCCCCGAATCGATCGCACACCACATCGCAGTCCGCGGCGAAGATCATCGGCCTCCTCGGCGGTCGCTTGCAGTCGTACTACGTCACCACCACCGGCACCGCGGACGCGGTCCTCACGTACACGTTCCCCAAGAACCACGACGTGCAGACGCTCCTGTACACGCTCATGGGAAGCGGCTCGTACGAGAGGCAGGCGCGTTCTATACACACACTGGTTCCCATACGACCGCGTTCGCGTGGTGAACGCCGTTTCTTAAGGACTTTCCTTTCTTCCCGGCGTTTCTCTCCGCCCATCTCACGGTTTCAATCCCGACACGCCTCGACGCCTTTCAACTCCACCCCTGACGCCTTTCGACTCCGCCTTTCAACTCCGTATGGACCCTCGGCCCTCAGGAGACGACGAAACTCATGAGCTGGGCGGACGCGGCGATGAGCCTGCGCGCGAGTCGGAACGTGTACGGGATGGGAGGCGTGACGTGTAACATCTCGAACGTCGGGGGCGGCGGCGGCGGGGTGGGGAAGGATTGAGCGGCGAGGCGACGACGACCGCGGTCGGTCGGCGGCGGGCCGCCGGCGACGACGACGACGACGTTGACCTCGACCCAATACAAAAAAAGGGTCAAAGTTCATCGGTCAGTTGAAAGGGGACGCGGTGAACGTTGAAACCGAGGGATGGGTGAAAAACGAATGAATTCATCGCACCGTGTTCCGGGCCCACGTGGCGCGTCCTCTTTCGACGACATCGTCCCGTCGTCGTCCCCGGCCTCGCGGCGCCACACGGGCACGCGCGCCCTTCGAGCGTCCCGGGTTCCGCGTCGTCTTCGCGACCCCTCCGCGCTCCCTCGAACATGACGTGCACGATGCGCGCGACCCCGGTCGCGTTCGCGCGCGCGCTGACGCGCCCCGCCGCGCGCCGCGGTCTCTCTTCCGGGTCGCACGGCGCGTCGTCGTCGTCGTCGTCGTCGCCGTGGCGACGCCTCGCGCCCGCGACGAGCGCGTCGCGCGCGCCGCGGTTCTTCCCCGCCCCCCCGCTCCCGACGCGGAACCCCGCGGCGTTTCGCGTCTTCGCCGGCGGCCCCGACGGCCCCTCCGGCCCGATCTCCGACGACGAGCGGACCCCGACGCGCGACTACGCGAGCGAGATTTCGTGGATCGCGCGCGCGGACGCGACCAAGGAGGACGAGGAGGTGGACCCCGCGGCGCAACCCGACGTCATGGTCATGCCCGTGTTCCCGCTGGGCAGCACAGCGTACATGCCGCACTCGGACCACGTGTTGAACATCTTCGAGCCGCGGTATCGGCAGATGTACAGCGACATCTTGTTCAACGGCAGCCGGAGGTTCGCGGTGCCCGTGAGCGACCCAAAGTCGGGGCGGCTCGCCGCGGTGGCGCCCATCTTTTACCTCGAGGACCTCAAGGAAGTCTCCGAGCAGACCGCGGACGCGGTGAAGTACGTGTGCTCGCACAAGGTGATCGGGCGCGTCCGCATCGATCGAACGATCAACGACAAGGCTGCGAGCGATCGAAGCACGTACCTGAAAGCGGTCGTGGAGCCGATGGAGGACGGCGACGACGACGAGGATCTGAGCACGCGCGAGGGCATCCTCTCGGAGAGATTCGCGACGATCATTCAGGCGCGTTCTATACACTGGTTCCCATACGACCGCGTCGGCGTGGTGAACGCCTATCCTTAAGGACTTTTCCCGGCGCTTCTCTCCGCTCACCCCTCGCTTTCAATCCCCGCCCGCGGCGCCTTTGAACTCCACCTGACGCCTTTGAACTCCACCCCGACATCGCTTTGTATGGAACGACCCTCAGAACCAGACGAAGCTCCAGGAGCCGGTTCGGTTCACGGAGAATTTGATCGACACGCTGAGCGCGTCGAGAGGCGAGGACGGGCTGTGGCGCCTCGCGGGGCTGTGGCAGTCGCTGCTTCAGAACCGCATCGGCGCGAAAGAGAGCGAGCTCTCGAACGAGATCCAGACGCTCCTGCGAAACTACCTCGCCAAGCAAGGGACGGAGCTGCAGAACAAGGTCGCCGTGCAGTTCGACGCGCTGCCGGGGGACGTCAAGGCTGAGTTCACGCGCTTGCAGACGCAGTACAGGGAAGAGGCCGCGCCGATGGTGAGCGCGGCGCTGTATCCGTTCGCGCTGCTCGTGCAGTGCGACACGCACGGCGCGCGGCTCGAGGTGTTCGGGGAGATGTTGGAAGAGGAAGAGGCGCGTCTGCGCGCGAAACTCGCGCTGCAGAGCTTGTTCTCGAGCGCTTCTGCGCCGGGCGGCGAGGCGACGGAGGAAGCGGAAGTCGAAGGGACGGAGGACGCGGACGGGAAGAAGAGCGACGACGCGGGCGGGTCCGAGAGCGCGTGAGGATGAGGCGGTCGGTTCTGCGCGAGAGAAGAAGTCGCGCGCGTTGTAACAATATCAACATCCACGCGGACGTCTTCCGTCTTCACCCTACGCCGCGCGGTGCCCTGTCATCCCCTCGATCGTGTACGACACCCGCGTCGTCCCCTTCTTCACGCGCACGCCCACGATCTCCACGTCCCCGATCTCTCTCACGTCCTTCACGTGCGTCCCCCCGCACGGGCACCCCGCCGCCGCCGCCGGCACGCGCACGACGCGCGGCGTCGAGTCCTTCGCGACGTACGCCGGCAGCGACCCGCCGCACGCGGCCGCGGCGTCGTCGTACGGCATCGTCTCCGCGCTCGTGGCGCCGCCTCTCTCCACGAGTTCCGTCATCTTCGCCGCGAGGTCGCGCGCGAGCTTCTCTTTGTCCAGACCGTCTATTTTGCCCGAGTACTCCACGTACGCGCCGTCGACATGATGTTGCCCTTTCGCCGGGACGAGCCCCGACTCCGGGCCGAGCCCGATCTCGCTCATCGCGACGTCGAGGAGGTGCCCCGCGGAGTGCACGCGCGCGTGGAGGACGCGGCGGTCGACGTCCACGTGCACGACGACGTCCGCGCCGGGCTCGAAGACGGAGGCGACGGAAGCTTCCGACGCCGAGAGTTCGTCGTCGTCCGCGCCCTCCACGCGGCCGAGGTGCCGCACGACGCCCTCCTTCGAGATCTCCACCGCGCGGACCGCGAACGTCGCGCGTCCGTCGCCGAGGACGACGCGGCCGGTGTCCGACGGCTGCCCTCCCCCCGCGGGGTACGCGATCGTGCGGTCCAGCACGAGCGCGCAGTCGCCGCCGCCGTCGCCGCCGCCGTCGTCGCGCGCCTCGACCGCCTCGACCGCGAGCACCTTGGCGTAGCAGCTCGCCAGGTACGTGTCGTCGAAGTACGCGAGCTCGGTCTTCGCGGGCGCGGACGGCATCGCGGCGGCGGCGCGAGCGGCGCGGGCGGCGCGGGCGCGGGCGGCGCGGCGCGGACGGCGGGGGGACGACGCGACGGACGGCGGCGAGGAGACGACGCGCGCGCGCGAGGTCATCTGGCGTCGCCGCACCGCATCTGCGGGCGGTGGAAAAGTCGAGCGCGATCGCGACCGTGAAGAGTTGAACGCGCTGATCGATCGGGCGCACGGCGGGCGAAAGGGTTCAATCTCGCGACTTTGACCGGGGCTTGATCGCAGGAATGAAATATCTATCTTTCTTCGGTAATTTTTTCTCGCCCCGCGGAGCGGGCTAATTTCCACAACGAACGGCGCGCGGCCCGAGACGACACGAAGTCCAACGCGCGCGCGGAAGTCGCGCAGATGAGTTACAACGGCGGTTTTCCGCCGCCGACGCCGCCGTACATGAACGGCGGCATGAACCCGCAGGTGCGATCCGCGGCGGAGCTCCGTTGAAAAAGCGCGCTCGCCGCGTGATCTTTTTGTTACTCGTTCGCGGGGGGAGATATTTCCCTTTTTCGCGGCGACGGGGGCGCTCGCGGCGGCGGCGGCGTAGACGCGATCGACGCGATCTCGATGCGCGCGGGCGACATCTCGCGCCCGGTCGCAGATCGACGTCGCGCGCGGCCGCGTCGCGCGCCGCGATCCGCCGATTTCAACCTCGCGCGTCGGGAAAAAACGCGCCGCGGTCGGCGTCAAACGTGGAGCTGACGCGTCTCCCCCCCCCCGCGCCAATTGCCCCCCTCCCGCAGGCGATGTACCATCCGTCGATGGGCTACCCCGCGGGGTACCCGCCGTACGGGTACGGTCAGCCAGGTCCCGCGCCGAACGGATACGCGGAGTTCGAGATGATGCAGCAGCTGCAGCGGACGATGCACGCCTACATGATGTCCACTCAGGGGGGGGCCATGCCGCAAAACGGGGGAGGCGGAGGAAGAAATCACGACGGCAATCATCCTCGCTCGCCGCAGCCGCCCGCGGGCCGCCCCCCGCCGGCGCCGCCGCCCTTACCCCCCGGCGGCATCTCCGGCGCGCCCGCGGACGCGAACGCCGGCGCGGCGTACCAGACCCTCACCGCGGAGGCGCTGCGTCGGTACCAACAAGAGGGCGCGGCGGCGGATCTCGACGCCGACGGCGACGGCTCCTCCAACAGCGGCGACTCTAACAAGCAGTCCGTCGCGCGCAGGCGCCACGCGCGCCGAAGACGCCAGCTCGCGAGGCTCACCACGGAGCGGCTGGAGTGGGAGGAGCGCAGCCGGCTCATGGAGGAGGCGCTCCTCGCGAAGGATGGCGACGGCGAGGAGGGGCTGGCCGCGCTTCCGGAGGAGGAGCTCGCGGATTACCGCAAGGCGCTCGCGAGGACGCTGCTGCTGACGTCGGAGGTGTTGCGGGGGTCGGACCACGACGGGGCGGACAGCGACGGGGCTTACAGCGACGAGCTGAGCGACGCGGACAGCGGCGACTTGACCGAGCGGTTGGTGTCCGAGCTCAGGGGGTTCCGCGTCGACGAGGGGGGCGACGCGGGGGAGACGACGACGGCGGCGGCGAAAGATGCGGACGACGCGGAGAAAGAGAAAGAGAAAGAGAAGGCGCCGTCTTCGTCGACGACGCCGAAGCGAAGGAGCATCGAGCGCGCGCGGTGCAACCCGGCGACGGCGTCGCTCGCCGCGTTTCTCGGCGGGTACCAGAGCACGTTCACCGGGATGAAAGTCAACCCCGCGTGCCGCGGGAGCTTCGACCCGAAGACGCCCGGGATGGAGGGCGTCGCCGCGCTGGAGTACGGCCTGATTAAAGCCCAGGAGAGCGGCTTATTCGCCCCCGGGGAGATTCTCGTCACCGCCGTCAGCACCAAGGACATGCTCATCAAGTACAGCAGCGGGAACTCTGCGGACGTGCTCGGCGTCTCTTCCGCGGAGCGCGTGCTCCGAACGTCTCTGTTCGAGAGCCTCGACGCGGAGGACGTCCGGGCGTTGATCTTCGCGTGCTACCTGTTCCCGACGATCTTGCCGGAGATTCGAGGGGGCGACGCCGCGGGCGAGGAAGGGACGGTGCCGAAACCAGAATGCGCGCGTCTGATGCCGCACGGGTTCCTTCGCCGCCGCCGCGCGAACGGCACGCACGTCGCGATGGAGCGTCTCGGCGGCGTGATCGTGACGAACGACGCCGCCGCGGCGCTGATGAACGCCGCGCGCGGGCCGGCGAAGCACGAGATGTCCGTCCTCACCGGATTCGGCGAGCCCGGCGAAGGGAGCAGCTCGCCGGAGGATGTGTCCCCGCGGTCGCTCTCGCAGCGCAACTCGGAGAACGTCGGCGCGTTCCAGGACGCGAGCGAACGCGGCCGCGCCGCGGAGATTTTAGAAGAGGAGACGCGACGACGCAGCGATGAGATGACGCGAACGCAGAGTCAGGAAGAGCTCGAGACGATCGCCGAGTGCGCGCGAAGGGTCAGCATCGACAACGGCGACGCGTCGCTCGTCGCGGACGTCTCGACGCCGTCGTCGCCGTCGCCGCCGATCGTCCTGAACAAATACCACCCGTCGATGAAGCGCGAGGCGAAGCGATCGGGCGGCGCGAAAGCGTCCGGGTCGAGCCCCGCGGAGTTGCTCGGCCGAGCGTCCAAGTCGGACGTCTCCCCGAGCACGGGCGCGGCGTTCGGCGCCAAGTCGGAGAAGGGCGCGGCGCTGTCGCCGCACGCCGCCAAGTTTGAAGCCGGCGCCGGGTTGAAGCCGACCGGGAGCGCGACCGGCGCCGGCGTCGATCAGATGCGATCCGTCTCCGTGTGCGGGGTGACGGGCGAGTCGAAACTGGACCTGAAGCTCCGCGCGGGCGCGGGAAGGTCCGGCGCGGGCGCGGGCGCGGGCGCGGCGGGGGTGAAGACGTCCGAGGCGGATCTCACGCACTGCGTGCGGCACACGGAGAAAGCCGCCGTGGAGGGCGAGGGCGAGGGCGAGGGCGCGGTCGTCAACGCGTCGATGCCGGAGGGGATTCGCGAGGTGCTTCAGAGGCTGACGCGCGAGACGTTCTCGGAGAACACGATGATGGTGATGATCGAGCGCGTGCGAGGCGCCGGCGGCGGCGTCGGCGCGGAGGCGAGGCACAACTCGCAGATGATGGTCGTCTCGAAGCTTCTGAACGATCTGACGTCCAGGAGTCAGCGCGCGTGGCCGTCGCCGGGGGGGAAGGGGAAATAACGCGGCCGCCCGCATAGCTAGAATTCATTTCTTAAAACACGACGCTCGCGTCGAGTCTCGTTGAATGACGTGCGAGGAACACCGCCGCGCCGCGCCGTCCGAGCGTCGACGCATCGATCGATTTGATTCGTCGCGATCACATCCCAGGGAGGTCGATGTCGTCGCCGCCGGCGCCGCCGCCGAGGGACGGCCGGCTCGCCTCCGGCGACGCCGTCAACGTCGGGTCCAAGAAGACCAGTCCCTCGTTGGCGCCGCTCCCGCCCTCTCCCGCCGCGCCATCGCCGACACCCATCGCCGCCAACTCGTTCGCGAAGCCGCCGACGCCGCCGTCGCCGTCCTCCGCCTCAACCTTGCGCAACTTCACCTGGCACTCGTCGACGTCCTTCGTCCGCCCGAGGTCGCCGTACAAACGACACAGATGACGCAAGCACTCGACGTTGTCAGGGTACACCTTGTGTATCGTCTCGTACGCCGCGAGCGCGTCGTTGACGTTCCCAACCTTCCGCAGACACGTCGCGACGAGCAGGCGGTACTTGACGTCTTTGGGCTTGATCATGCACGCGAGCTGGTACAGCTCCCGCGCTTTTTCCCAGTTCCCAGTCTTCACGTAAAACGTCCCGAGCCACCGCAGGACGTCCATGTCCGACGGGTACAGCCGGTGGGACTCCTGGTAGTAGTGCAACGCCTTGGCCTCGTCCCCGATCGCGGCGTGGATCGCGCCGAGGCGCGCCAAGATCCCCGGATCCGTGGACACCTTCGCGTGAAGAATCTCCAGATGTTTGATCGCCGCCGGGAAATCGCCGAGCATGTCGGACACGTTCCCGAGCTGATACAACACCTCCGCGTTGTCCGGGGTCATCGCGTGGACTTTCCTGAACGCCGCGAGCGCGTCCTCGTACGCGCCGAGCTTGATGTACGCGAGGCCTAGGTTGTAAATCGCCTCGTGGCAGTCCGCCTGGACGCCGACGGCTTCCAGGAATAAATCCCGCGCGCCCTCGAGGTCGCCGCGTTGTAAGTGACAGTTCCCCTTGTTCACGAGCGCGCGCGCGTCGTAGCGGTCCGTCGCGACGGAGAGATCCGCGTACTTCTGCGCGTTCTCGTAGTCGCCCTCGTGGAAGTACAGCCACGACAAGTTCGTCGCCGCTTTCGCTTTCAACGCGTGCTCTTTCTTTTCAAACTCCAGAAGACGCCGCTTCCCTTCCTTCATTCCCTCGGGCGTCTTCGACTTCAGGTGGCTCAGCGCGAGCTCCATCTCGAGCTCGTTCGCGAGGATCGCGTACCCGAACCTGTGCATCTCGTCCGCGAGGTACTCGTACCCGCGCTCTAAGCTCCCTCCTCCGATCGTCGTCCCGATGAGCTTCGCGGCGGCGAGAATCTTTCGATGACAGTCCAGCTGTTGCGTCCGCAGATATCGCGTCAACTCGTCCCCGACGGTGTCGTCGTCCTCCTTCTCCTCGTCGTCCTCCTCCTCCTCGTCCTCGGGTTCGAACGCGCGCAGCGACAGCAACTTGACGAAGCTCTCCTTCATCTTCTCCTTGTCCCCCGTCGCGTAGTGGCAGATGACCAGGTTATACCCGGAGGTGAAATCCGGCTCGACGCTCATCACGTCCGAAAACGCCCTCGCCGCGTCGACGTACTGCCCCATCTTCACGAACGCGATCCCGATGTTCCGCATCACCTTGAACCGCACTCCCTTCTGCTCGTGCGAGATGTGATCCAGCGCCATGCGGTACATCTTGATCGCGCTCGGGAATTCGCCGCGGTCGAAATACACCTTCCCCATGTTCACGCGCAGCTTCCCTCCCTCCGGGTAATTCTTATTCTTCACGATCTGCGCGTACAGGTCCAACGCCTCCTGGTCCTGACCCGCCTTGTCGTGCCGATCCGCGAGGTTCAAGGTCACCGCGTACTGAAGGTCCAAGTCGATGTCGTCCGCCTTGCCGTTTTGCTCCCGCGTCCGGCACAGCGTCCGCTCGCGTTTCGCGCACTCCTTGGCGAGCTCCAGCGCCTTCTGCGGATCCTCCTCCTTCGTCCCCGCCACGGAGCTCTTCTCCAGTAAGTCGTGCACCTGCTTGTTCAGCGCGCGGATCTTCCCGTGCGGGCCGTCGTCCTCCGGCTTCAGAAGCGGCGGCGCGGGCCCGCGCGGGCCGCCGGCGCCCGGGAAGGCGCTCCCGCCTCCGAGCGCGGCGGCGGCGGCGGCCGCGCCGGACGCGCCGGCGGCGCCCATCGAGGAGGACGTGTACCCGGCGCCCTTGTTCGACGTCATCGGTCGCGGGCCGAGGTCGATCGAGACGCCCGTCCCGGGTCGTGCGAACTGGCCCTGCGCACGTGGGTTCGAAGGAGAGCCTCAGGACGGAGGATCGCGGGTTCGTCGGGAGAGGGGAGAGACGAGAGACGAGAGACGAGCGACGCGATCGATTTGAATGCACAGCTGGCACCGAGCGCGACGAGACGATGAGGCGAGGCGAGGCGCGAGCGCGCACCGTCGGCGGTCGCGTCGTCCCGGCCGCGGGCGGCGCGTTGAACGCGGCGGTCGCGTCGTTCGACTGCGAGAGGGGCGAGACGGAGCGGTGGAGGTGGAGGTGAGGGGGGTGAAGCGTGGGAGCGCGGATCTCGTGGGTCCTCGGAGGGGTTCGCGGCGACGTTCGCGTTCGGTCGGCGCGAAGAATGCGCGCGATCGGTCGAGCGACGGGACGGGCGGCGCGGGTTCGCGACGAGGGACGGGACGCACGTTCGACGACGCGGTGGCGGTGTACCCTCCGTAGAGGTCGTCGTCGTCCGCCATGGCGTCGCGGGACGTCCCGCCGCCGCGCTCTGTGGACTGAGGTCGACGCGCGTTGACCGACGAGCGATTTGAAGCGCGACGAACTGCGAGAAGTGCCGCGCGCTTACGAGTTAAGACAGTCGGTTGATGTAATATTTCGCATACACAACGCAGCTTCTAAGGTGACTAAGTTTCAGGGTTATTCGCTAAGGAAAAGTCAGGCGCCTATTAACCCATCAGCGGAAGACTCTCTAGCTAATACTAACCCGAACTTACTTGTCAGCCTTGAAGGTCACCTTGGTGATCTTGCCGAGCATGACGGCGGTGTTGCCGTCGAGGAACGCGATGCGCGCAAGACCGTCGCACGCCTTGAAGTGGTCGACAACGAAGGGGTGCTGGGGTTCGAAGACAGCCTCGGCGACCTCGTTGGACTTGAGGGCCTGGGGGGACTCGAGCTTCTTGCCGCCGGTCTCCTTGCCGACCTTGAAGACGAGGGTGGTCATCTTGCACGCGGAGCGGCCGCAGCGCACGAACGCGACGGGGGAGTAGCCGGGCTTGAGCTGACCGGGGACGTCGAGGACCTGGACCTGCGCGTTGAAGTCCTGGCACGCCTTGAGGGAGTCGTCCTTCTTGTAGATCATGACGTCACCAGTGCGGGGCATGTTGATCTTGTCGAGACCCTTGATGTTCATGCCGACGTTGTCACCGGGGTGCGCGATCTCGACGCGCTTGTGGTGCATCTCGACGGTGAAAACCTTGCCGGTGCAGGGGTTGGAGACGGTGTGGGTCGGGATGAAGACAACCTCCTCACCGGGGCGGACGCCACCCTGCTCGACGCGGCCGGCGAGGACATCACCGACACCCTTGATCTTGTACACGCCGGAGATGGGGAGGCGCATCGCCGCGTCCGGAAGACGCTCGGGCTTGTTGACCATGCCGTTGAGCACGTCGAGGAGGCAGTCGACGTGGTGCTTGGTGCCCTTGCCCGCGTAGTCCTCGCAGTCCATGCCCTTCCACCAGTCCATGTTGGTGGTCTTCTTGATGAGGTTGTCGCCCATCCAGCCGGAGATGGGGAGGACGGGGACGCACTTCTCGACGTAGTCCTTCTTCCAGCCAACCTTGATGAGCATGTTCTTCATCTCGTTGCGGATCTCCTCGTAGCGAGACTCCTTGTAGCCCGCGGTGTCGCAGTCCATCTTGTTGATGCCGACGATGAGCTGCTTGACACCGAGAAGGTTGATGAGACGCGCGTGCTGGCGGGTCTGGCCCTGGACCTCACCGGCCTTGTGGTTGCCCTTCTGGATCGCGGTGGTGAAGTTACCGTCCGCGGGGACCATGAGGAGCGCGACGTCCGCCTGCGCGGCGCCGGAGATCATGTTCTTGATGAAATCTCTGTGGCCCGGGGCGTCGATGATGGTGTAGTGCCAGTTGTCCGTGAAGAACTCCTTGGTCGTGCACGAGATGGTGACACCACGCTCGCGCTCCTCCTTTTGGCGGTCCATGTAGAACGCGAACGCGAAGGAAGACTTGCCGAGCGCGTCAGCCTCCGCCTTGAGCTTCTCGACCTCGCGCTCGGGGATGCCTCCGAGCTCGAAGATGAGGCGACCGGTGGTCGTCGACTTACCAGAGTCGACGTGACCGCAGATCACGATGGAGAGGTGCTCCTTGCCGTCGGTAGCCATTGTGCTGAGTGTCTGGGCGAGGCGACGGCGCGGGAGAAGGGCGGCGCGGGGGAAGATAAAGAAGATGACCGTCAGCCAGCGTCCGCGGGGTGGGGACGAGGGGCCACGACGCGCGCGAGGCGCGGGGAGGGTCGCGGGGGGGGGCGAGACGACGCGCGGGAGCGATTTCGAGGCGACGCGCGCGGCGATCGCGCGAGATCGGCGCGCGTCGTCGCCCCGAAGCGTTTCGCGCCGACGTTCCGCAGCCGCAATCCATCGCGCGCGCGGAAAAACGCGCGGACGGACGCGGCGACATCGCGACCGCGACCGCGATCGCGCGAACGCGCGGCGAGAGCGAGGAGCGAGGAGGAAAACGAAGAAACGGGCGCGCGAGACGTCGCAGATCGCGCACCTCGTGCGTGTCGCGTGCGATGCGATGCGGGAAAAGAGCGCGCCGTCGCGGCGGCCGACGGTGAAGAAAGAACGCTCCGAGCGACGGACGGCGCAGATTCGTCGTCGTCGTCTCGCGATCGATTTCATCGACGAAATGGCTTCTTTTCCTTTCAAGGAAGCCGGTTCATCGGTCCCTTTCGCGTGACCGATGGAACCGAACGGTGTTGTTACGACGAGTACGATGGATCGCGAGCCAGCACGCGAAGGGACCAGATAATCGTCGGACTTGCCGCGCGCGCGGACGTCGCCGCAGCGGCGGGCGGGGTGTCGCGCGCGCGATGGGAGGCAAAGGCTCAAAATGCTGCAAGAACTCGGAGAGTGATCCGCTGATCGACGCGAGCGGCAGGAGCGTCAGGAGCGTCTCCTCGGACGGCGGGCACACCCCCGAGAGGAGGTCGCCGAGCCCGTCGTCGAACATGTCGATGGGACGCCGGCACGCGCACCCGCCGCGTCGCGGCAGTCAGGACGACGCGGACGCCGACCCCGCGTTCCGAACGCCGCCGCGGCGGAGGCGGAAGCGCGACAAGGACGACCCACCGGACGACCCGAACCCCGCCATCTTCTACGCGTCGTCCACGAAATTGTCCAAGCCGCGACGCAAGACGAGCGTCCGCGGCGAGCTCGAGGAGCGCGCGCGCGCGAACGCGGAGCTCGAGGCGATGGAGGAAGGCGCCGCGTCGCAGTCGCTGCACGAGGAGGAGGAGGACGAGGAGGGGGAGGAAGGGGACGGGCGCGGCGTGACCGGGACGATTGTGTCGTTCTCGCCGTCCGCGGCGACGTCCGGGTCCCCGAACTCGCGCGACGGGCAATCCGCGGCGGGGAGCTCGCGCGGAAGACGACGGACGCGCGCGGGGGAGGAGCTCGTGTTGCTGCATTCTCACGGCGGATCCTACGGCGCCGCGGACGACGACGACAGCCCGTCGTCTACCAAGGCGTCGCACGGGGGTAGAACGCGCTCGCCGAAGCGCGGCGTCGCGGAGCGCGGAAAAGCCGCCGCCGCCGCGTTCTGGTGGAAGAGAAACGCGTGCGTCGTCGGCGCGTGCGTCGTCTTCGCGCTGGTCGTCGCGCTCGCGGTCGTCCTGGCGATGACGCTGGGCGTCGTCGGCGTGGACGCGAGCGGTGGCGGTGGACGCGGCGCGGGGTGGGGGGGGGGGCGGGACAGCCGCGGAGGGCGCGGCGGCTTCGAACCCCGACGGGATAGGCACGCGTATAGAAGTTAGAGCTCCCGTCGGCGGCGGCGGTTGACTTCTTCTTCTTCTTCTCCTTCTCACTGTAAGGTTATGTTCATACAACACGATGCTATCACGTCATCACTCCGCCACCGTCGGCATCGGCTCGAGCGGGTCTAGGATCTTGATCAGCGGGTGGCTCTTCTTGCTCTGCTTGCAGATGTCCATGGCGGTGTGGCCGTCGCTGTTTTTTATGGACGCGTCGGCGCCCGCGGCGATCAGAAGTTCAACTTCCTCCTTGTTCCCGACCGTGCACGCGTACATGAGCGCGGTCCACCCGTCGCTATCCGTCGCGTTCAGGTCCACCTTCTTCTCGATGAGGTACTTCAAAACGCTGACGTGGCAGTGCACGGCCGCGGACATCGCCGCGGTGCCGCCGTCCGCGTCTTTCAGGTTGAGCAGGGACGGTCCGCGGTTCATCGCCTTGAGGTAGGGTCGTTCAAACAAAATATACATGGTCACGAGCTGATAGACATGTCATTAGAGATTCATCGTAAAGTGCGTGTTACTGACGGAACAGTCGGATGAAACGGGTCAAGCGAAGAAGAGCTCGAGAAGAGAGGGTGAGCTCGAACCAAACCTTCAGAATATCTTCGGAGCCGTTCCCCGCGGCGAGCATCGCCGCGGTCTTGCCCGCGTTCTGTCGAGGTTTGCGAGGTTTGAGGCGAGGGACGTCTTAGTCGCGATGGTGATGAATGCGCGCGGTCGCGTCGAGGGCGAACGGGACGTCGCGGAGGCGACGCGCGCGCGTTCCCGGAAGGGGTCCGACGGATCGGCACGCGCGAATTGTTAGATAAATCCCGACACGGTTGGGAAAAGCGCGATCGCGCGATCGCGGAGAACGCGCGCGGCGCGACGGCGTCTTGGTGAATCTCCCGAGATCGCGCGAGATTCACGCTGGCGACGCGCGCGAGGAGACGATCCGCGGTGGTGAAGCGCGCAGACGCGCGCGCGCACCTCGCCGTTGGCTTGGATGTTCATGTCCGCGCCCGCGTCGAGAAGTTCGATGCACTTCGACACGTCTCCCGCCGCGGCAGCGGCTTGCAGGGCGGTGAGCCCGGAAAACGTGTCGTGGTCGTCGACCCCCATCTGGCCTGATGTAAGTGGTCGTGCGGAAGCGGGTGGTGGACGTTGGGAGGTTGGGGAACGGACACCAAGGGTGCGATCCTCAAAGCGCGTCGAGATGTGCCTGCGGGTGCTCAATAAAGCCGTCCAGCTGACGCGGACGAGAATGGATTTTTTCAGATCAAATTTGATCGAACCAACTTTTCCTAAGCTGATGCATCCTGAAACGCCTCGTCTCCCGCACTCGAGCGCTCGAACGTGAACCCCACGTTCGCGTCGACGCTGTCGCCGACGCCGAGGACATCGTCGCCGTCCTCGTTCGTCTCCCGCGCGTACGCCGCGAGCGCGGTCAGCGGTCAAACGGACCCCACACGACCCGCGTCGCCGACGACGCGGCTCCTCGGCGCCCGCGCCGGCGCCGACGCGGCCAATCCTTCTCCTCCGTCGAACGGCGGCTCGCTCGCCCAGCGCTCGGTCGGTCGGTTCCTCGCCGCCATCGCGGCGGCTTTCTTCGTCATTCGGACGACGGGCGCGGGAGCGCCGTAGCGCGCGGGCGAGCTCCGCGCCGGCGCCGGCGCCGCCGGCGCCGGCGTCTCTCTGTTTCGCGTCTTGCGCGACAGAAACTTCGCCAGCTTCTCGCTCGCCGTCGTCCGCGGGCGCGAGGACGCCCGTCGCGCGGACGGCGCAGCGACGATGTCGTCGACGGCGTCGTCGTCCTCCGCGTCGTCCTCGTCCGCGTCGATGGACGCGTAGTGGTCCCACGCGCGCGCGGGGGACGCGGACTCCGCGCGTCGGTCTCCGTCCCGATCCCGACGACGTCCCGGTTCCGAGCGCGTCGGCGTCGTCGTCGTCGGCGTCGTCGTCCCGCCGCGTCGACGCTCGATGCGCTCTTCCGCGCGCCGTCCAACCTCGCGCAGGCGCCCGCCGCCGCCACCGAGACCGACGCCGATCGGGATGCGATCGCCGCTCGATCGCCGGAAATCGCGGGGAGAGCGGCGCGTCCCGGACCCGGAGCCGCTCGGTCGGAGCGCGGGCGTCGTCGGCGCGGATTTCGAACCGCCGCCGCCGCCGCCGCCGCTCGCCCTTCGCGCGGCGCGCGCGGGCGCGGGCGCGTTCTCGTCGTTCCCGCCATCGACCATCGCCTCGGGGGGCGTCGCCTTCAGCGCGTCGTGCGCCTCCCTCGCCGCCGCCGCGGTGCTCTTCGCGAGGCTCCTGAGCCTGCGAGACACGGACGGCGGGAGCCAGCGCGCGTCCTCGGGGTCCAGACGCAACGCGTGCAACAACCTCTCCGACTTCGTCTCTTCCTCGCCCCCGCCCCCGGCTTTGACCGTGAACAAGTGCGTCCCGACGCCCTCGCTGCCCTCGTCCTTGGCGCGAGGAGCGAGACACTCCTCCCCGAACAGCGCGGGGGTGGACAGCACCCCGAGCGCGATCTCCGTGACCTTCCCAAGCCGCGGATCGCCGTCGCGGATCGCGCCGCCGCCGCGCCCGGTATTTTTCCTCAACGCGAGCGGCTCGCGGTCGATCCCCGCCCACGGCGCGGAGCTCGACGAGCGCGCGCTGCCGCGACCGTCGAGGTACACGCCGTCCACGTACGTCGCGGATCGCGCGTACACGCGCGCGGTCCCGGACACGATGAAGAAGACGCCCTTGGGGGCGTCGCCTGATTTCACGACGACGTCGCCGGGCGCGACGCGCGTCGCCGTCAGCTTCTCCGCGAGCGCGAGAAGGTCCGCGTCGGAGACCCTGTCGCGAGGGAACAGATCCGTCGTGCGGAGAAACTCGCGCGTTTTCTGCGCCGCGGAAGCCTCGACGACGCCGAGGATCGCGTCGTACTTCCACTTTCGAAGCGTGAGGAGGACGACGTCCGCGAGCGCGACGGCGGTGGCGCCGCGAGCCTCCTCGCCCTTCGGCCGCGTCACCGCGCCCTCGCCGAAGCACTCGCCGAATTTCACCCGCCGCGCGAGCCGTCCCGCGCGTCTCGGCGCGCCGAGCCTGACGCACTCCTCCTCGTCGCCAGCCTTGGTCGCGACCGCGTCGACTTCCTTCTCTCGCATCGAACGACGCCGCGGCTTCGCGTCCTCGCCCGCGCCCGCGCTCGCCGTCGCCGGCCGCGCGCGCGCCCGAACCGCGCCGCGCCCGTACCCGCTCGAGCTCGCCTTCTCCGTCGCGAACGCCGTCTTCGGTCGCCGCGATAACACGATCGGGTCCCACAGCAGATCGCTCGTCTCCAACCCCGCGGCTCCTTTCGGGTTATCCCTGAGCTGAAACAGCCCCACCTCGCCGCCGACGACGACACACATCTCCTCCCCGCGCTCGCCCTCGCGCGCGATGACCGCGCCCGCCGGGTGCATCTCCGCGGAACACCCCGCGAACACCGCGGGCAGGTGCGCGGCGCAGCCCTCCAGCGCGGGCATCCCGATCGCAGCCTCGCACGCGGCGCGCTCGTACGACGGATCGATCAGCGTCTTCCCCTCCGCTCGCGCGTTGAAAAAGGCTAGCAGCGCCCTCGTCTTGTGTTCGTCGTCTTCGAGGTTGGCCTGCACCTCCGCGCGGACCCACGCGGCGCGGGTCCGAGCGGCGTCGCGCGCGCGCTTCGCCGCGAGGACGCGCGGGTCGATCTCTTCGTCGTCCGAGTCCGAATCCTTGGACTTGGACGCGGACGCGCGAAGCGACGCCGTGGACTTGCGAATATCTTCCTGGAAAAACTGCTCCAGGCGTCGCTGCTTCCGCGCCGCTCTCTTGTCCTCCGCGGGCGTCGTCGACCGCGCCGGGGGGGACTTCGCGATCGACGACGCGCGCGACGGGACGCCAACCTCGACGGAAGACCGCGCCGGGGACCTCGCTCGCGACGGGACGTATTCGCCGTCGACGGACGACCGCGCCGCGCCGACGCGCGACGCTCGCGGATTCACGATCGAGACGTCGCCCGCCGCGGACCCGTCCCCTCGCGACGACCTCAACGACGCCGCCTTCGACGCGCGCGACGAGCGCGCCGAAGAGCGCGCCGACGACCGATCGACAGCGCCGCGAGACCTCCCCCCGGGCGTCGGCGCCGCGTTCTTGAGGCGCACGACGCTCACCTTGGCGTCGTTCGCTCTCGCCTTGGCCCTCGCGTATCGCGCCTCCGCCTTCGCGAGCGCGCTGTCCGCCTCGTTCGCGATCTTCATCGCCTCTCGAATCTCGCGCTCCGCCGGCGTGAGCGCGTCCTCGCGCGTCGGCTCGAAGCTTCTCCTGATCGCGTCGCTCTCCTCTCGCCACGACGCTCTTCGCTCGTCCTCGAAGCCTCCGAACAGCTCCGCGGAGGCGCGCAGCGCGTCGTCGGCGCGCCCGATGGAGCCCCGGCCCGCGCCGCCGCCGCCCCCGCCGCCGTATTCTCCGGACTGGCGCGCGCGTAATTCGCGCTCGCGTTCCAACCGCACGACGTGGCTCGCCTCGCCCGGGAACTTCGCGCTCCAGCCCGCTCGCAACGCCGCCTCCCTCGCCGCCGTCCGCTCGGCCCGCTCCGATTCCTCCGCGTCGAGCTTCGCCGCGAGCCGCCGCGCCGCGAGCTTGACCGCCTCGCGCGCGTCGAGTCGCGCGTGCGCGTGAGTCGCGCTCGGCGGCGTCGCGCCCGCGGTCCGCGGGCGGTTCGGCTGCCCGCCCTTCGACGCGGACGACGGCGCGCGCGCGCGGTCGGCGGCGGCGACGGCTCGGATCGCGTCTCGCTCCGCCTCGGCGGCCATCTCAGCCTTCAGAAGCTTCCTCTCGTGCGTCGCGTGACGCTTCGACGCGATCGCGGCGAACGCCTCGCGCTGTTCCTTCACGCGCTCCGGCGCGCTCTCCCGCGCCGCCGCTCTCGCTCGACGCTCCTCCGCGCGCGCGGACTTCACCCTCGCCCTCGCCTCCGTCGCGCCGCGCTCGGCGCGCGTCCTCGCCTCTTCGCCGTCTCGCTCCGACCGCTCCCGCGTCTCTGCCGCTCGCGCTCGCTTCATGGCCGCGACGTCGCGCCGCGCGATCCTCCCGCGTTGGATGCGTTGCACGCGAATCGCCGCGGCGTGTCGCTCCGCGGCTATTCGCGCGCCTCGCGGGGGGGGCGCGGCGGACGCGGGATCCCGCCTCGGCTTCCTCGTCGCGGACCAGTGCGTCCGAGACTTCTCCGGGCTGACGTCCGCGATCTGGAGCATCGGCGGCGATGCCGGCGGCGGCGGCGACGGCGCGCGAGGCAGCCGTCTCGTCGGCGAGCGCTCCGAGCGGTCCGGACGAGGGCCGTTCTATACGAGCGAATGTCGGGGTGGAGTTGAAAGGCGTCAGCTGGCGTTGAAAGGCGCCGAGGGTGGGGATTGAAAGCGAGGGGTGGGCGGAGAGATACGCCGGGAAAATTCCTTAAGGATCGGCGTTCACCACGCGAACGCGGTCGTATGGGGACCAGTGTATAGGACGCACCTGAGACGCGAACGCCGCGGCGAACTCCTCCAGAGACAGCGACCGGTCGTCGTTCACGTCCAGGGCGCGGAAGAACGCCTCGATCGCGTCGCGGGTGCCGTCCTCCTGCCGGACGCGCGTCGGGAGGTTCAGCTTCGCGGCGATCGCGGGCGAGAACCTGAGGGCGATGATGAGTTCGCGCACGTTCACGGCGCCGTCGCCGCCGCGGTCCAGCGTTTTGAACATCTCTAGGCACTCGGGGTCGAGATCTCGGACCGCGGGGGATGACGACGACGCCGTCTCGGTCTCGCGCGGCGGCGGCGTCGGCGCGCGGACGAGCGCGCGCGACGGCGTGGACGACGACGACCGCGTCATCACCGGCTCCTCGTAGCCGCTCGACGCCTCGGAGGAGGAGACGGAGACGACGTCGTCGTCGTCGCGCGCGCGCGCCTCGAACGCGTTCGATTCCTCGGACGGCTCGCGGTACAGCCGCGCGTGATGTGCGTCCTCCGAGGGCGAGTCCATCTGCGTCATCGCGTGCGCGTGGAAGTCGTGCGGGGTCACGCGCGAGAGGTCCAGCTTCGGGATCGCGGGCGGGAGCGGCATCGTCCCCGCGCGGCCGAGCGGAGCGTCCGACGACGACGACGACGACGACGACGACGTCGACGACGCGCGTCGTGCCGTCCGACGAATCTCGCGCGTTCCCGCGTCCACGCGCGCCCGAGCGCTCCCCCCACGCGCGACCTCGCCGCGTCCGCGCGTCGCGAGGATACGACGCCGGTCGCGCGTGCCTTCGCCGGGCGTCGCGCGTCTCGGCGCCCTGGCTTCTGAAGGCCAGGGGCGGCTCGAGCACTTTTGAATTGAGCGCGTACGTAGAAAGGCGTTATTTCTCGTCGGACGGTCAAAGGCCAATCGATACCGGTCGAGCCGGTCAAGCTTGATCGGCATGCGACGATGAACGCTATCGGGTTCTTTTCGGGGTGCCGCCGCGTTCGCGCGCGGGCGCGGGTGTCGCAGCGAGGACGCGAACGCCGGGAACTATCGGCCAGAACTACGACGAACGATGATACGGTGTCGCCGACGACGCGGGAGCGCTCGAAACCGAAGAGTCGAGAAGACGCGCGTGATTACAGCGCACGCGCGGAACGATCTCGCGCGCGTCGCGTCGCGTCGTCGCGTCAATCACATCAGGCGAGCGCCTCGGCTCTCTGGTTCACCTTCCACCGCGCGTAATCCCCCGCGATCGTCGCGTTCAAGCTCCCTTGCAGGTTCGATATCACCGTGTCGTTGATGAGGTTCACCGCGTCGTCCAACCCGGGCACGATCGCGACCACGTCGTTCACGTCCGCGGTGAGGTTCACGGTGATCTTTCCGAGCACCTTCCTCCCCGCCGAGTTCGCCGTCCTCGCCGGCTTCAGCGCGCCGTCCATGACGAGCCACACCTTCCCGTTCACGCCGAACTCGTCAGGGAGGCCTTCGATCGTGAGGTCCTCCGCGGTGAGGTGCAGGCCGTCCTTCTTCGGCGTGAGCCTGAGCGTACAGAACACCGTGGCTTTGAAGTTGAAGAACTCGAACGGTCTCAGCCGCACCCTCCACGCGGTGTCGTCGAGCTTCTCTCTGCGGTCCTCGTCCGGGAACGTCACGCAGATGATGCGCTCGCCGTCGCTGATGTACGACGCGAAGTCGTGCGCGTCGTCCTCGTCCTTGATCGTCAGCGTCATGGACTTGCTGCTGCGCCACCGCTTCCGGACGTCCGCGCGGACGACGAGCGATCTTCCGCGGTCGGAGGCGCGCGCGCGAGGGGGCGCGGGCGCGCGCGCGAGCGCGGCGACGCCTCTGGCGCCGCCGCCGCTCGCGAACGCGGCGCGCCGGGACGACGTCGTCGTGGACGCGGCGGCGGAGGAGGTCACGCGCGCGGACAGCATCGTGCCGTGCGAGCGCGAGCGCGACCGCCGGTCTGATTGATGACTTGGCAGCACGACCGCCGCAGCGCGGCGCGGCGTCTGGTCTCATCATCGCGAAAGGACGCGCGCTTGCTCGTCGGATCAAATCGTTCATCTCAGTGCGCGCGCTTGATCGGGCCGAGCGTGAACGACCGGTGAACGAAACTCTCACTTAAGTTTTGAATCAAAAGCAGCGGCCCACTGCCTACTCGTACACCTCGCGTCTACCTTCACCCCCACGCGTTTCAACTCGAGCGCGCGTCGCGTCGCGTCTCGACGCCAACCGCGCGCGCTCACCCCTCGTCTCGTCGCCCTATTCTCCACGCCGCGCGACGCGACCGACCGTCGCCCGTCGCGTAAAAATATTATCTCTCCATCCATCCTTCGCCGCGAAAGTCGCCTCGATAAATCACTTCCCGATCGCGGCGTAGTACAGCTCGATGTAATCCAGCGCTGGTCGGTTCCACGACCAGTCCTGCCTCATGATCCGCTCCTGCAATGAGCGGAACCACTTCTTGTCGTTGTAGTACGAGTCCAGCGCGCGATCGAGCGCGTACTCGAGCCCCTGCGTGTCCGTCATGTCGAACGAAAACCCGTTGGTCTGGTCGCCCGTCGCCTTGTAATCCGTGCTCCCGTCCACCTCCCACGCCGCGCGCTCCTTGTCGTTGTCGAGGTCGAACACGGTGTCTCGCAGCCCGCCGGTCGCGCGCACGACCGGGACGGCGCCGTAGCGCATGGAGATCATCTGCGTCAGACCGCACGGCTCGAACATGGACGGGACGAGGATGAAATCCGCGGCGGCGTACACCAAGTGCGACAGCGGCTCGTCGAACGCGAAGCAAAACGCCGCGTTGGGCCCGCCCATGCTCCCGGCGAGCGCGTTGAAGTCGCCCTGGACCCTCGGGTCCGGCGCGGAGCCGAGGAGGACGAACTGCGCGCCTCTCTTCAGCGAGTGCCCGATCGAGTGCTTGATCAGGTCGAGGCCCTTCTGCGCCGTCAGACGCGAGACGACGCCGACGAGCGGCTGGTCCGCGCCCCAGGTGAGCCCGAGCCTGCCTTGGATCTCCTCGCGCGCGCGTCGCTTCCCCGCCTCGTGCGTGTCCGCGTTGTAGTTCATCGGAAGGAACTGATCGGTGTCCGGGTCCCAAATCTCCGGGTCGATGCCGTTCCTCACGCCGTGGAACTTGCCGTACGCCGTCGCGCCGCTCACCGCGGGGTGACCGCTCACCTCCCCCGCGTACGACGGCGAAACCGTCGTCGTGACCTGGCTCGCGGCGCTCGCCATACCAATCTTAGCCTGGCCGTAGTTCATGTTGTGGATCGTGAAGACCACGTTCGGTTTCCACAGGCCGTACTGGTGGTAGTTGCCCCAGAACGCGCCCGCGACCTCCGCGGTGGACCAGTCGTGGCAGTGCAGAATGTCCGGCTGGCGACCCGTCTGGAGAAGGAACTCGAGCGCGGCGTTGCAGAAAAAGTCAAATCTCTGCCCATCGTCGTTCCAGCCGTACACCGCGTCCTTCGCGAACATCCCGTTCGAGGGCTGGATGAAAAACACCTGGATGTTCTCGACGATGCACCGCGACACGGTGATCCCGCACCCGCCCCAGTCAAAGTTAGTCTCGTACTCCATGTGCTGGAGCATCGGGCTCGCGCCGAAGAACTGGTAGTGCGGTAGGATGATCTCGACGAGGTTCCCTTGGTCCGCCACCGCGCGCGCGAGCGCGGTGATGACGTCGCCGAGGCCGCCAACCTTCGCGATCGGCGCCATCTCCACGGAGACGTGCATGACGTGCAGCGGCGGCCGCTCCGTCGTGGACCCCTCGATAGGGACGTGGTAATCCCTGCCAAAGTGGTTGTCGTACGTCGCGCCCTCTCCGACGCCGTCGCTGAAGACGAAGTCCATCATCCACGCGTCCTCGGGCACTTTCACCTTGAACTCCACGAGCGCCTCCGTGCCGACGCCGGCGGCGGCGGACGGAATCATCGCCGTCTCCGGGATGTTATCCGCGTGCGTCCAGCGGTTGAACCCGCCGGTGATGTACACCGTCTCCGCCTCGCTCAAGTTGGTGTTCCCGGGGTTGTACTTGATCGTGACCTCGTCCCCGGCGTTCACGATCGTTGGCTCGCACGTCATGATGTGCTGCTGCTGCTTCACCGTGACCATGCGCGCTTTCCGTCGCTTCTCCGCGCGTTCAACCTTTCTCGCCGCCTCCCAAATTTTCCTGTTTTCCGCGTCGATGATCCGTTGCTCCGCGAGCTTCTTGATGCGCTTCTGAACCCTCGCGTCCCAGTCCTTCTCCGTCGCGCCGCCGAAGGTGTCCACGAGGAGGCGGTAGTCGTTCCCGTCGTTGTTGTCCCAGTTTTCCTTCTTCTCGTCCGAGATGACGAAATCCAGGGTGTACGCCGTCGGCGGCACCAAGAAAGACGCGCCGTACCAGTAGTTGTCATCGTCCACGCGCTCCGTCTTCACCGGCTCGAGAATGAGCTCCGCCTCCGTGCCCATCGCGAACTTGTTCGTGCCGATGTGCGCGATGAGCTTCCCGCTCGGGCCGCCGATCGGGTTGTGCGCTTTGTTGAAGAGCAAGTACGCCATCTTCCCCGCCTCGAGGTTATCGTGCGTCCTCACGATGCACCTCCCGTACATGTGAATCTCCCCGTCCGCGACGTTTTCTCTTCGCGAGCCCTCTTCGTACCGCTCCGTCTCGATCTCCTTGGACGCGATCGCGAAGTCTTCGTCGTACTCCTTTTTCTCCTTCATGAGCGTGACGATCTCCTCTCGCGACTTGCCGAAGTGCACGTCCGCGTACCAGTTGTCCTTGTTGTTGTTATCCCACTGCCCGTCCGCCTCCAGGACGAAGTTTAAACCGTACGCGAGCTCGGGGACTTCGAGCTCGGTGTAGAAGCACCCCTTGGCGACGTCGCCGACGGGCTTCATGCTCGTGTCGAAGTTTTCGAGCTTCCAGTCGTTGTACCCGGCGGTGATGCGAACGTTGTGCTTATCCTTGAGGATGCCGCTGTTCCAGGTGTTGATGTAAATCTTCGCCGGTTTCCCCGCGACCAGTCGGTCCGGCACGGTGAAGAAGAGGACGTCCGTGGGGCCCGCCGCGACGTGCTCCGCGGGCGTCTTCGCGACGAGCTTCTCCGCGTTATTGACGTAATCCTTCTCCGCCTTGGCCGCCGCCTTCGCGGCTTTCTTCTCCTCCTTGATCCTCTTCTCCTCCGCTTCCGCGGCGAGCCTCGCGAGCTCAGCCTCCTTCGCAGCCTCCGCGGCGGCGTTCTCCGCGGCGAGCGCCGCGGCGATCTCCTCGGGGGTGAGGACGACCGAGTTGGGGTCAAACGCCGCGGTGGGATCGACGACGGTCGGGTCAGCCGCGGGCGCGGCCGCCGCGGGAGCCGGATCGACGACGGTCGGGTCAGCCGCGGGCGCGGCCGCCGCGGCCGCCGCAGGAGCCGCCGGCGGTACGACCACCCCCGGCGGCGGCGGCGCCTGCGGGAGCTTCCGCTTGGGGATGAACGTCTCCGTCATGTTCGGCGGCGCCGAGTTGACGCCCGTCGCCGGCGGCGTCAGTCGGCTCGCGTGCTGCGCCGGCTCCGCGGGGGCCGCCGCGGGGGCCGCCGCGGCCGCGTCCGCACCGGGCGGCGCGGGCGGCGGCGGCGGCGGCGGCGGCGGCGGGACCGGCGGCGGCGGGACCGGCGGGATCGGGGTCTCGCCCGCGGCGGCGGCGTACGCCGCCTGCGCCGCGGCGAGTTTCGCCTTTTGCTCCTCGATCGCGCGGTCGAGCTCGTCGCCGGTCATCGTCGACGGGTCGATGCCGCCGCTCTCCTCGGCGTTGGCGGTGACCGCGCGTCGCGCCGCGCGCCTGCGGGGAGACGATCGGGGGGCGGGGGCGGGGGGGGGCGCGCGGGGGGGGAGGCGCGGAGGTCAGATCGCGTGCGGGCATTTTATTGGCGCGCGGAGGATAGAGCGGTGCGCGGATCGCGACGCGCGCGACGCTTCCGACGCGGCGGGCGGCGCCGCGACGCGCGCGACGCTCGGGTTCGCGCTCGCGGTGTCGACGACGTGATCCTCGAGCGACTCGCGCGCGAGAGATCGCGCGAGCGCGTCTCGCATCGCGCCCGCGACGCCCGCGCGCGCGGCGTCGTCGTGGTGGGTGGGACGGGCGGGAGGACGCACCGCGTGTTCGCGCCAAGGGCGACCTTCGCGCGAAGAGGAGCGACGCCGCGCGTGACGCCGCCGCGTCGGGAGGACGCCGCGAGCGCGGGCGCGGGGCGCGCCGCGGGGATCGCCGCGTTGTGCATCGCGAACGCCATCACGTCTCGCGCGATCGGACGCGCGTTCGAAGCTCGGTCGACGCGCGCGCGAAGCTTCGAGCGATGCGAAGCTCGCGAGCGAGATAAAAATGTGGTCTCGAGGACCCGCGCGCGCGTGGAGGCTGCGACGGCGTCCTTCGCTCGTTCGACTCGCGAACGCGCGCGAACTTTTTAAGGAGAGCGCGTGTCAAGCAACGCGCGATGTCGCGATCGCGCGTGTTCGTCGCTACGCACGAACGCGCCGGAATGACGGAAGGCGCGCACCGGGGTTCGCTCACAAACAACGGTTCGGCGACTCTCAAAAGTTGCACAAGCGACGGAGATTTTTTCTCGTTTTTTTCTCGATAAGGAAGAGGCTCACGTGGACGACAACTGGCATTTCGGCGAAAGGTTACGACGGTCGTAGCTAAACTTTTAAACCGTGCTTTTTGAGTCGAATTCTCCATACTTGGACCTACGTGGCTCGCGGGGTCATCCTCGGTCAATTATCCTTTGAAAATCGCGATAAATTATTGTTTGATCGACACATCGATCAACGCTGAAAGTAAAAAAGTGAAATGGTATGAGCGCGATTTTCAGACTATTCCTCATACACAAACGAGTACGTGCTGTGGTCGCCGAGACCGACTCCCGACGTATGGCCGTTTCTGCCGGGGGCGAAGCGACTGATGCGACGCGCGTGCGCGGCGCTGCGTCGTGCCGCGCTGCTCGCACCACCGCGCGTCGCGCGCCCGCGTCTTCTGTCGTCGTCCTCCTCCTCGCGCCGCGACCGAGTCTGGCACGTCCCGAACGACCCCCCCGACGGCGTAGGAGGCGCCGATCTCGGAAGGCGGAGGGCGTCGCCGATGCCGCCCCGCGCGCCCTCCCCCGCCCCCGCCGCGGGGGCGCGGTCCTCCCCCGCCGCCGCCGCCGCGTCCTCCTCCTCCTCCCGCTCCGACGCGAGCACCAGCGTAGACGACGCGACCTCGCGCCTGCGCGCGTACTGGTCGCGCGAGCTCGCGCGCGGGACCGCGGACGCGCCGCCGAGCGCGCGCGATCGCGCGGCGGTGCTCGTCCCTCTGTCGCGCGCGCCGAGCGACGGCGCCGTCACCGCGCTCCTGTGCACGCGCTCGAGCGCGCTGTCGTCGCACGCGGGCGAGGTGTGCCTCCCCGGCGGGAAGAACGACGCGTTTGAGACCGACGTCGAGGCGGCGCTGCGGGAGGCGCGCGAGGAGGTGGGTCTGACGCGCGACGACGCCGTCGTGCTCGCGTCGCTGCCGCCGATGTTGTCCAAGGGACGCGTCTCCGTGCGACCGGTCGTCGCGCGCGTGCGCGACGGGTTCGAGCCGATCCCGAACGACGACGAAGTCGCGGAGGTATTCACCGTGCGCCTCGAACGGTTCTTGAGCGGTGGGGACGGGTACGCGTACGACGACTGGGAGTTCACGCCGGGGAGGACGATTCGCGTGCATCACTTCGACAGCATCAAAGACGAGGAGAGCGGCGCGACGCACCACGTCTGGGGGCTCACCGCGGTCGTGCTGATCCGAACCGCGGAGATCGCGTTCGGGAGGAGGGCGGCGTTTCCGCTGCGGCCGGACGGGCCGGGGGGGACGGACATCGCGCTGCTTGCCACGTCGGACGGAGGGATCAGCGCGTTCGGCGAGAGAGCGGGCGAGGGCGAGCGCGGCGACGGCGACGACGGAGACGGGACGCGGACGCGGACGCCGAGCCGGCTGTGAAGCGGCGCGACGGACGACGACGACGACGCGAGACGTGTTTATAGGTTACCGTAGCCCTACGAGACTCGCGCGATAGACTAGCTAGCTAGACGATCGAGGTTTCTCATGTTGTTAGGTTCTCGACGCGCGCGCGCACCATAAAACAATCGTAAATTTCAACACCCCCTAAAGAAACGACTTTCTCAACCAAAAGAATCAGCATACAGACGCGCGCGCGCTCTGCGCTCATCACCACTGTGCCGGCTCGCAGTGCGGCGGGTCGATTTTCGCCCACTCGAACACCTTCTCCCACTTCAGCGCGGCGTTGTACCAAGACAAATCCTGCGACATCGCCTGGATCTGCATCGCGCGCCACATCTCCGGGTTCTCGTGGTACAGCTTGCACGCGTTCGAGACGCAGTTGTAAAACGTCCGCGTGTCCATGCCCGTGAACAGCCACCCCGTGCCCGGTCCGAGGTCGCTCTCGTCCACGGCCGCCGCGACCGCGAGCTGCGGATCCGGGTCCGCGTACGGGTTCGCCCTCGTGATCGTGTCGTTCAGTCCACCGGTGGCGTGACCGATCGGCAGAGTCCCGTAACGCATCGCGTACAGCTGGTTCAAACCGCACGGCTCGAACCGCGACGGCATGAGGAGGATGTCGCACCCCGCGGTGATCCGGTGCGACATCGCGACGGAGAACCCAACCCACCCGCGGAACTTCTCGGAGTACGTCCCTTCCGCCCACTGCATGAACTCCTCGAGCTCGGGTAAACCGCTTCCGAGCATCACGAGCTGCACGTCTTCGTTCATGAGCTCGTGGATCGCGTCGCGGATCAGATCCGGGCCCTTCTGCCAGTCCAGACGTCCGATGAATCCCATCAGAGGCACGTCGTCTCTCACTTCGAATCCCATCTCTCGCTGCAACCCTCGCTTGCACTCGAGCTTCCCGGAGAAGTCGCTCACGTCGAACGGCGCGTCCGTGTACGGGTCTGTCATCGGGTTCCACTCGTCCATGTCGATCCCGTTCACGACGCCGTCCAACCGGTGCGACCGCTCTTGAAGCATCACCTCCAGGCCCTTCCCTCCGAGCGGGGTTTGAATCTCCTGCGCGTACCCTTCGCTGACGGTCAGCACGCGGTCGCTCGTCGCGATCGCGCCCTTCAGGATGTTCACCACGAGCCCCAAGTCGAGCTCGTGCGCGCGCTGTTCCTCCGGGTACTGGTACTCGAGGCACGAGTACCAGTCCGACGGCACGCCGAGGTTGTTAAACGTCGTGTTCGGCTCCGTGCCCTGATGCATGATGTTGTGGATCGTCGTGATCGTCCGGCAGTTGTTGTACGTCCCGTACGGGCGGTACTTGGACGCGACGAGAAGCGGGACGAGGCCCGCGTGCCAGTCGTTCGCGACGAAGACGACCTCGTCGCCGTACGTCCCTTTGCCCTCGCCAAAGTCAATCACGAGCGGGGCTTCGCACGCCGCGTGCGACAGCAACGTGAACCTGAACTGGTTATCGCCGTACACGCCGTACGAGTCCCCGTACAGACCACCGATGCGCTCGTAGCACGCGTGCTTCACGAAGACAAAGTCGACGCCGTCGTAGATCTGGTGGAAGAAGCCAACCTCGTGCGCGGCGTCGAAGCACCCGACCGTGGTGTTGGAGCACGTGTCAAACGCGCCGTGGTAGAGTTCGTCCTCTTTCTTCCCGAGCTTGTACATCGGGGACACGACCATGACGCGGTGCCCGCGCTTGACGAGCTCGCGAGGGAGCGAGCCGCACACGTCCGCGAGGCCGCCGGTTTTGGACCACGGCGCGACCTCGGAGGACACGAACACGATCGACATCGGGTTCTCGGTCTTTTCAAACACCGGCGGCGGGCGCGGCGTCACGCCCGTGCCGACCGGAGCCTCGGGGCCGCGCATCGCAGACTCCGCCAACTCTTTCGCTTTCGCGGCGGCGACCTTCTCGTACTCCATGAACTGCTCTCTCAGGTCGCCCGTGCCGACGTACGCGTTGCCGAGGCCGAGCGTGCTTCCCTCGAGCGCGCCTTTGCCTTCGAGGAACTCGAGGTTGTTCACCTTTTTCTTGACCTCGCGCTCGGCGATGACGCCGCCGAGGTCGGACTTGAGCCGCGCGTTTTGCTTCTTGAGCTCCTCGATCTGCTGCGCGATCAGGTCGGCTGTGAGGGGAGGACGCGCGCGGGGGGGGATGGGGGGCGAGGCGTCAGATGCGAGAACTGGGAAGGAAGTTGGCATCGGAATGCGCGTCGCGCGCCGCGCCGTCGATGGATACTTGTTATCCGTCGTAGTGCGCGGAATTGCCATCGCGCGTTCGACGCGTGAGAAGAGGGAAAGATCGAAATTTCTCGCGCGCGCGCACCTTGCGCGTCCATGTCCATGTCCGTGGACTCCGCGACGACGCCGCGGCGCGGTTTCACCACGCGCCGGACGCCGCCGCTGCCGTGCATCTTGTGAATAGAGCCGCTCGACGACGCCTTCTTCGAGGAGAGGCATCTCGCCGGGAGCGCGGCCGCGCGGCACGACGTCGCGGCGGCGTACATCGCTCTCGTGCCCGCGAGTCGCGACGGTCGAGCGATCGAACGACGGAGCTGCGTCGAGTGCGTCACGCGCGTGCGGGAGCGCGCGAGGTGTGAGACGCGGAGCCCGCGACGCGCTCGAGTAGAAAATGCCAGGCGAGACGGACGAGCCACCGCCGAGCCACAACCTCAGCCACCCACGTGCCTCGAGTGGCAGCCATGCATGATTCGGTTCAAGTGGCGGCTTGGCGGCCATCGGTCGTAAGTGCCAAGTGCGTCCGATCAAACGCGTTTCATAGGGAAGCGCACCGATGAAAGATTGGAATTTCGTCGGAGGGCGCTTTTTCGTTTGGTTTTTGAAGCGAAAAGAAAAGCTTCGAGAAAAGAAAGGTGCCCGCCCGCCTTGCTTGCGCTTCCGATCTCTTCTCCATTCGTCAAGGCACGGCTCCACGGAGTACGCACGCGAGACTAGCAAAGATGGCCGCTCAGACCCCGACTTTAAAGCTCATCCTCGTCGGTGACGGTGGTACCGGTGCGTCTCGCGCTCGTCCCGTCGACGCGCCGCGCGCGACGAACCGCGGCGGGTGCCAGATTCTTTCTCCTTCCCCCTACTTTTTTCAAGATCTGACGCGCTCGCCGCCGCCCTCGAACGCGCGATCGGTTCGCTGACCACCCTCCCCCACGCTTCGAATTCACAGGCAAGACCACGTTCGTCAAGCGCCACTTGACCGGCGAGTTCGAGAAGAAGTACTTGCGTGCGTCCCCGCCCGAGATCGCCCGCGCCCCGCGCGGCGCCGCGCGCGAACCTTTTCCCCGCCGAGCCGCGTCACCGCGCGATCGATCGTCCGGTCGATCGATCCGTCCGAAACCGTTCGCCTCCGTTCGCGCACGCTGACACGTCGTCCCCCCCCCCACGCGCGCGCGCGCGCGCCGCGTCCGTCGACCAACCGACCGCAGCCACCGTCGGCGTCGCCGTGCACCCGCTTGAGTTCACGACCAACTGCGGCCCGATCCGCTTCGACTGCTGGGACACCGCGGGCCAGGAAAAGTTTGGCGGCTTGCGCGATGGGTACTACATCCACGGCCAGTGCGCGATCATCATGTTCGACGTGACGTCGCGGACGACGTACAAGAACGTTCCGACGTGGCACCGCGACATCACGCGCGTGTGCGAGGACATCCCGATCGTGTTGTGCGGCAACAAGGTGGACGTCCGCAACCGTCAGGTCAGGGCGAAGACGATCACGTTTCACCGCAAGAAGAACCTGCAGTACTACGAACTCTCCGCCAAGTCCAACTACAACTTCGAGAAGCCGTTCCTGTACCTCGCGCGCAAGCTCGCGGGCGATCCGAACCTGCAGTTCGTGGAGTCCGTCGCGCTCGCGCCCCCCGAGGTCATGATCGACCCCGCGGAGCTCGCCAAGTACGAAGCCGAGCTCGCGTCGGCGGCGGCGCAGCCGCTCCCGGACGAGGACGACGAGCTCAACGACGCGTGATCGAAAAGCGACGACGCGTGAGCGCGCGGAGGATAGCGATCGCGGAGGAGAAGAAGGAGAAGGATGCGACGAACGTCGAGGGGTTTCGAGCTGGCCGGAACCCCGCGCGCGTCGCGGGTGGATGGAGGATCAGGGCGCGAGGGTTCGCGCTGTGAGGCGGCGGCGGAGGAGAAGAGAGGACGGGAAAAGGACGCGCGCCGGGGCGCGCGCGGAGGATTGGATTTAGACGCGGAGAGGAAAGGTTTCCGTCGACGCGTAGACGCGGCACCGCGCATTTGAGGTGTGATGAAACATTCGCGCGCACGTTACATGACATGACTTCACATCGCGCGACGAAGGCGCTCGCGTGTCGTATATAAAACTAACCTGCGTGAGCGACGCGTGACGCGTCGGTTAGCACTCGAGCCGCGCGTCCAGGTTCCCCGCGCTCGACGACGGCGTCAACGGCGCGACGGAGACGTCCTTCAGCTTCCTCCACTTCGACTGCTTCCCTCCCTTCCCCGCGCCGCGAGAGAGCTTATTCGTCATCTCCAACGCCGCCTTCGTCGCGTCGTCCAATCCCGCGTGGCACGTCACGCAGTAACACTTGCTCTCCGGGTCGCACCGGCCTCTCCCTCCGTGCGGCGACACCGCCGTGTGCGTCTGACAGTACGCCCTCTGACACAGCCCGCAGAAATGCTTCTTCATCTTCATCTTTATGTCCCCCATGACGCTCCAGCGGTCCCATCGCGCGTCGCACCCGACGGCGCAGCACCGCCCTTTCTTTTTAGGCTCGCTCTCGGGGACGGGCGGCGACGACGGCGTCGCCGTCGCCGCGCGGGAGCCGGGGGACTCGACGACGTCTTCGCGCCGCGTCGATCCGCCCCCGCCGCCGCCGCCGCCGTCGGAGTCGCGCGAGTTCAGGGACGCGAGCGAGTTACCTCGCGACATCTGCGGCGCGACGCCCGCGGCGACCGCGGCCTTCAGCGCTTCGTCCAGGAACTCCGGCCGGCGCGACGAAGGCGGAGGCCGGCCGCCGTTCGCCGCCGGCGGCGGCGACGACGGCGCCGCCGCGTTCGTCCTCTCCCCACCCTCCCCCTCCACCCTCTCGCCGTTCCCACCCCCGCCGCGTCTTCCCTTGATGTTCAAAACGAAGCACATCCCTCTCCACACCGCCGCGCGCATCGTCCCCGGCCCGCCGACGAACGCCGCGCCGCTCAGGAGGAACCGCGACGCCAACCCGATCACGAGAAACGTCGACGCGATCGACGCGTACGCCCCGCCCGCGGCCTCGAGGACGTCGTCGTCCCCCAACCGGCCCGCTTTCGCCCCAGCGCCGCCGCTTTCGGAGGCGTCCTCGCGCCTCTTCGCGGAGGACTCGTGATGCGCGGCCGGTCGCACGAACGCCGGCTTCGAGACGACGCGTTTTTCGCTCGCGCCGTGCGCGCCCCACGCGATCACCTCGAAGCGATGCGCCGCGGCGATCTTCGCGCTCGAAAACACGTAGTGCGTCTCGTCCGCGGCGACGATACCGTCCGTGTGCCAATTCGGGTCGTTCCCGGCTTGGACTTTGACGACGTAGAGATGCGTCGGCGGGGTCCCGAGGCGCGCGGGGGGTCGCCAGCGGATCGCGACGGCGGACGCGTTCACGGCGGACGTCTTCAAATCTCGCGGCTCGCTCGGGACCGCGCCGAGGCCGAGGATCTGCCGCTTCAGCGCGCGGACGAATTGCCCGCGGTGCAGCGCGCTCGATATCCCCAAGTCCTCCCTGAGCGCTTTCGCGTCGTCCGCGATGAGCGCGGGGAAGTCGAGCGCCGTCACCGCGTTGTCCCTGAAGGCGTCCGCGTACCGCGGGAACGACAGCCCGTGCCTCACCCATCGCTCCACGTTGTGCGGCACGAGAAGCGCGTTCGACGGGTTCGTGAGGTGATCCACGAGCTCGTCTTCGCTTATGCCGTCGCCGCGGTCGGCGCCGTCGATCTTCTTCGTCGTCGCCCTCACCGCGTCGCGGATCTCGCGCTCGGTGTCGAAGTCGTCGCCGCCGACGCCGCGGATCGCGTCCGTGAGCTCCGCGCGCTCGATCTGCCCGTCGTCGTCCTTGTCTAGCGCGCGGAAGAAGGACCGGAACGACCTTCGATGCGCCGCCGTCGCCGCGCGCGGGTCGTCGCGCGCGGGCGCCGCGGCGACGACGCGCGCCGCGAGGACGGCGAGGAGGAGGAGAAGGAGAAGGCGCGTCGACGAATTCGTCGTCGACGTTCTCATGGTTTCGACGCGCGCGCGTTCGCGCCTCCTTCCGACCATCCGGCGCGTTCCAGTCGCCGCGCCCCTCGCGCCGCGCCGCGCGCGTCCGCCCGCAGATCGACGCGGCGCGAGCGGAGACGAGCCGTCCGCGGACCGCGCGCGCCGTGTGCTCTGCGCCCCGCGCCCCGTCGAAGGGCACTCAGGGAAAACGGAGACGTGTGCGGACGAATCCTCGCGAGCGATCAGATGAGTCATCACGCTGCGTGCCCGGCCTCGCGCTCGCCCGGCGTTTCCTTCTCGTCGACGACGAGACAGCGCGCTCGTCACACGCGCAGCGCGCGCGCGGACGATGACGACGTGAAAGAAGCGCGCGTCTCGAGTAGAGTGGGCGCGATCCTCGTCGCGCGCGTCGCGAGCACGCACTCGCGCGAGCCCGCGAGGTGGAGGACTCTTTTCCATTGAGAATTGTTGTTGAATTCAGACCACTTGTTCGGATGTCAGACCAAGACGGAAGCAGCGGCCCGCCGTCCGCGGGCTACCCCGCCGCCGCCTCGTCTCCCGCGTCCGCGGCGCGCCCGACGCACCGGCGCGTGCGCTCCATCGGCGGACGCGACGACGGCATCCCCGCGGTTCCGCCGCGGTCGCCGCGGTCGTCCGCGATCGCCCCCGGGGATCGGTGGCGCGACGTCCCGCCGGGATCGCCGACCGCCGCGAGCCCGCGGCACGGCCGCACGGCCTCGACGTCCAGCCTCGGCGGGACCCCGCGGAACGGCTCGTTCGCGGACTTGAGCGAGCTCCTCGCGGCGAACCGACCGAGCGCGGGCGTTAACGCGCGGCATCGACGCACGGGCAGCCGCGGCTCCGTCGCGGAGACCGTGTCGTCCATGTGCAGCGACGACGCGCGGACGATCAGAAGCGGGTTTTACCTCGCTCCCGCGCCGACGAAACCGCGGCGGTGGACGAAAGGCGACGCCCTCGGGGCCGGGTCGTTCGGGAGGGTGTTCCTCGGGTTGAACAGCGAGACGGGGGAGCTCTTCGCGGTGAAGGAAGTCGCGGTGACGGACGCGACGGCGACGAGCGACGACGACGACGACGGCGGCGGCGGCGGCGGCGGCGGCGGCGGCGGCGGCGGCGGCGCGGATCGCCGTGGGAACGATAACAGCGCGGAGGCGGCGAAGCGCGCGGAGTGCATCGAGCAGCTCGAGCAGGAGGTGACGCTCCTGTCGCGGCTGCAACACCCGAACATCGTGCGTTACATCGGCACCGAACGCTCCGCGGAGTTTCTGTACATTTTTCTCGAGTACGTCCCGGGAGGTTCGATCGCGTCGCTCTTAGAGCGCTTCGGTCGCTTCGAAGAGAGCGTCATGAGCGTGTACACGCGGCAGATCTTGATCGGGCTGGACTACCTCCACGCGCAGCGGACGGTGCACAGAGACATCAAGGGCGCGAACATATTAGTCGAGAAGAGCGGAAGGATAAAACTCGCGGATTTCGGCATGGCGAAGACGCTCGTGGAACGCATCGACGACCCCGCCGCGCGCGCGCGCGGCGGCGTGAAAGGCAGCGCGTACTGGATGGCCCCGGAGGTCATCCGCCAAAAGGGTCACGGCTCCGAGGCGGACGTGTGGGCGGTCGGGTGCACCGTGCTCGAGATGGCGACCGGGAAGCCGCCGTGGAGCCACTGCAGCGGGCAGGTGCAGGTGTTGTACAAGATCGCGAGCACGATGGAGCTGCCGGAGATCCCGTCGTTCCTCTCCCCGGACGCGAGCGAGTTCGTGCTGCTGTGTCTGCAGAGGGACCCGGAGTCGCGGCCCGCGGCGGACCGGCTGCTGACGCACGCGTTCGCGTCGTCGTCGACGTCCGAGGTGGAGGTCCCCGCGCTGCAGTACGAGGGGTACTGGTCGCAGGAGGACGTCGACGAGGAGGATTTTTTGTTCGACACGAACGACTCGCGCGGCGGGAGCTTCGGGAGCCGACGCAGCGGCAGCGGGGGGGGTGGGAGTGGAGGACCCGGCGTTCACGGCGGCGGTGGATCCAGCGTCCACGGCGTTCACGGCGGCGGGAACGAGATTTACGACCCGGAAGGCGGCGTCCACGGCGTGCACGGGATGATGTCGTCGATGACGCTGCGCGACCACCGAGGGAGCGGCGGTTCGGGGTCGTATCGAGACTTCGGCGACCCGCACAGCGCGCTGTCGTCTCCGTCGCATCGATCGGCGCGCGGGCATCGACGACAGGAGAGCGGGACGAGCCGCGACAGCCGCGACGACGGCGGCGGCGGATCGCGGCACTCGAGAAGAGGGTCGTACTCGGACCTCCCGCCGCCGCCGAAAGTCGAGGACTGGAGGATCGAGGTGGAGAACATGACGCGGCTGTACGAAGAGTCGGCGGGCGACGGCGACGGCGACGGCGGCGAGATGGGGGAATTCGCGTCGGGAGGAGGGTCGGGGGACGCGTTCCGCGTCGGCGGGTTGCTGCAGATGCCGCCGTTGAAGGTGACGCCGCCGCGTCCGGGGAAGTCGAGCGGTTGACGCGGCGACGCAACGTATCGCGAAGACGTGTTCGTCGATGCATCATGCAAATTCACCCCCTACGTTTAAAACCCCACCACCCACCGTGCTCGATCGCGGCCGGCCCAGCCCCGCGCTCAGAGAAGCGTAGACTTGAAGTGATCGTCGTCGATCGTGGAGTACAAGTGCCCCTCGTTCACGAGGTGCTCGACGCTCTCGCGCACTTGCGCTTCGGTGAACCGCCCGTTGAGCTGCGTCACGACGTCGTCCACGCGGACGCCGCTCTCGCCGTGCCCTTGCGGCCCGTTGAAGATCGCAAACACCTGATCGTTCGCGCTGCCGCCGGCCGCGGGCATCGCCGCGGCAGGCGCGCCCGCGGACGGCGCCGCGTACGCGCTGTCGCCGCCCATCGCGGCGGTCGCGGGCGCGGCCCCCGCCGTCGCCGCCCTCGACGCGTTGTGCGAGTTGCAGTAGACCACCTCGAGGAAGTGGTACGTGATCTCGTTGAAGTCCGTCACCGGGCGCATGTTGAACGCGATCACGCCGCGCTGGCCTTGGAACGCGCGGAGGTGTCCGTACACGCGGACGTACGCGCCCACTTTCCACTCGGCTTTGTTTTGATTTTGGCCGTCCGCGTCGTCGGCGTCGACCCAGATCTTCACCTCGCACGTCCCGGTGCCGTCGTCGATCGTGTACATCAGGGAGGTGGAGGAGTCGTTGGCCTTGACGATCTTCCCGAGGAGGGTGAGGTTGTGGACCTCCTCGCCGTTCACCTTGAACGCGTCGTCCTGTTTGAAAGAGATGCGATCGCGGGGCGCGGGGGACGGAGGGAAGGGCGGCGGGTGAGTCCCTCGCGCGGACGGACGGGGGAGGATCGAAGACGATGATTTTTTGAAAATCGCAGACGCGCGCCCGCTCGAACGACGACGGTCGGATCTCGCGGCGGGGGCGACGATACGCGCGTGCGCGATCGAGGAATCGCGACTCGACGCACCACGTTGGACGCGTCGATGGACTCCTTCAGCTGCTTGACGGTGAGGGGCACGAGGGACTCCGCGCGACCTTGGGAGCGCTGCGGAGAGAGGAGGATGGAGACGGCGCGAGGGAGGGAGAGGGCGTCGGCGAGAGGTGCCAAGAAGATCGATCGGACGACGACGCGCGCGAGGAATGTCGCGTCGCGTCGGGGACGACGACGCGACCGCGCGCGCGTCCGCGCGAGGACGCGACGGAGTCCGATGCCGCGAACGATCGCGCGCGAGACGCGAGCGAGAGCCGCCGAGAGCCGCGGACGGCTCTTGGCACCCCGAAGAGAGAGACGTGCGATCGCGCGCGAGAGCACGCACCGCGCCGCCGTCCGCGCCGCCCGCGGCCGCGGTCTGGCCCGCGGTGAAGCCGCCCTGTCCAGCGAACTGGGACGCGCTGCCGTCGTAACCTCCGTACATGGTGCTCGAGTTAAAGAGCGTGCGTCGGGGCGTGTAGATGTGCGCGGAGACGCGAGCGCGAGAGTTTAAACTCGCGGGCGAGGCGAGGCTCACTTTTTCTCGTGTTCAGTTTAAATCGAGTTAAAACCGCAAATCGATCAAAATGAACCTAAAAACTGCAACTTAGACGTTCCCATCGATCAAACCCCCTTTCAAGCAGCCGCATCGTCGTCGTCTCCTCAACAACCAGCTTGCATGGCCTTTAATCAAACGTGCCATCAGCCTCCTCCTCCGCCTCCGCCTTCTCCTTCATCGGCGTGTGCGTCTCTTCCCTCCACTTCTCGATCCTCTCTCGCAACTCAACCGCGTCCACGAGCATGCTCTCGTCCAACGGCGACCGACTGAACGGATCCGAACCGTCGCACAGGAGGTGTCTCTTGATCGTCTCTCTGTCCACGACGACGCCGCTGCCCGGCAGCGTCACCGGATCCGTCATCGTCGTCTGCATGATCGGATCCACGAACTCTTCCGGGACCTGCGCGGCGTCTTCGATCTCGTGCACTCGAGCGACCTCGTCCTTGCCCTCGCGCACCTTCTCCACGAACGCGCGCAGCGCGGCGAGTTTGCTCGTCGGCGTCTCGAACGAGGACGGCCACTCGAAGTCGCGCAGGTACTCCAGCTGCGAGACGTCCCGCGAGTGAATGTTCCGCGCGAGCTCGGTCACGATGGAGGACTTGTACCCCGACCTCGGCTCGCACGACGCGCCCTGCGACGCGCTCGCCGCGCGCTTCTCCGCCGCGGCGTCGAGGTTGAGGAGGATCCCCGCGATCGGGGCTAAGATCGCCGCTCGCGAGACCTTGTCCGGCGGCGCGAGGTTCTTCGTCAAGATTTCCTCAAAGTTCGCCGCGTCCGGGCCCGTCGTCGCGTGCCCCAAGACGAACAGCAAGCTCTCGCGAAGCCGCCGCAAGTCGAGCGAGGACGAGTCTAAGAACGCGCTCGGGAGGTCCAGCGATATGAACTCCAAGACGCGCTCCAGGGTCACGGACAGCTCGAACATGACCGTGCACTTTCGCTGGTGCTGCCTTCCCTCCGGGGTGAGAAGGTTCGAGCGCTGATCCTCGAGCAACTCTTTGCACGCGACGCTAAACTCCGTGATCGTCCAGTTCAGGGTGTTGAACAGCCGGTCGAGGAACTCCGCGAGGAGCTCTCTGTCCGCGCGACAGTGGAGGATGAGGAGCCGCTGGAACAGCGGGCTCGCGCTGTCGGGGTGAGGGGACGTCATGACGCGCGCGAGCGCGGCGTCGCCCTCCGCCGGCGCGTCCACCGCCGCGTTGACCGCGACGAACGTCCCGATGTCGTCGTCGTCGCCGATCGCGTCTCGCCCGCCCCCTTCTTGCCCGAACCCGACACCCTTGCACAGCCTCAGCAGAATGTTCGAGACCGGGATCCAGAACCGCGCGTCGAAGCACGCGAGCAACGACGGCACCATCATATCCCGCGCGGCGTCGTTTTGTTCAAACACGGCGACGAACTCTTTGTACTGAAGCAAGACGCTCACGGATTGCAGCATCGCGTCTCGTATGTCCGGGTTCACCACCCTCGTGTCCGCGAAGTGTTTCACGAGCAGTCTGATGATGCCGTGCATCCCGGGCGCGAGGCCGTCGAGCGCGGGCGACGTCGGCGAGAACGGCGGGTCGCCTCGCCGCAGGGCGTGGAACGAGTCGATGAGCGTCTCGAGGTGGTAGGCGGGAACGTGCGGAAGGAGACAGCCGCGGCGGCGACGCAAGACCCTCGCGCGCTTCGCCTCCTTCGAGGCGGCGTCCATCTCGTCGTCGTCGTCGTCGTCGTCGTCGTCGTCGCTCTCGGTCTCGGAGACGTCGAGCTCGGAGACGTCGAGCTCGACCTCTTCGCCGTCGACGTTTTCGCGCTTGACGCGGCTCTTCCTGCCGGCGGCGGCGTCGTCGCCGCCGCCGCCGCCGCGGTCCATCGCCGCGAGGAGCGACGCGGCGCCGTACGCCGCGGCGGCGAACACCCCCGCCTGCAGCTCCGGGCGGTGTAACCCGGACCGGTGCCACCAGCACAGACGCGCGGCTTGCATTGTCTCGTCCCTGAGTTTCGTCCTCGCGTCTCGAAGCTTTTTCATAATCTCGCTCTCCGCCTTCGTGTACGCCGTTTCGTCGTCCCTCGCGACGCTGAGCTCCTCCTCGGTGTGCTCCCACACGACGTCTTCTCGTCCTTCCGCCTGGAGCACGCGCGCGGCTTTTAGGCGCTCTTCGAGCACCTCTGCGCGCGCTTTCAGCGCCGCGCGTCTGTCCACGTTTTTCTCCGTGTTTTCCAAATCCCGGCTCGCGTCTTCGAGCTGCTGCGCCGAGTGGATCTGCGCCTGGAGCTGATACGACGCCGCCTTGAAGTGATAGCTCACGCCGAGGTGATATATGAGCTGCAGCGCGTCCCACATCGTCGCCAGCGGGAGCGTCTTCGCCGCGTCTTCCGGGTCCGCGGGGTACCCGCGCTCGCCGCCGACGCCGCCGACGCTTCGCAACGCGGCCGCCGGGTCGTTCAACAACGCCGCGCGCGGCGCGTCGACCGTCCGCAGCGCCCTCGGGTCGATCGTCAACGGTCTCGACGCCGGCGCGCGCGTATCGCTCTCCGCGGGGTACGTCTTCCGGACGTGCGCGCTGCCGCCGCCGAACAGCGGGAGGTCCATCTCGTGCGCGAACGACCGCCAAAACAATCGCGGCGGAATCGACCCGAGCGCCGTGCCCTCCGGGGACTCCAAGTGCGGGTGCAGGAGCGTGAGCAGCGCGAAGTACGCGGAAGACAGCACCGTCGGGTCCGAGTGCCCGGGCGGCGTCGTCGTCGTGTTGTACGACCGCGCGGTCGGTCGGTTTTTATGCGCGAGAAACCGAACGAAGACGGCGAAGACGCAGTCGCCCTCGTTCGCGTCGTCGTCGTCGTCGTCGTCGTCGTCCGCGGCGGCGGCGGCGTCTCCCGCGCCGCTCCCGCCGTGGCACCACGTCGTCGCCACGAAGCTCGCCGCGCCGTTCCCGTGCGTCCGCAGACGTCGCTCCGTCTCCGGGTCCCCCGCGATCGCTCCCGCGTCCACCTCCGCGGCGCGTCGCGCGAGCACGAACGTCGCCGCGTTCGCGTCCGCGGGCACGTCCTCCGCGGATAACCCCGGCGCCGCCGCCGTCGGCGCCGGGCGGCCGCCTTCGCCTTCCCTCCGCGCGTCCGGGTCAATCGCGCGCGCGGGCGTCGTCGCGAGCGCGTAAAGAAGCAGCGACACGAGCGCGTTCGTGCGCCGCGTCGCCTCGCTCAGCGCGTCGCCGATCGCCTCGCTCTCCGACTCCGCGGACGCGCACCCCGGGTACCGCGCGCGCGGGTCCTGATGCCACCGCGCCGCGTGCCTCGGCTCCGTCCGCGCGCAGCCGGGCCACCACACCTTCTCCGCGGGGAGCATCACCGCGAGGTCGTGCGGGTTCGGGACGCGCCGCGTGAGCAGACCTTCCACGTGCGCGCCCCACCCCGGGCGTCTCAACCACGTCGTCATCGCCTCCGCGTCGCGCGTCAACGCGACGGCAAAGGCGAGCGGCGCGTGCGACGCCAACCGCGGGAGCTCCATCGCGAGCTTCCCCTGCGCGGTCATCGGCGCGGTCCGCGTCGCCTCCGCGGCGCATCGCATGAGCTCCGGGATCACGACCTCGAGCTCGTCCGGGTCGAGCGCGGCGCGAAGGAGGCGGATCCCTCGCGCGTGCGACTCGACTCTCGGCGTCTCCCCGGCTCGGCCGTCCACCGCGGACGCCGCGCGAAGCAGCGCGGGGAGGAGGTACCCCTGCACGAAGTACTTCCGCGTTCTCGGCGACGCGAGGTGCGGGCCCGCGCGGCGCAGGGACGCGGCGGCGAGGAGCACCTCTTCCGCGACGACCGCGGAGCGGTCCGTCGCGTCCGACGCCGTCGACGACGATTTCGATTTCGATTTCCCCGCGCCGCCCGCCGCCGCCGCCGCCGCCGCCGCCGCCGCCTCGCGCGGCCACGACGACGCGACCGCCCTCTCGAACGCCCCCAACCCTCGCGTCACGGCGGCGACGACCGCGACGGACGGCGCGTCCTGCAGCGGTCTGAACCCGGGCGTCGGGTACCGCAGCGGCGCGTCCCCAAAGTTCAACGCGCACCGCTCGCCGACGCTCAGGCTCACGGCGGGGAAGTACGCGAGACCGGGGGCGAAGCGTCGGACGTCGTCGAACGCCGTCCCGAGGTCGATGCCGTTCCTGCTGTACGACACCGAGCCGCCGCCTTTCTGTTGACCTCTTCGAAGGTCGATTCGCACGCTTATGACGTCCCCGGAGACCCACGCGTGGCCGTAGGGTTGCGACGTGACGTTCCACTTTTTCACGCGGTGTCCGTCGTACGCGTACGAGTCTTGCGCGTCCCCGACGCCGTGCTCGTGCGTGAACGGGCACCGGAACGTCGCCCACCCGAGCTGCATGATCCCGGAGGTTCCTATCGTGACCTCGTACTCCCACGCGCCGTCGAAGACGCAGCAGGTCGCGCGCACGGACGAGAAGTTGCTGTGCGACAGCACGACACATCCGGAGTCGTCCAGTCGCGCGTCCCCTGCGAGGTGCGCGCGGTCGACTTCCACCCTCGGCGGGCCTATGCGCCCGGACGACGACGACGACGACGACGACGACGACGACGCGCGGGCGGCGGCGGCGGCGGCGGCGGCGGAGGAGGAGGAGGAGGACGCGTTCTCCTTTGAATCCTGCGCCGTCGTCGTCGCCGCCGGGGACGGGGACGCGGCGGTCGCGTCGGACGACGACGCGGATCCCGAGGCTTCGGCCTCTATGGCCTCCACGATCGTGAGCCGGTCCGCGACCGCGCCGACGCGCGACCAGTCCACGCGCGTGACGTCCGAGCCGACGCCGTCGTCCGGGACGAGCGCGTCGCCCTCGGCGTCGACGTCTACGCCGAGGACGCGGCACACGTGCGCGCGCACCGCGTCTGTCGCGCGTCGCGCGACGTCGTCGTCGATCCCCGGGGATCTGCCCCCGACGCGCTTTCCCCCGCCCCCGCCCTTGCCGCCGCCGTCGATGATGTTCATCACGCCGCCGATGTCGTCGCCGTCCGTCGGCGACGGCGGGCCGTCGGTCGCGTCGCCGACACCCATGACCGAGGCTGGGGACGGCGCGGAGACTATGCGCGCGGGACGCGAGGCGAGATCGAATAAAGCGCACTGGCACGAGGTTTTTCAACCGGCCGGACTTCTGTTCCAAGCTACAAGCAGACACACGCGCGACGCCGGCAGCTCGCGCTCAGTACCCGCCGAAGAGCTCGTCCTCCTCCCGGCTGAGCTTATCGTCCTCCCCCGGCCGCGCGACGCCGCTCATCGGCTCGCGCGCCATCATGTCCTCCGCGCGTCGCATCTTCGGCTTCAACGGCGGCCGCGCCTCTCTTCGTTCGAGCGCGCCCCAGTCAAACCCGGGTTCGCACGAAAAAAACGGGTGCTCTTTGATCTCCGACGCGCCCCTCGCCATCATCCCGAACCGCCGCGAGAGGTCCACGACGCACAGCTTGCACACGAGATCTTTCGCGTGGAGGTGGAAGTTCGCCTTGAACTTCAGATCCGCGGTCAAGATGCGCTTATGCCGCGCGCTGTCCGTCTTCCCCGTGAACGGCGCGGCGCCCGAGAGCACCTCGTACACGAACACGCCGAACGCCCAGTAATCCGCGGACTTGCCGTACCCTTGGGATAACATCACCTCCGGGGCCATGTAATCGCTCGTGCCGCACGTCGTGTACGTCCGCTCCCCGGGCTGGAGCTTCTTGCAGAACCCCAGATCCGCGAGCTTGACGTGCCCGTCGCCCGCGATGAGCACGTTCTCCGGCTTCAAGTCGCGGTAGACGTAGAGCCGGTCGTGCAAGTATTCCAACGCGAGAAGCACCTCGGCGGCGTAGAAACGGCTCGGCCCCGGTTCGAACAACCCTTTTTCCGTGCCGTTCACGAGGAGTTGGAACAAGTCCCCGCCGGGCATGTACTCCATGACCAGGAACAAGTGCGCCTGCTCTTGAAACGCGCACAACGACTGCATCACGAACGGCGTGTCGAACGACGTCATGAGGAGCTTTTCGCGCTTGATGTTGTCCACCTGGTCCAACCGCACGAGCTTCTTCTTCTGCATCACCTTCACGCAGCACGCCGCGCCGGTTCGTATGACCCGCGCGAAGTACACGCACCCGCTCATCCCGACCCCGAGCTCCTTGTGAAACGTCAGGTCCCGCCGCCGGATCGTCGCCTTGCCGCTCGGGCTCAGCCACCGCATCCCGCCGCCGCCGAGCGCGGCGTCGTCGCGGTCGCCGCGTCGCGACGGCGCCCCCGCGGCGCGTTCGAACCCGCTCGCGTCCCTCCGCGACCCGCCGCCCGCGAGGTACCCGCGCAGACCGCGCGGGCGCGCCGCCGCCGCCGCCGCCGCCGCGTTCGCCGCGCCGCGACCCCCCCCGCCGCGGCCCGAAGCCGAAGCGGGAGCGCCCACGGACGCGACGACGGCGTCGAACTTGTACAGCCGCGCGCGTTCTGTCATCGCGGCGACGACGTCCTCGCCGAGCGCGCGACGAAACGCCGCGCGGTCCAGCGTCGCGGCTCGCACGTCCGTGATCGCGGTGACCGTCGCCGTGGGGGGCGTCCCCTCCAGCGCGGAGACCTCGCCGAAGTACGCGCCGATGGACAGGCGGTTGACTTCGCCGCCGTCGGCGAGGCGCACGGCGACGCGCCCGCGCGCGATGACGTGAAACGCGCCCCCGCCGGGCGACTCTCGGACGCCCTGGACGCAGATGTTCTCCCCCTTGGCGTAGAACTTCGGCACGAGCGCGTCCGCGAGGACTTTCCTGTCGTACTCGTCGAGCATCTTCAACGGCGCCACCTTCGCGAGCAGCGACTCGTTCGCGCGCCGGCGCTCGAACGCGGCCTCGCTGAGGATCTTCTTGAACGTCTTTCGATCGAGCGCCCAGAGCACGCACGTCTCGCTCCCCGCCGCGGTGACCGTCGCGGACCGCGGGACCGCGTGCAGGAGCGCGACCTCGCCGAACGTATCCCCGGGGAACAAGCGCTTCATTCGCGGCTTCGTCGTCGGCCTCGTCGTGTTGGCGTCGCCGTCGTCGGGACCGGCGCCGAGTTCGCCGGTCTTCGATGACGACGACGACGCCTCGACGCGAACCGTCACCTCCAGCGTCCCGGCGACGACGACGTAAAAGTTTCGTCCCTCCGCGCCCTGCCGCACGACTCTCTCCCCCGGCGCGTACGTCAGCTCGTACATGCACGCGTACAGCGCGCGGCGGTCGTCCGCGTGGAGCGTTTGAAACAGAGCGATGCCGTCGCACGCCTGCGCGATCGTCTTCACGTCCGCGGCGGCTTTCGGGACGTTCGTCGCGCCGCCGTCGCTCGGGAGGCGGCGCTCGCTCGATAGTGGAGCCTTTTCGGGCGCGAGCGATCGCGGGGCTTCTCGCTCGTCGCGCGCTTGCGTCACCGCGAGGCGTCGGCGGACGCGCGACTCGATCTCGTCCACGTCGAGCTGGGACATGGCGACCGACGATGTTTGCGTCTGCGTCTGTGTGGGGACGACGAGAGGAGGGCGGCGGCGTGAGGACGGACGCGGACGTCGCCGCGCGGCGAGATGCGTTTATGGGCATTTCCAAAACGGACGTCGACGCCCCGTCGTCGTCCAGTCGCGACGGCAGCGCCAGAAGACGCGCGTCGACTCGAGAGCGACGCGGAGGACGCGGGGAGGGCGGGGCGCGTACCGATACGACGACGACGGCGGCGGCGCGGGGGGGGTGACGTCGAGCGACACCGCGGAGACGACACCGCGGTGCGCGCGGACAGTGATCGACGTGCACGGTTTCCGAACGAAGTCCAGAAACGCTTTTTTCGTGCGACGCGACGGAGAGTTGCACAGGTTAGGAGGAGCTTAGGACACAATATGGGCCCTCCCCTGAAGTCGCCTTCGGTATTTCACGCGGCATCGCGGCGACCTCCCGCCCTCTTACGCGCGCGCGAACACACGTTCACGCTCGCTTCCTCGCAAACATGGGTTTCGCCAACATCTGGGCCACCAAGGCCGAGTGCACCGGCAAGGGGCAGCGCCGCTGGTGCGCGTCCGCCCGCCTTTCGTCCGCGTCCGCGCCGGGGTCGTCGACGACGCGGGTTTTTACCCTCGCGCTCGCGGCTTCCGCGCCGCGTCCCGTCCGCGCCCGCGCGACGTCGCTGGGGTAGCCGCGATCCGCGCGCCTCGCTCGCGGGCGACGTCGCGACCGCCTCGACGCGTCGTCGGCGTCGTGCGCGTCGCCGCGGTCGTCCCGCGCGGGTCTCGCGTCGGCATGATTATTTTTAGGGTTTGCCTGTTTTTTCCACCCGCCATCGCGACGCGCGACGCTGACGTTCCCGCCCCTCTCGCTCTCCTTCCTCAGCCGCGTTTGCGCGAACCAGTGGGGTATCATTCGCAAGTACAACCTGAACATCTGCAGGCAGTGCTTCCGCGAGTACGCCAAGGACATCGGCTTCGTCAAGGTGCGCCTCGCCTCCCTCCATCCTTCCATCGTCGAGATGGCATGGCCCCTCGCGACGTCCAAGGCTTCTGTCTGTTTTAGGGCCGGCGCGCCCGGGCCGCGTCCGCTCGCGATCGCGAGCGCCGCGCCGCGCCGCGCCGCGTCGTCGCGCGCGGCGTGGCCTCGCGGCGGCGCGGACCGTCCGAGACGCCGTCCGTCGTCGTCGCGATGCCCGCGCCGTCGTCTCTCTGACTTCGGCGAACCGCGCCTCGTCGTTCGATTCGTCGTCGCTGACGCCCTCGTCCCTCCCTTTCCCCGCTTTGCGCGTACGCAGAACAACTGAGCTCTCGAACACGGAGAGAGGGTTGATGGCGAGCTCATGGGCGGGCTTCTAGCTTAATCGAGTTTTCCCGTGACGAACGGTGTTGTAATACATATCGATCGTGACGTCATATCGAGCGCGCTGTCGTCGTCGCGGGATTTCAACCGTTCAAACTACGGCGCCGCCGGATCCGCCGGATTCGCCCCTTCCCCAACCCCACCACCGCCCGCTTCTCTTCGCGACGCATCCGACTCCGCCTCGCTCGCCC